TGAGAAGTATTTCAGATTTTGGCATAAAACTCGGTATAGAGAAATTTTCTAGTAAGAGAAACAAGAATTCGTTATTTTTCAGGACATCGCCTACAGCACTATTTCCGTGAATAACTTATCATAACTTCTTTGTGCTACCCTGTATACCACAACTGACCGAAAAATCTTATTTTCTCGTATTGTCACAACAAAAAAGGTTTACTTGTTAGACGTGTCTAAAGCTAATAGTTTTCGAGATCTTGTTTTTCAAAATTTCCAATGCATTATTGGTATCATGATGATAACACATTTTTATGGTTTCTAATGTTTGTCATAATATTGCTTTAAACTTCATGAATAATTTTAAGTTGACAATAAGTTGTTAAACATCATGGAGTATACGTTTGATGAATATTCTGATATGCATTCAATGTACGGATTGGCAATATACTTCGAAGTTGAGTCATTTATTTTAACAGTGAGTAGATCTGATCAAAAGAAATGTTTTTTTCCTTTACCATTTTTCTGGTAAAATTAAAGTAACAAAGTTATAGCCCTTTGGAAGTTTGAGTACCGCCCTGTCTCAATAATAATATTATGTGCTCGTGTTTGGTTCATCGCATCGGAAACAAAAAAGCGAAAGAATTTGGAACGATGTTTTTACAATTATTTTAGTCAGTTGTATACAGTCAGTGTCAATCGGTAACGCGTTTGAATATTGGTGTCTGTTGCGTGGCTCAAACGAAATAAAAAATGGCACTTGTTTATGCGGATCGGTTTCCCAATCGAGTGCAACCAACCCCTCGTGCCTTTGTTAATGTAGTACAACGGGCTCGTGGATCAGGTGACTTAAGACCTCACAGGGGACTGCATGCCGGTGCTCCAAGACCTCACGATCAAATACCGGTCCGCACTGAAATACTTGTCGGGAGGATACTTTATAAAACAAGGTAAACATTTTTTTTTAATTTTTTTTTTTTTATACACATATTTTGGTTTATCTTCCTTCTACAATCATTATCTGAAAATTAATGACTCAACTTCAAAGTATAATGCTTTAAGAGCACGAAGATTGTACGCCGACACCTGCCTAATTCATAGACTTTCCAACGAATCGATCAGCGGTTACGAGAAACTGGCAAGAAATGATTATAGGCTTATTTTGAGTCGTAAAAGCCATTTGGATTTTAGGTAGTTTTGCTCGAAATACGGGCTGAAATAGTGGTGCTCCCAGAACTGTACGTACAGCTGAAGTTGAAGACAATGTTTTAGATACTGTCTTCGAAAAGCCTACAGTTGGGGTTAGGAATGTAGCTCGAGAATTTCAAGTTTCCAAATGTACAGTAAATACCGTTGTTCAAGAGCAACTGCTCCGTCCATACCACCTGCGAAAAGTACATGGTTTAAGCGCGGATGATGAACCCACAAGGGCAGAATTTTGTACACGGACCCATTCACTCATACAATCTTCACATTGATGCAGACGAAAATCCTCTTGCAATAATACAATCCCGCCACCAAGTACAATTTCAAATTAATTTATGGGCAGGAATAATTGGACAATATTGAATAGGTCCCGTTGAGTTACCACCTAGAAAGGCCCAAGGTATTTACAATTTCTTGAAGAACAATTACCCACTCTCAAACATGCATGAATTTGTGGTTTATGGGCGACGGCGCTCCGCCTCATTTGAGTATATTAGCTAGAGAGCACCTAAATAGAGTTTATCCAAAGCAGTGGATAGGCCGATCAGGACCTGTATCGTGGCCGGCTAGATGACCAGATTTAAATCCTATGGATTTCTTCATCTGTGGTGATTAAAAAGGACGCGTTTGCAATACGCCAGTGGAAACTGTAGTTGATATTCGACAAGGATTTTCCACCATAGCCAGGAAATGAAAAATGACATCCAAATGCTTTTGGGAGTGCAGCAAGGATTATTTCGTCGAGCTCGAGAGTGTGTAAGGCAAGGTGGTGCTCATTTTGAACAATTTTTGTACTTATTATTTCCGTTTATTAGCTTTGTTGCCATCCTCATTTGTAATTGTTAAAAACCATAACAACGCTAGTAAGATATTATCCAAAGCAACTTGATTATTATGTTATACTCTAGATTTTTTTGTGGGGCTACATTAAATCATTGGTCTATGTCACCAATCCGGCGTCCGAGGTCGAATTCCATGCATAGATTTGAGTATGCTTTAATCCAATAATAAAATTTTCGAGATATCTCGTGTAACTCTTAACTGTAAAAACCTATAAGTATCCATTTTGTCGATGTGGCAATAAGAGCTGCTATTGGATGTAAAAATGCTGCCTACGCATCTGTTGACTAGTCAATTGCAGGTATTTTAAATGGCATTGATGGTCAGAACGTCATAGACGTACTTGTACAAGAAACAGGAAAAAATCAAGAAGACGAGTGAAGACTTTCCTCTGCAGAAGCTCATTTGATGCAGTCTAATACTTCCTTAACCAATAAAACGCACATCCGGTACCACTAAAGACATCACTTGGCATGTACACGTCCAAAACGCGTGAAGTACTACCCGTAATATCGTACAAGTTCTTAGCTCGAAAGCTAGCTACAAATTCTTATACGTTGAGTCCTTAGATCGTATCCTACCTATTTTTCACCCTTCAAGTTACAAATGAAACATGCTTTTCGGTTTTAAAAGTGATCAAATTATCTTGAGAGTTCCATGAGCTTTAGACGATTGTCAAACATTTTTTCGCAAAAATCGATATTTCCGAAGAGTTCCGATATGCCCATTTCCAGATTTAGTAACGGTCAATAGAAACTTGAAACTTGCAGCTACGCCACTGGTCCTGTCAGTCACAGCATCTTCTGGGATCAAGCAAGTATATCTGCTCAGAATGATGGAGACAAGCTTTTCCCTTTTTTTCTAAACGAAGCCCTTTCAAAACTAGAATTGATTTAACAGTACCCAAATATACTAAGTGACATATAAATCCGAACACCCAGTTTAAATGGTTTTATTTTAATAAAATTTTGTATAAGTACTTAATGAATCATAATAAGTAAATGATAAAAATTTCAAAATGATTGCACTGCTTTAAAGCCCTTTGACCTTTAGTAATGTGTGGATGCACCCTGATGTGCTACGCATTCTCCAACGCGCCTAGGCATGCTTCTGATCAGGTGGTCAATGTCCTCCTGTGGTATCTCATTCCAGGCAACCACCAACTCCTCTCGAAGTGCTTCTAGAGTCTGAGGAGGACGTTGCAAATTGAGCAATCTCCTACGCATCATGTCCCACACGTGCTCAATTGGGGATAAGTCGGGAGATCTTGGTGGCCATGGTAACAATGTGACATCATTATGTTGAAAGAAGTCTATTGTGACTCTTGCAACATGTGGTCGGGCATTATCTTGTTGGAAAGTTGGATATGCCAGGGTGTCAAGATGGGGTTCTAGAACTTCGTGGATATAACGCTGCACGTTCATGTTACCTCTGATGAAGATTGAAGGTGACCTGGAACCATAAGCTATAGCACCATTCCTGATCCCAGAGTGACCGTTGTCTGCACCAATCAAGGCGATTACGTCGGTGTTCTCGAGTTAAAGGGAAGACCCAGTGTGGCCGGTATGAAAACAAGCCAAAACTTCTCATTCGTCGGTAAACACTTCGCATGCCAATAGATCTTCCGTGTTCTGCAAACCATTCATTTGCAATGGACCTGGTAGTGGAGAAACGGTCCCTTAAGGCCAGTAATCTTAGGCGGCGATCTTCACGGTCTGTTGTTCTACGGCGGCGCCCAGTGCCCCTTGCTCTTTGCGTACGGCCTTCTCGAAGCCATGCCTGACAACACCTAACCACAGTGTCTACACTTCTTTGCGCTCTAACTGCAATTGCCCGAAAAGAAAGTCCAGCTTCTCGAAGTCCCACTATCAAACTCACTAAGTTGACGAAATCGTACAGGTCTCCGTACTCTAGGCATCGTAACCGATCGTAAAGGATGTCAAGAACCAAAATCAGACAACGTTGATTCTTTACTGCGGCTGAAATATTAAAATAAAACCATTTAAACTGGGTGTTCGGATTTATATGTCACTTAGTATACATCACTTGGCATGTACACGTCCAAAACGCGTAAAGTGCTACCCGTAATATCGTACAAGTTCTTAGCTCGAAAGCTAGCTACAAATTCTTATACGTTGAGTCCTTAGATCGTATGGCTACGTGATAGTAGATTCCTACCTATTTTTCACCCTTCAAGTTACCAATGAAACATGCTTTTCGGTTTTAAAAGTGGTCAAATTATCTTGAGAGTTCCATGAGCTTTAGACGATTGTCAAACATTTTTTCGCAAAAATCGATATTGCCGAAGCGTTCCCATATGCCCATTTCCGTAATCTGTATTTCCGTATTACCGTAAACGATGATTTTTATTAATTTTTGACAAGTATAAGGATCTGTTCCGCCCATGGTTGTAGGTACGTGGCCTTGAAAGGTCAGTGAAGAGGCAGGTGGATAGACTCGGCATTAGTTCGCGAAAGCTATTAAGGCGTTAAACTTCTTCACTTTATAGGATTAATTCCCGATGCAGCCTCGACTGCCACGCCGATCAAATCGATTATAACTAGTGTCTCCGAGCGATCAAATCAAAAAACCAATTACGCTGCATGACGACTATTGCCAGGGGATGCGAGTATACAGTCAGATTTCTTAGCGGACTGTCTTTTGTTTCGGTGATAAAAAACAAGAATTAAACAGTAACGTTCATTCCAAAAGCGGATAGTTACCTAGAAAATCGTTCTCAATGTCTTTCTTTAAGCCAGCACATCAAAATTTCAGAGAAATTGTGGCAGATTGTGTCGAAGGTTTTGTTGTAAATATTCTGTTCAGCTGTTGAGCGATTATGTTTGTTCCAGAACAAAACTCGACGAAACAAGAAACGATTTTAATAGGAACGACGTCATCCAACTCGACGGCTCTGCTTCCGCCTGACTTATCAACAAAAGAGCTTACTAGGAGAGCAAGGCAGCTTTCCGGATATGTTTCAAGCTTCCAGTGTACCGACAGAGGTGTCCAAGCGGATCCGTATTCTTGCAGAGGATTCTACAGGTACATTCAACAATTTTATATGATAAAAATGTCTCCTGAGAAAATTGAATGGTCTTTTATAGAATGCACTTATTTTCTGCGAAAAGGTCAATATCGTAGGAAATATTAACTATTAGGGGTCCAGGTACCCCATTTCCTACGTCTCTGACTTAGTTTGGGCTGGGAAACCCTGTGTATATACTTATAGGAACCTTTTTTGTTATTTTTGGATGTGCTTTCAGATGCGTCCTGGACTACCGGAGTACCTGGAACGCCATTCGACTAGAATGCGAAGAGGGCACGGTCTTCGATCCATCTATCGGAGGTTGCAACTATCCTTATGCCAGTAGCCGAGTCGAATGCGGCGGTAACTCGTTGGACATCAGCTTCAGGCAAGCGCAATCAGAAGAAAACTCCACTTTGCCTTCCTCTCCAGCTGGCCAAATAGGCAATCAATGCACTCAAGACGGATTCTTAGGAGACCCTAGCGACTGCAAGAAGTTCTACCGATGTGTGAACAGTGGAAAAGGCAGCTTCATCCGCTACGAGTTCAGGTGCGGTCCTGGAACCGTATGGGACACCAACGCGCTGTCCTGCAACTATCCTTGGGCGGCCAATCGGCAGGGCTGCACTGCTGACGAAGGTAATGCATCTCAGCTTCTAAAGGACGACGAAAGAGCGCAGACATTTTCAAATTCCTCGTCTATCAATTCCAACTCGATCTCTGCCTTCCAGCAAAGTAGCTACCAGAATAGCAGTAGTAGCTCGACTAGTTCAAGCTCATCTTCAAGTCAATTTTTCGCAGGACAATCGTCTTCCAGCCAACAAGGTTCATCTCAGGGTTCATCTTCGAGCCAACAAGGCTGGGGAACAGGTTCTAGCCAGCAAGGAACATCGTCCAATCAACAAGGTGGTCAGCAAGGTTGGGGAACTGGCTCTAACCAGCAAGGAACATCGTCCAATCAACAAGGTGGTCAGCAAAGTTGGGGAACTGGCTCTAATCAGCAGGGTACATCGTCCAGTCAACAGTCCGGTCAGCAAGGTTGGGGAACAGGCTCGAATCAGCAAGGATCATCGTCCAATCAACAAGGTTGGGGAACTGGCTCTAGCCAGCAAGGAACATCGTCCAATCAACAAGGTGGTCAGCAAGGTTGGGGAACTGGCTCTAACCAGCAAGGAACATCGTCCAATCAACAAGGTGGTCAGCAAGGTTGGGGAACTGGCTCTAATCAGCAGGGAACATCGTCCAATCAACAAGGTAGTCAGCAAGGTTGGGGAACTGGCTCTAATCAGCAGGGAACAACGTCCAGTCAACAGTCCGGTCAGCAAGGTTGGGGAACAGGCTCGAATCAGCAAGGATCATCGTCCAATCAGCAGTCTGGTCAGCAAGGTTGGGGAACTGGCTCTAGCCAGCAAGGATCATCGTCCAATCAACAAGGTAGTCAGCAAGGTTGGGGAACTGGTTCTAATCAGCAGGGAACATCGTCCAGTCAACAGTCCGGTCAGCAAGGTTGGGGAACTGGCTCTAGCCAGCAAGGATCATCGTCCACTCAACAAGGTGGTCAGCAAGGTTGGGGAACTGGCTCTAACCAGCAAGGAACATCGTCCAGTCAACAGTCCAGTCAGCAAGGCTCATCGTCCAATCAACAAGCTGGTCAACAAGTTTGGGGAACAGGCTCTACCCAGCAAGGAACATCGTCCAGTCAACAGTCTGGTCAGCAAGGTTCATCGTCCAATCAACAGTCCGGTCAGCAAGGATGGGGCACAGGGTCGAATCAGCAAGGATCATCGTCCAATCAACAAGCTGGTCAACAAGGTGGGGGAACTGGCTCCAACCAGCAAGGAACATCGTCCAATCAACAAAGTGGTCAGCAAGGTTGGGGAACTGGCTCTAACCAACAAGGAACATCGTCCAATCAACAAGGTGGTCAGCAAGGTTGGGGAACTGGCTCTAATCAGCAAGGAACATCGTCCAATCAACAAGCTGGTCAGCAAGGTTGGGGAACTGGCTCTAACCAACAAGGAACATCGTCCAATCAACAAGGTGGTCAGCAAGGTTGGGGAACTGGCTCTAACCAGCAAGGAACATCGTCCAATCAACAAGGTAGTCAGCAAGGTTGGGGAACTGGCTCAAACCAGCAAGGAACATCGTCCAATCAACAGTCCAGTCAGCAAGGATCATCGTCCAATCAACAAGCTGGTCAGCAAGGTTGGGGAACTGGCTCTAACCAACAAGGAACATCGTCCAATCAACAAGGTGGTCAGCAAGGTTGGGGAACTGGCTCTGACCAGCAAGGAACATCGTCCAATCAACAAGGTAGTCAGCAAGGTTGGGGAACTGGCTCTAACCAGCAAGGAACATCGTCCAATCAACAGTCCAGTCAGCAAGGATCATCGTCCAATCAACAAGCTGGTCAACAAGTTTGGGGAACAGGCTCTAACCAACAAGGAACATTGTCCAGTCAACAGTCTGGTCAGCAAGGTTCATCGTCCAATCAACAGTCCGGTCAGCAAGGATGGGGCACAGGGTCGAATCAGCAAGGATCATCGTCCAATCAACAAGCTGGTCAACAAGGTTGGGGAACTGGCTCTAACCAGCAAGGAACATCGTCCAATCAACAAGGTGGTCAACAAGGTTGGGGAACTGGCTCTAACCAGCAAGGAACATCGTCCAATCAACAAGGTGGTCAGCAAGGTTGGGGAACTGGCTCTAACCAACAAGGAACATCGTCCAATCAACAAGGTGGTCAGCAAGGTTGGGGAACTGGCTCTAACCAGCAAGGAACATCGTCCAATCAGCAAGGTTGGGGAACAGGCTCTAACCAGCAAGGAACATCGTCCAGTCAACAGTCTGGTCAGCAAGGATCATCGTCCAATCAACAGTCTGGTCAGCAAGGCTTTGGCACAGGTTCTAACCAGCAAGGAACATCATCCAGTCAACAATCTGGTCAGCAAGGATCATCGTCAAATCAACAGTCCGGTCAGCAAGGATGGGGCACGGGGTCCAATCAGCAAGGATCATCGTCCAATCAACAGACTGGTCAGCAAGGATTTGGCACAGGCTCTAACCAGCAAGGATCATCGTCCAATCAACAGTCTGGTCAGCAAGGATCATCGTCCAATCAACAAGGTTCGGGAACAGGTTCTAACCAGCAAGGAGCATCGTCCGGTCAACAGTCTGGTCAGCAAGGATCATCGTCCAATCAACAGACTGGTCAGCAAGGATTTGGCACAGGCTCTAACCAGCAAGGATCATCGTCCAATCAACAGTCTGGTCAGCAAGGATCATCGTCCAATCAACAAGGTTCGGGAACAGGTTCTAACCAGCAAGGAGCATCGTCCGGTCAACAGCCTGGTCAGCAAGGATCGCCGTTCAATCAACAAGCAGGTCAACAAGGTTCGGGAACAGGTTCTAACCAGCAAGGAACATCGTCCGGTCAACAGTCCGGTCAGCAAGGAACGAGCTCTGGCTCCATACAAGGACAGCAAGGACCCAACCAACAAGGTTCCAGCTCCCCATCTGGCCAACGAGAAACATGTTCAGTGGATGGTTTCATGGGAGATAGCAACGATTGTACCAAATTTTACCGATGCGTAAATAACGGTGCTGGAGGTTTCATCAAATACGAATTTTCTTGTGCGCCAGGTACGGTGTGGGATCAAGATGTGTCGACTTGTAACTATCCAGGGTCCGTAGCTGGTAAATGTGGATTGGGTACGTCAACTCAAGCTGGTCAACCTACTCAGCAAGCACCACAAAACCAGCAGGGACAACAAGGACAGCAGAACCAACAGGGACAAGGACAGGTGAACCAGCAGGGTCAGCAAGGTCAAGGGAATCAGCAGCAGAACCAACAAGGGCAAAATAATCAGCAGCAACAAAATCAACAAAACCAGCAGGGACAACAAGGACAGCAGAACCAACAGGGACAACAAGGACAGGTGAACCAGCAGGGTCAGCAAGGTCAAGGGAATCAGCAGCAGAACCAACAAGGGCAAAATAATCAGCAGCAACAAAATCAACAAAACCAGCAGGGTCAACAGAATCAAAGTGGTCAACAGGGGCAACAGTCAGGTAATCAAACTCAATGCCAAAATAATAACCAACAAGTGGGACAAATTTCTAACAACGTATGTACCGCTGAGGGATTTGCGGGTGACCAGAATGATTGCAAGAAATTTTATCGATGTGTAAATAATGGCCAAAATGGCTTTACAAAATACGAATTCACATGCGGCGAAGGAACTGTCTGGGACTCCTCAATTCTATCTTGTAATCACCCATATGCTACACCGGGGAAATGCGGTACACAAGAATTATCTCCTCAAGGGTCGCAGCAAGGGCAAGGTGTTCCACAAGGTTCGGGACCAATCGGACCACAAGGCCCAGGACAAGCACCATCAGGATCGCAAGGACCTCAGAATTCAGGCACTACCTCATCGGTAAGTACAAGCAAAATTCTCAGAAGTAAAACCAAAAAATTAACTGAAATATTTATACTAATATTACCAGAAATAATGTACAGCCAACAATTTGTTGAAATTTAGACTTTTGTAAATATGATTTGTGAATATTTTAGTTAGAAAATTCCTTCATTTGCTTGGTTCTACAATTAGCTCACGTGCTTCAAACCTATAAATATGGAATGAGCCACCTACCATTTAACACAAACACCTTATATTTCCAGACTGGAGGCCCACCATTTGGCAGTACAGGATATCCAACGGAAAGCTCAACTTGGCCGGCGTCGACGACAGAATTTGGTCCATTCACTGAAAGTACCACAATTTATCCAACTACTCAAGGACCGTACGGCCCACAAGGACAAGGTCCAATAGTGCCGCAAGAACCTCAAAGACCTGTATCGGGTGGACCAACGGGTAGTCAAGGACAAGGACCACAGGGTTCATTGCCACCTCAAGGACAAGGACCACAGGGTTCATGGCCACCACAAGGACAAGGACCCCAGGGTTCATGGCCACCACAAGGACAAGGACCAGCTGGACAACAGCCACAAGGACAAGTACCACAGGGTTCATCGCCACCGCAAGGACAGGGACCACAGGGTTCATCGCCACCACAAGGACAAGGACCACAGGGTTCTTGGCCACCACAAGGACAAGGACCAGCTGGACAACAGCCACAAGGACAAGTACCACAGGGTTCATCGCCACCGCAAGGACAGGGACCACAGGGTTCATCGCCACCACAAGGACAAGGACCACAGGGTTCATGGCCACCACAAGGACAAGGACCAGCTGGACAACAGCCACAAGGACAAATACCACAGGGTTCATCGCCACCGCAAGGACAGGGACCACAGGGTTCATCGCCACCACAAGGACAAGGACCACAGGGTTCATGGCCACCACAAGGACAAGGACCAGTAGGACAGCAGCCTCCTCACGGTCAAGGACCACAGGGTTCATGGCCATCTCAAGGACAAGGACCACAGGGTTCATCGCCACCGCAAGGACAGGGACCACAGGGTTCATCGCCACCACAAGGACAAGGACCACAGGGTTCATGGCCACCACAAGGACAAGGACCAGTAGGACAGCAGCCTCCTCACGGTCAAGGACCACAGGGTTCATGGCCATCTCAAGGACAAGGACCACAAGGTTCATCGCCACTACAAGGACAAGGACCACAGGGTTCATGGCCACCACAAGGACAAGGACCAGCTGGACAACAGCCACAAGGACAAATACCACAGGGTTCATCGCCACCGCAAGGACAGGGACCACAGGGTTCATTGTCACCACAAGGACAAGGACCACAGGGTTCATGGCCACCACAAGGACAAGGACCAGTAGGACAGCAGCCTCCTCACGGTCAAGGACCACAGGGTTCATGGCCATCTCAAGGACAAGGACCACAGGGTTCATCGCCACCACAAGGACAAGGACCACAGGGTTCATGGCCACCACAAGGACAAATACCACAGGGTGCATCGCCGCCACAAGGACCTGTAGGACAACAGTCACCTCAAGGACAAATACCACAGAGTTCATCGCCACCTCAAGGACAAGGACCACAGGGTTCATGGCCACCACAAGGACAAGGGCCAGTAGGACAACAGCCACCTCAAGGGCAAGGACCACAGGGTTCATGGCCACCACAAGGACAAGGACCAGCTGGACAACAGCCTCAAGGACAAATACCTCAGGGTTCATCGCCACCACCAGGACAAATACCACAGGGTTCATCGCCACCACAAGGACCAGTAGGACAACAGCCACCTCAAGCACAAGTACCACAGGGTTCATCGCCACCGCAGGGTTCATCGCCACCACAAGGACAAGGACCACAGGGTTCATGGCCAGCACAAGGACAAGGACCAGCTGGACAACAGCCACAAGGACAAATACCACAGGGTTCATCGCCACCACAAGGACAAGGACCACAGGGTTCATGGCCACCACAAGGACAAATACCACAGGGTTCATCGCCGCCACAAGGACCTGTAGGACAACAGTCACCTCAAGGACAAATACCACAGGGTTCATTACCACCACAAGGACAAATACCACAGGGGTCATCGCCGCCACAAGGACCAGTAGGACAACAGCCACCTCAAGGACAAATACCACAGGGTTCATTACCACCACAAGGACAAATACCACAGGGGTCATCGCCGCCACAAGGACCTGTGGGACAACAGCCACCTCAAGGACAAATACCACAGGGTTCATGGCCACCACAAGGACAAGGACCAGTAGGACAACAACCACCACAAGGACCACAGGGTTCATTACCATCACAAGGACAAATACCTCAGGGTTCATCGCCGCCACAAGGACCAGTAGGACAACAGCCATCTCAAGGACAAGGACCGCAGGGTTCGTGGCCACCACAAGGACAAGGGTCGGTAGGACAACAGTTACCCCAAGGACAATTACCACAGGGTTCGTCGCCGCCACAAGGACAAAACCCGGTAGGACAACAGTCGCCACAAGGACAAATACCACCGGGTTCATATCCACCACAAGGACAAGGACCGATAGGACAACAGTCACCTCAAGGTCAAGGACAAGGACAAGGTTCACAGGGCCAACCAGGTCAAGCAATACCAGGAGCAACTACTAGTCCACCGTGGGGCTACGAAACAACTCCAAATCCAGCTCAGGGTACCACCGACTTAGCTCTTACTACGAGTAGTCCAAGCGGAGAATCGGCAATGGAACCATGCCCCATAAGTCAACTTGAAGGAGATCAAATTGCTTTGGTGTGTCCCACAGGATTCCGAAGACACCCGAAATACTGCAACCTGTTTTACCAATGCACGAAGGGATCATCTAGCCTACACGATTATAAGATTCTAGTCCTCAGTTGCCCTGATGGATTACTGTATGATGATGATAAGGTTCAATGTCTGCCTCAGAACGAGACGAAGACCTGCAAAGGAGAAATCGCCACCAGCAGCCTCTATCGAATGCTCAATGAGAACTTCATACCCCCGGTAAGTTTTTGTTCTTGAAGGAGATTGAGCAAACCATAGTCTACATAGTTTTTACTAGTGTACTATAAATTGACCTCCAGACTTTCTGTGAAATTTTTGTATGACCATTTAGAAGCTCATATACAACAGTCTTTTTGGTGATATTTGTCTTGCACAGGGTGTGAATATTAGACCTTATCTTCTAAGTTAGGGAGAGTCAATCCATAGTGGAGCACCTAGTATCTGACACTATTAATTGTATTGCAGATCCCGGTGCCTCGAGGTCCTCTATGTCCAAGCGAGGGGTATCGCGAACTAGAACCAGCAGCTTGCTCCACAAACTTCGTCCGCTGCAGTCTAACTCCTAGTTGGAGAATGGAGGGGTACCTTTATCAATGTCCTGCAGGATTCGCGTACTGGCACATCAGCAGGATGTGCGAAAGGACCTCCAAGTTGCTGCAATGCAACGGATTCGACGTGTTCCGCACCAGGTGGGAGATTCCCGTTGAGTACACAAACGCTTCGTATAGGAGGAGGAAGAGTGCTTACACCACGTTCTAAGTCAATTTTTTCAATACAGATAATAAGCATTCGAAGCCTGGAAAAATAACCGAACGGTGATATATTGCAGTCGGAGAAACATACGTATGTAGTCAAATCGAAATGGATGAATGTAAATAATATAAATCGAGTAGTAACGGTAGTTAAGGCAGAGTATCCATGAGTCTCAAACTATATCTTGAAATAATGAATATCATTTATTGGTGTCCCAATTTTTAAGAATATTTGTAACATGTGGCAACCATGTAACCAACTTTTGTTACGTAGTTCCGCCGTCCGTCACCTGCGTTACTGTTTAGTTTAGTTGGAATGGAAGTCGCGCACAGTTAAAGAGCAGATCCTTTATTTAAACAATTAATTTGACAAGTAACTACAGCGTGGGTTCAAACTTGTCGACATGACAATTGACATCTCCAGACATTGACATGACGCAAGTCAGGGGCCATTCAGGCAGGGTTGCCAAGTCAACTCGAAATGGATGAATTTCGTGGATTCGTTTTTATTAGGTCTACAATTTTCTTTGCAAATCCATACGATTTGTTGTTTACGAATGTAAAGAATATAAATCGAGTAGCAACGGTAGTTAAGGCAGAGTAACCATGAGTCTCAAACTATATCTTGAATAATAATGAATCTCATTTATTGGTGTACCAATTTTTAAGAATATTTGTAACATGTGGCAACCATGTAACGACCTTTTGTTACGTAGTTCCGCCGTCCGCCACCTGCGTTACTGTTTAGTTTAGTTGGAATGGAAGTCGCGCACAGTTAAAGAGCAGATCCTTTATTTAAACAATTAATTTGTGAAGCGTGGGTTCAAACTTGACATGACAATTGACATCTCTAGACATTGACATGACACAAGTCAGGGGAAATTCAGGCAGGGTTGCCAAGCTTTCAATCTTCTAGTCAAGCTAATACATTAACAGTTACGACCATCGATGTGTATATTTCATTTTTTTAATATAGAAACTGTCACTCATATCGACTCGCTATTTAATCTGAAATCAGAACCCATCGTTATCGAAAATACAGTCAACTGTTTACCAAAGTAAAATAATCTCAACCTTTTGAAGGAAGTATAATACTCAAAGCTTATTCAACATTGTTAAGTTCTTTACATGGTTGCCAGATGTTACAAATAATCTGAACTCCAACTAAGATTTTAACACTAGCATAGAATGTTTCAAAGTTTTAAATATATTTGACAAAATACGCGCAAGTAAACGTGTTGATTTTGTGATATACTACGACAATGCTACCCTTTATATTTTATACATTTTTTTATGTACAATTTTTTCGCTGGATCTTTGTTCATTTCAAATTTAGCATTTAGTGACAAACTACAACATTTGGGATGAAGTTAGATGGTCCAACTTTCTACTTACGTTGAGCAACAATTTATTGTGTATTCTAGCTAAAACCTCATCGCTATTTTTTTATCAATGTAACGAAACTTTTCTTTCTTATTGATTGATATTGGATCATCGGAAATCCAAAAATAACTGTCAATTGAACCTTTTTCATATACAGGGTGACTGTGAAAGGTTGGGTCTTTTGAAACTGGAGATACTACAGAACAAAATATGTGAATTGACCTAAACATACCTTAGTCCAAAAGTTGATAGTTTGCGAGATACAGGGTGACAAAGTTACAATTTTATTTTCTATTTTTCCTTATTGCTTGGGAAATATTTTAGATTTTCGCATAAAACTCGGTATAGGTAGGTTTTCTGGTATGAGAAACAAGAATCCGTTATTTTTTGTGACCAAACTTCTAGAGGGCGCCACTGACAGCACTATTTCGGTAAGTAAGTTAAAAGTTATTATAACTTTTTGTGCTACCCTGTTTACAACAACTGACCAAAAAATGTTATTTTCTCGTATTTCCACAACAAAAAAGGTTCACTTGTTAGAAGTGTGCGTGAGTGATGATAACACATTTTCATGGTTTCTAATGTTTTTATAAGTTATTTACCGAAATAGTGGTGAAGTCGCGTCCTCTATAAGTTTGGCCATAAAAAATTAACGGATTCTTGTATTTCATACTAGAAAACCTACCTATAGCGACTTTTATGCCAGTTTCGAGATTTTCCAACCTTTCGTATAAGGTAGGATCTGCAAAAAAAACATTACGTAATATTACTGATGCTCATAGTGTTCATCTCAAATGTATATGTATACGTAAAAGCCTAGACAGACCTCAAAATGTTGACACTACATTAGAACCCATTTTCTATTGGTGAAGATAAGGGAGGAGGCACAAACCTTACGTAAATCAATCTTGCTCAAACTTTTGGAATAAGCATCCTGATGATTTACCGCCTTTAACGATCCTATGAAGAGTTTCCATGATATACAGGGTGTTCCGAGCATATACAGGGTGTCTCGATTTTATTCCACCAACAGGTGTTTTGAAAATAAGGTCCTACTTTTTATTATACACTCGGATAGGTACGTTAAAAAGAAAAACAAACGTATCAGATTTGACCTTGAATTATTAAGAGCCCATGCGAACGTTTAATCAGAATGTCCTGGAGAGCAGATTCCCAAGATTCGCTGGCGACTGATTTCTCTACGCTTTGTGCCTCCTCCGTTATGAAACTCTACACTATACGGAGGCCTGTTGAAACTAGTTCTCCGAAAAAAACATCGACTGAACTGATTTAGTGACTTTCGGTTGAACTAACGAGTTAGTTCTTTACAAAACGTTCGAGGATCAGTAGCGAAGTTCGTATCTGCAACTTTGCTATTGAAAAGTGGGGATGGTTGTGGGATAAGTAATTTATTATTTATTGTTTAGATAACATTTTAGTGCCGTTTATGTGTAAGAACGATAAGGCTAAGCACACATTTGCCATTCTAATTATCGGATAGACAATAAACATATTTTTATACGGAATGATTTGTTTTTTTATGTTACCCTTACTACGAACCTTGAAGCCGAAATTTGGAACGTCGAGTGGGTCGACTCTGCATTTCCTGCGCACGATGCTGTCATCAGTTCATAAAAAGTTAGCTACGAATTTGTAAAAAAACTGAACGGATCAAGCCTCCTTGATTTTCGTAGTTTCTTACTGTTCCGTGTCAGTGCTCTATTTTGAGGTTATGTTACAAGAATCTATTTGCACCAAATTGCTCACGCTTTTGGCTATACAGGGTGTTTCAGTTTATTGTTGCATAACTTTAAGATTCGATAGAACTTTTAAAATTAATGCATAAAGTCTATATAAACATGAGTCGAAAAATGCGTGGCTTCGGAAATACAGGGTGTTTAAATTTACTTTCTAAAATAGTTTTTTTTAAATATTTCGAACAATATTTGATGTATAACAGTGAAAATTGGTATACAAGGGTTTTTTGGTACGACAAAACGAACCATGGGCATAGATTTACTGTAGCCGCTAGAGGGCGCTCTCTATTGTACCTGTAGTGTATTAAAATGACCGAAAAATTTTTCTTAGTCCAATTTTTTGCTTTTTGAATAAAAAAACTGATTCTTCGCACTTTTCGACATAAAAAAGCTCTCTTGTGAATTTTCGTTATAGTTAGATATTTCGATTTTTGATGTTCGATGCATTTTTAATTATTTATGGGAAAATAATATTTTTTTTACATTTTCGATTTGGGCATTACAAGTAATTAAGATGATCGTTTAGATTGTGTTTTTAGACACAGCAATAATTCCTAACTCCAAATAAACACAAAAAAACAGAATATTAATTTGTTTAATTTTCCAATATTATTTTTAACAAATTAAATTAATTATTCACAACTAAAATGCTATTGGATAGTTAGGACAAACATACAAAATTTTATGAAATTGGCCCCAGGCTTGGAACAGCAGGACGCTCAAGGTCACCTACGGAATCCCCACCACAGGCGTATCACAAGGTGGGCCATAAACGGCTATAAAAGCCAATAAAGTTCTCAGTATATTGGAGGTACAAAATACGTCTTTCTTGTAGGTACACAATTATTAAGGTGACCATACGTCCCACTTTCGGACTCTGTCCTACTGTTCCTGACAAAAGCCTAGCGACATAAAAATGTCGCTTTTTTCGGTCGTGCTGTCTCCAACAAAAAGCATGGGGCTGAAAAATATCCTACTTTTTCCAAATCATACGGAATATGTAAAATTTTCGAACGAGATTGTTAGCAACCCCCTCCCCTCCCCCCGCTCTTCAAACTTCTAATCATCGGCTATCTATGCAAAAAATTAAGTGTGTTTACACATTGTGATTTCACTTTATGATTGTAAACAAAAATAGCAAAATGTGTGCCTATTGTGGTAGGTACTCGACCCCAATATAGAAGTAATAAAACACAGTAAATACCTACTTAAGAAAATGTTTATTTGATGGTCTACATATCCCTACCCGCGCTTCCCAAGGTCAAAAGTAACTTATGTGCTATTCCAGACTACAATCTATCTCTGAACCCAATTTCATCCATATCCGTTCAGCCATTTTGGCGTAACTGAAGTAGACACATCCGTTTGTTCGTATCTACACTATTAAAATTAGTAGGATACGTTCCATCTGCTCCATATAAGGATTTTACCATCAAATAATCTCAGTTGGCCGTGGCGGAAATCGAACGAACAGCTGAGGGTGTCAGGTGGACATTTCGCCGCGTCATCGCCAACTGAGATTTGAGCAGTTTTAGCTGTAACTCTTGAAATAGATATTTCGAAGTTCCTTCCCGGGATAAAATGTAACCTATGTGTTATTCCAGGGTATAATCTATCTGTTTGTCAAGCTTCATTCAGATCCGTTCATCCATTCTGGCGTGATTGAGCAACTAACATACATCCATCCATCCATACTTTCGCATTTATGATATTAGTAGGATATATATATATATATATATATATATACAGGGTTTGTCCGTAAAGAAATAGTTATTATTCCAATTTTATACGTATTTTCCGGACAAACCTTGTATCGACCTCATATAAACCAAGTCATATCGGCTTTGTATGTGGTCTTTTATACGTCATACAGTGACGTCAATTGGGAGTGACATTAGATCGTCATAATGACGTCGTTTCTACGTTATATAAAGAAGTCAATTGGGTGTGACATGAAACAGTCATAATGACGTCGTTTCTACGTTATATAAAGACGTCAATTGGGTGTGGCATGAAACAGTCATAATGACGTCGTTTCTACGTTATATAAAGACGTCAATTGGGTGTGACATTAATCCGTCATAATGACGTCGTTTCTACGTTATATAAAGACGTCAATTGGGTGTGACATTAAACAGTCATAATGACGTCGTTTCTACGTTATATAAAGACGTCAATTGGGTGTGACATGAAACAGTCATAATGACGTCGTTTCTACGTTATATAAAGACGTCAATTGGGTGTGACATGAAACAGTCATAATGACGTCGTTTCTACGTTATATAAAGACGTCAATTGGGTGTGATATTAAACAGTCATAATGACGTCATTTCTACGTTATATACAGACGTCAATTGGGTGGGACATTAAACCGCCATAATGACGTCGTTTCTACGTTATATAAATACGTCAATTGGGTGTGACATTAAACAGTCATAATGACGTCGTTTCTACGTTATATAAAAACGTCAATTGGGTGTGACATTAAACAATCATAATGACGTCGTTTCTACGTTATATAAAGACGTCAATTGGGTGTGATATTAAACAGTCATAATGACGTCGTTTCTACGTTATATACAGACGTCAATTGGGTGTGACATTAAGCCGTCATAATGACGTCGTTTCTACGTTATATAAAGACGTCAATTGGGTGTGACATTAAACAGTCATTATGACGTCGTTTATACGTTATATAAAGACGTCAATTAGGTGTGACATTAAACAGTCATAATGACGTCGTTTCTACGTTGTATACAGACGTCAATTGGGTGTGACATTAAACAGTCATAATGACGTCGTTTCTACGTTATATAAAGACGTCAATTAGGTGTGGTATTAAACAGTCATAATTGACGTCGTTTCTACGTTATATAAAGACATCAATTGGGCGTGACATGAAACAGTCATAATGACGTCGTTTCTACGTTATATAAAGACGTCAATTGGGTGTGACATTAAACAGTCATAATGACGTCGTTTCTACGTTATATAAAAATGTCAATTTTGTGTGACATTAAACAGTCATAATGACGTCGTTTCTACGTTATATAAAGACGTCAATTGGGTGTGACATTAAACAGTCATAATGACGTCGTTTCTACGTTATATAAAAATGTCAATTGGGTGTGACATTAAACAGTCATAATGACGTCGTTTCTACGTTATATAAAGACGTCAATTGGGTGTGACATGAAACAGTCATAATGACGTCGTTTCTACGTTATATAAAAATGTCAATTGGGTGTGACATTAAACAGTCATAATGACGTCGTTTCTACGTTATATAAAGACGTCAATTGGGTGTGACATTAAACAGTCATAATGACGTCGTTTCTACGTTATATAAAAACGTCAATTGGGTGTGACATTAAACAGTCATAATGACGTCGTTTCTACGTTATATAAAGACGTCAATTGGGTGTGACATGAAACAGTCACAATGACGTCGATTCTACGTTATATAAAGACGTCAATTGGGTGTGACATTAAACCGTCATAATGACGTCGTTTCTACGTTATATAAAGACGTCAATTGGGTATGGTATTAAGCAGTCATAATGACGTCGTTTCTACGTTATATAAAGACGTCAATTGGGTGTGACATGAAACAGTCATAATGACGTCGTTTCTACGTTATATAAAGACGTCAATTGGGTGTGACATGAAACAGTCATAACGACGTCGTTTCTACGTTATATAAAGACGTCAATTGGGAATGACATTAAACAGTCATAATGACGTCGTTTCTACGTTATATAAAGACGTCAATTGGGTGTGACATTAAACCGTCATAATGACGTCGTTTCTACGTCATTTTTGTTTGTAGGCGTACGCCAGTAGTACCCTACAAATGCTGGCATTACGACATCACTATGTTCACTGGGATTACTTGAAAGACGCCTTCCATCCGCCGGTTAGTAAAATCGGGCCTTATGCACCTGACACGTTCACAATATCGATATGATAACAAAATATTCGATTTTTTTTACGATCGTCGCCTGCATGAGTGTTTCGATTGGCATTCACCTTCACTGCAATTATTTACGTGATGGTGTTATCAACCGGTGGTGGTGTGTGTACCTGTGTCATCAATCAAACGCAGATAGACTATTGTTTATAGCTTTGTTTTAAATATTTACCTTCTGCGTCTCCGCAAATCACGTACACTACGAACAATACAGAAATACGCTGAAACCACATTTGTGCAATTATGGAGTGAGATTATATGTTTTGATGAGTTTTGCGATTGGTATCTTGAAAAAAAGATAACATCATGATCTTCAAAAGATGTCTAACAACCAAACGTTTCCATTGTGACTAGAGTGTTGTCTTCTGTACTGATACAGGTGAGGATCTATCTATAGTACAAAGCTTTTACGTCCGGAATTTTATTGTTGATCTCAACAAGATGCATAGGAAAATTTACAAAATCAAAAATTGAGAATCTGTCAAAGCCCCAAACTTTGCAAAAGCGACATGACTTCCTTTGATCACCTTGTAAAAGTGGATAAATAACGGGTGATTTTTTAAGAGGTATAGGATATTATTTTTAAAAAAAAACACAAAAAATTTGAAAAAAAGATTAAATCTTTATTTGAGTCGATAGAACGGTCGATATAATTTAATGTTTAAAGATTATTTCATGTAAATGTTGGCCGCTGCTCCGCTTTAGATGGCCCATGCTCAAGGTCCAATTTCGGCACACTCTCTCCAACATATCGGCCGGTATCTCACGAATAAATACTTCAATATTGGCTTCCAGTGCGTCAATCGTTGCTGGTTTATCCCTGTAGATATTAGCCTTGACATGGCCCCACAAGAAATAGTCCAACGGCGTTAAGTCTCACGATCTAGGCGGCCAATTGACGGGCCCCAAACGTGAGATAAACTGTTCACCGAACTCGCCTCTCAATAGGGCCATTGTTTCGTGTGCGGTGTGGCATGTGGCACCGTCTTGTTGAAACCACATGTCCGCCAAGTCCAGCTCTTCCATTTTGGGCAAAAAAAAGTTTGTTATCATCGCACGGTCGCGCTCGCCATTCACAGTTACGTTCTGGCCATTGTCGTCTTTGAAGAAGTACGGCCCGATGATGACACCGGCCCATAATCCACAGCAAACAGTGATTTTTTCGGGATGCATTGGTAGCTCTTGCAATGCTTCTGGCTGGTCTTCACTCCGGATGCGGCAATTTTGCTTGTTAACGTACCCATTCAACCAGAAATGAGCTTCGTCGCTGAACACAATTTTTCGATAAAAATGTTGATCTCCTCCAACTTTCCAGCGCCCAGTCACCAAATTGGAAACGTTGTGGGAGGTTGTGTGGCTTCAATTCTTGCACCAGCTGTATCTTATAAGGTTTTACACCCAAATCCTGTCGCAAAATTTTCCACGTAGTGCAGTAACAGAGGCCCAATTGCTGCGAATGGTCATCACTAACACTGGCGGATACAGCCGCAACATTTTCTTCAGTCCTCACTCTACGTCTGCGCGTCGGTGGTTTAATGTCCAATAATGTAAACTGGGTTCGAGATTTACTCACAAGCTTCCGAATAGCTCCCTCAGTAGGCCGACCAAATTGCCCATAAATTGGAAGCAGTGCTCGATGTACTCTCTTAACCGAGCATGAATTTTGATAGTAAAATTCAATAATTTGCAAGCGTTAATTCATGGTTAAATTATAGACCAAACTGAACAAGTTTGACAATGACACACGACACGATTCACGCGTCATCCGTCAAAACAGTGTTGCCAAAAAGATACTAGCAAAAAAATCACCCATTATAATAAATATACTCTATACGCGCTCTCAACGAGCTAGTCAAGAACCTCCCGAATATCGAGATTTGAACTCGGGTAAAAACTGTTTACCAGTTTATTTTTTACCGAAACTAATCCAAAAGATGTAATCTCAAGCTAAATCCATTCGCCTTTCAACGTCTGGAATGAGTCATTGAGCACAAATACACTGAAACTATCAGACTACTGCGGAATATTTGACATATCTCCGAATATTAAATGTCAGATAATGTTTTTATATTAGTGAAGAAGAAATTCAGATTTCGCACATTCAAACAACCCAAAAGTTGTATGTATATTGATAGCCGTAAGTTGTGTTATTTATTCTCATAATTAATGAACTTTGCAGGATGCAGAAACCGCATAAAGAAACGATATATAAGTAGAATGTCCAAGAAAGTGACCGAAGAGAAATCTCCCCTATTATTCGTTGTCGACGACAATGATGATATTCACCAGGCAAAACAGAAAATGTACTTCGGAAATGGTAGATTTCGTGGGATTACAAACGGAGCTACAGCTGTATTCATGCAATTTCCAAGTTAGTAGACGTTGCAACCAATTGTGGTAATTATGGATATCCAAAAAAGACAAGCGAAAATTCATCGAATAGAACACCGATTATCCGAAACAGATCGCATACAATAATTTCTCCGTTTTAACCGAAGTTGTTCGGAACATAGCCGCCGGTAGTTCCCCTTTCGGCGTTTGCGTCATTAGATTCGCTGCCGGTGATTCCCGAAGCGCGTTTGCGGAAATCACTGGTATGCGTGCGTGTATGTTTGTTTCAGTCAGCTTCATAATCGCTGAGATGGAGCAGCATAGAAATAAACGTAAACGCGCTGTTATTACCATAGAACATAAACTTGAGGCAATCAGACGGATAGAGGCGATTTGCTTAAAAATGTATGTAATAACATACTTATTTTTTTAATCTTTTACTATTTCTTTTGTTAACTTTTATGTAGGTGATTTTGGTACATATCAACTCCTGTTGGCGAGTCCTATAAGCAGTTAAAATAAATGAGTCGGCTTTGAAAACATACTGTATGGTTTTGTATTTAATTTACAATCATAATATCATGTTACAGTTTTTCTGTTAATGGTATAATTTACAACAAATTTTGTTGTTTTGTGACTAAACTTTTGTAATTTAACTTCTACTTGTCCAGTGTAAGTACGTAAGTGAAATAAAGAAATGAAATGGAAAGAAAAATAAGCTGCACACCAATCAGGCGCGGATCCAGGAGGGGGGGGGTCATTTCTACTAAACACTGGCAGCTCTGCATCCGTCAACTTTGATTTAACTCTAAGCTGATAGCAGCAAGACTGGTTGCCTATGGGATCAGCAGATTTTACTCGCAATAAGGATGTCACATATTAAGAGGGGCTTACAATTATATGCACAATAGTATCTCCTGCGCACTGTTACCTCTGTTTTTTTACTATATGTCTATATAACCTGAATCAAGTAGAGACTGTGAGATCAAACATATTTTATTCAATACAAAATGACAGAATTATTCTAGTTTGAATCTGCGTCATGCTTTTCGTTCAGCAAAAAGGTTCGTCGCAGAATCCAAATTGAGTGAATTAGCTACTGATCGTTCGATATAGAGGATATAGAAGTTGTTGAGTGTGTCTTCAGCCAAAATAGCTCGACGGTATTCTTTAATAATTTTTAAAGAGCTCATGACACCTTCAGCAAAGTCAAAAAAAATCTGAATAAACTGCAGCTCTCTGGAAAACTGTCTACAAAATTGTTTGCAATCATGAACTTCAAATAATCTAGCGGGCTGTTATTAGTAAAATTACGATTTTCCGAAAAATACATGCTCGTAACACTGGCTAATTCATATTTTAGTTCTATAGTGAAAAATTCCGAATATTTTTCCATCAAATTAGTGACGCTGGTTTCTAATGCGTTTTCTTTTAGATTGACTAATTTTTCTGGCATCAGAAAACCAAACATATCATTCACTTCACGAAATCCTTCAGTACGTTCTTGCAATTCGTTACTCATTGAATCCAAAACTTCGTAGTAATTTATTCGATGTTTTTCGTGTGTTTCCAGTGGAGAATCAGCAACTTTTTCATCGAACATTTTTTTGATTTTCCTCTTTCTGACAATGGGAAAACCAGGATTTTCCCATCCCATCTCTTCCCATTTATGTTGCCGAGATGGCCGTTCGGGTTTTTAAAAAACTTTATTTTTACTTTTACAAGACACTACAATATACTTGATATATTTTATAATGGATAAATGTACAATACGACGAACAAACGGGTAATCTTTTTGGAAAGCATCAAGAACCTCTATTTATCATCTCGGCTTGGATGCTTTCCTCAGCATTTTCTTCTTCCACGTGCATCCTTTTCTGCATCATAACTTTTATTCTTAGCCTTCAGAACAAAATTATCGTATGTGCTTTCGCTCCTCAAATCTTTTAATTTTTTCAATGCTGAAATGTACCTTTGAGCCATCATCAAGTCTATTTCTTTCTTTTGCATTTGAATCTGCACAGTATTCATTACGATGAACATGAAGTTTTTTGGCCAGTGTGACCCGCCCCTCAGACACAATCCTGGAACCGCCGTTGACTCCATTGTTTGTCATAGAGATACGCCTATGGAGATCGAAAAACGGAAATACTCGTATCATTAAATTCAGTAATAACATTCACAAATACATAAATATAATTGTATTAATAACAGTAACTTTTGCTAACAATTTTATTTTTAATATGTTCACGCATTACAGCGAAATGTATAACGCGTCTAGATCCAACGGTGATAGAAAACGCTTCGGTAAATATTCTAGTTCAATAGTTGATGCCTGAATGATAGCGAATATCGTTGAATAAGGCACCTGTACCAAATAAGGCCACGTTAACGTTTGGACCGCTGCCCAACTAACAATTATCACTCCTGTTAGAGTTGCAAGAATGATTATACAGTATTCCTTAAACAGCATTGTATACTGTAAGAACATTGGCAAAACCCTCTTAGAACTGCTTTACAAGCGGAATGGGCACACCTAATAGGACACTTCAGTCATTTAAGAGGTTGTATAAGGGCTGCAGGTAACAGTTATACAACAAAAGTGTAAGCCTCTTGCAGCCGCTATAGGACATTTGCGTCAGTGCAAGATTCAGTTTTTGTCAACTATACAACTATTCTGTTACGTGTTTCTACTTTATTGCAACCAAACTATTTCTTATGTATTGTATAGACGAAGAAGAATATATAACTAACACATTACAGTAATCTTGTTTACTTACATATCGGCCATTGTGCGCAGCAAATTTTATTGTGATTATCGTGCAAATTAGTTACGCAATTTCTATGAGCTTCGTATTTGATTCATATTTTGATAATGATCAAAAGTATGTCTAGATTTTTAAGATGGAAAACTGAACTTATCTGCGTTAAATCTTCCACAAATCCTATATTTAGACGCAATTACACTAATGTTTATCACTTTATATCTGTAATTTCGAACTGAAACATAATTATTTAATATTAAATAGAGGAATAAATCTTTGCCCAATATGGCGGGTGGTTGTGTATAATCATGGCATCGTCCATGTTGTCTTTAGGTTATTAGAATATTTTGGTGTTGCCTGCAGGTGTTATACAACAATTTGACAAATGTCTGAAATGAAATACCGACAGAGTCGAATGATTTACCCAGAATTTGTACCAGATCTATATCTGCTGTTTGAACAGTTGATAAAACATTTTGAACCAATATGCATGCGTTGTTTGTCTTAAAACATTGGTTATGGCATTTTAACAAAAATATGACAGCAGAAAGTTAGGTTATGGTGAAGTTGTTTACCAATATTTTAGCGTATGTACAGCCTTTAACAGTTGTATAAGTGTTTCCGTTGGGAGCAATTTGTTGGCTAAAATAGTAAATTGCACAGGAAGACAACAAGGCTCGGGTTTGTTTTATAAACGTTACCACGGATGCCACAACACAACCATTTTGACTAACGTGCAAATATGCCGTATAAAATAGTTGTATAAACGTTTATGCAACAGTTAAAAATTTGCCCTATAAGGTGTTGTATAACTATGCTATAGGAATAACACCTCACTTTAGAGCAAATATGTTGCAGAAAGCAAATTTGCATTCCACACAACATTAAGCCAGGATTTTGGTGTTCAGGCAACAACAATAGAGAGCTTTTATGGCTGAACGGTTCCTTTACCAAAAGCTTATAACATTACTTTGCTAGTTCCCCGTTCCTCCCTAATCTTGGTTCTTCTATTATATTTTCCTGGTTTTGAGTAGGGCACTGTTACCTGTATGTATGTGAATATTGCAGCGGATCTATATGTTTTATTATAAATTTGAGCATGTTTATATCACTCTTGTGGCCGAATAGGCTAGAACTCCTAAGGCCATTAATAATAAAAAAAAAATACTTTGCTAGTTGGGTTTAAATTCATAAATATTTGCGATACGATCATGCTGTATGGGAGAGCTCCGAGAACTTTTCTTTCCATATAAAAAATCTATATTTTTTGGAACAACACTGTTGGCCTTATTAGGAACCCAGGTATCCAAATAAGGCCATGATCTGGTTTCTAATAAAGCCACACTCAAAGTATAAAACAAGACTGTTGAGTAATTGAATTTATATTTCTAACTAACAACAATAAATAATTCTTAAATCCATCTTGCTTTTGCCTTCGCATTGAAGACAAACAAATAATACCTTATCGCCTCTAAACAAGCCTACACATTCCTCATGGACATACCTCAAGCATGTTACACACACACGCATGTCACGTATTTCATTCCTATCGCATATGCAACAGTCCCAGTTTTCGTCTTTATTCTTCTGGGAACGATTTAACATTATCTTATTACCACATCTAACCTTAAACATACAATTAACGAAATTGAAAACATTCAAAACCTGGCAACGGCAAATAACTACCTCCATATGCCTTATAGACTTTCCTGTTTGAATTAACAAGAGATTCCGTAAAAAAAAAGCATGACAAACGTGAAAAAACGGAGACAAATTCAAAGCAGATATTTTATAAGGCACATGTTGAAAACCGACGCTATGCTACCGCGCCATCTAGCGCCGCGCCACAGCTACTGAATTTATGGCTGCTAACTGCTTTCAATAAAATTGTAGAACTGCAGAAATCTTTAATTTTAAATGTTGATAGTTCAGGTGCATGGCCTTATTTGCTACAGGTACCTTATACAGGGTTTGTCCGGGAAGTAATAGGACTAGCACCTCACAAACTTATTTGTTTTAGATTACATCGGAACGTGTTGGGTGTCAACGGCGATATGCGGATTACTATTCTTCATGCTGATGTTGCTGTTATTCTCGGCCATCACTCCGAACGTCATCAGAATCCCTAGATGTGCACCTTCCGATGATATGGACAACATGACTATACATCTAGTCCATATTGACCACCATCCTTACGAATGGACCAAGTCGGAGATAAATATCATCGATAAAGTCGTCAAGAACTATCCGAATTACAACGTTCATCTGATAATGATCGAACCTCAACATCGTTATCGATTCGAGAGGAGAAAACGCGGTGTTCCGAAGAGTAAGCAACTGGTCACAGTAACCACGACGTCAGAAGCTTCTTCGACAGAAAAAGTGAAGCGTACAGATCAATTTGGTATGAGGTTTGATCCAGCCAAGTTCCTGGACATGCTCTTGCGAGGAACACTGATAGGAAACAGTGCATCGAGACGTTCCAAAAGAGCTCAGAGTACTGCTACGACGCCACCTTCCACCAGTACTACAAAAACGGTGTCGACAGTCAACGATCTGTTGGAACTTTATCCGAACATCATGGTTGAAAACGCCACCTATCACCAAGTGTTTTTCCAATCGCCTTTGTACGCGTATTGGCCTTACCTGAACGACAGACTGAAAGTGTTCGCCGTGAGAGTTATGCAACTTTGGCAGTACGGTGGTCTGAGCTTCGACTTGGATCCTCCTACTGTGGCTGATAATACAGCAAAAAATACGTCGGATAGCGATTCCTTGGACAAGGACTTTGACATCTTCCACAAGCATTTGCTCAAATTCATAATCTCAGATGCAGACAAAGGATTGAAAGAGGATATTGTTGCGGCAGACGACGAGGCGTTGCACATGGAAAGCAAAATTCCGTGTCACGCTTTCTTCGGTGAAATTTTGATCAGCTTGAGGAAAGCGCAGCATACGTCAACTGTCAAAAATGTAATCCAGTCGGCGACGAAGATTTTCTGTACCCACTATGCATTCAACAAAGACTATTGCAAGGCGATTCTGAGGACGCGCTAATTATTATTATGTAGACATTTTTTATTGTATATTTTTAATAAAATATTTTTTTTACGGAAACCTTTCAATACCATTTGATATTATTTTTTTATTTTAGAGTATGCTAGGAGCATCAAATCGCAAGTATACGTATATTTAAAAATATACGCTCAAAGTACTTTATTTTTCCTTTTTAAAAAAAGTATCTCAAATTTGGTTCCTTTCCTCTAAAGCAGATTTCTGATAATCGCGATTCAAATAATCGGGGTTCTACTGCAATTCATTTTTGTTCGTAGCCGACTTTTTTGTCAGAAGAGCTAACATGTGCCAAACATAATCACTTGTGAACCGAGTCAACCTACCTGACACGATTTTTGTCACTCAATAGGGAGCCTTAGCAATAGTGTATGCGTAAACGACAAAGTATGCTGTATTTATGATTGCTAAAACTCTTTACAATATCTAGCATCCCAACTAGCAAAGTAGTGGTATAAGCTTTTGGTAAAAGAACCTTCAGTCATAAAAGATCTCTATTGTTGTTGCCTGAACACCAAAATGCTGGCTTAATGTTGTGTGGAATGCAAATTTGCTTTCTGCAACATATTTGCTCTAAAATGAGGTGTTATTCCTATAGCATAGTTATACAACACCTTATAGGGCAAATTTTTAACTTTTGCATAAACGTTTATACAACCATTTTATACGGCATATTTGCAAGTTAGTCAAAATGGTTGTGTTGTGGCATCCATGGTAACGTTTATAAAACAAACCCGAGCCTTGTTGTTTTGCTGTGCAATTTACTACCTTATCCAACAAATTGCTCCCAACGGAAGCACTTATACAACTGTTAAAGGCTGTACATATGCTAAATATGTTGGTAAACAACTTCACCATAACCTAACTTTCTGTTGTCATATTTTTGTTAAAATGACTTCAGTTTTACCATAAAGTGGAGCACCTTATTAGTTATACTCATTACGGTTGTTGGGGACACTTTAAATGTAGTTCTTATGCTTAACTAAGTATCCTGTGTAGCCATATACCACAAGAATATTAAAATATGGCCATATAAACTTACTAGATGATATCCACCTGTATACGGTTTTGCTAATTTCTTTTTTCATAATTTCTGCTGAATCAATAAATGTTTTCTTTGACATGCGGAAAAATTTAGAGAATTGATAGTTATCATAGCTACAAAGCCATGGTTCCATCATTAAAAAAAAAAATCTGAAAAAAACATTTCTCCCATGAACATTATATTATCTTATTTAAACTTTCCATATACAGTTGTAGACGAAAAAGCACCGATTATTAAGTGATAATAAAAATAATCAGAGATTATATACGCGCTTTTCTAAAATAAACAACTTGCAACAAAACCGTGGTTAAAACCAACACGTTCAAGCGATTCGTGTAACTGACGTCATCAACCCGTGTGTCATCTTGAACCATATTATAACCGCGGCACATAACACAGAAATTTTGGTTATTCGCTTGGATTTGATTAAATGTTTCAAGAGAAACAACGCATGCATATTGGTTCAAAAGGTTTTATCAACTGTTCAAACAGAAGATATAGATCTGGTACAAATTCTGGGTAAATCATTCGACTCTGTCAGTATTTCATTTCAGACATTTGTCAAATTGTTGTATATAGTGGATACCATGTGGATACCAAATAAAACCCGATGCACGTCATCGATCTGGAGCTGTGCGCTGTTGCCAGAATTTGCACATTTTCTTTTAAGCAAATAAATTTAATAAAATAAATTGTTTATATATACCTACCATTTACTATAATAATACCATTATATTAAAAATAAATAAACTTTTTGTAAAATTAAATTCCTTTCTGAATAAAAACACCTGATTTTGGTAGATATTCAATGAAAAGAGCTCTTTACACCGACCGTTAAGTTGTTTTGGCATTTTGGATACTTTACACCACTTCACAGTAACTGTTGTTCTGAAAAGAACAATTTTTAATTGGCAAGGCAACGATTCAAAGCTCAAATAGCGCAAAACTCACAAACTAAACAATTAAGAACTAATAGTTCGACAAAAGGACAATGGCAACTGATGTCAACAAATGAGAAGTGGCAACCTCACATTTCTCTGCACGGCACTATCAACCGAATCGAGACGGGGAAATTTAAACTTCAAGTAGAAATGTCACATTGAATGTAGTCAACTGTTGGTAACCATGATTTTTATGAATGACATCACCTATGACGTGCATCGGATTTTATTTGGTATCCACTATAACACCTGCAGGCAACACCAAAATATTCTAATAACCTAAAGACAACATGGACGATGTCATGATTGTACACAACCACCCGCCATATTGGGCAAACATTTATTCCTCTATTTAATATTAAATAATTATGTTTCAGTTCGAAATTACAGATGTAAAGTGATAAACATTAGTGTAATTGTGTCTAAATATAGGATTTGTGGAAGATTTAACGCAGATAAGTTCAGTTTTCCATCTTAAAAATCTAGACATACTTTTTATCATTGTCAAAATATGAATCAAATACGAAGCCGGTAGAAATTGGGTAACTAATTTGCACGATAATCACAATACAATTTTCTGCGCAAGAAATTAAATAGCCCTATGTCAAAGTGTAGAAGTTTATCATATACCTGTGTATGAAATTCACAATGGCCGATATGTAAGTAAACAAGATGACGGTAATGTTATATAATATATAAATGTTATATATTCTTCACTTAGTCTATACAATACATAAGAAATAGTTTGGTTGCAATAAAGTAGAATCACGTAACAGAATAGTTGTATAGTTGACAAAAACTGAATCTTGCACTGACGCAAATGTCCTATAGCGGCTTATACTTTTGTTTTATAACTGTTACCTGCAGCCCTTTACAACCTCTTAAATGACTGAAGTGTCCTATTAGGTGTGCCCATTCCGCTTGTATAGCAGTTCTAAGAGGGTTTTGCCAATGTTCTTACAGTATACAATGCTGTTTAAGGAATACTGTATAATCATTCTTGGAGTGATAATTTTTAGTTGGGATGCTAGCAACATTACAACTCAAAGATCATGGTTGGTGTAAATGGCAACACTGGCTAAGCAATGCTTGCCTGACGTCACTCGAGCCCGTGTGAATTTGAATAAACTGCTCGAAATTAAACTAATATTTCCAGTCTTACTCGTTGTATTTGTACAAAGTATCCACTAGACATCACATCTATTCATAGCACGACAGAAGGTGCAAAATACAGAGAGCCAGTTGTACGTCATGAACATCGACATGATCAGGCCACTTCGTTTGTAGTCCAATCCGCCTACGAAGGCTCGGACGAAAAATATCACAGATTCCATCACCACCATTACCGCGTACAGGATCATGAAGGGAAGGAAGAAAATTGGACTATTCTGAAAATAATATATGCCAAATTAAAGGCGGGGATTGTGTACGATTTTTTACTTACAGTTAACAATCCTACGAGCAGGAAGCAATAATATTCCAGTGACAAAACTAAACAGATCAATTTGCAATCTCGCTCTACTTCTGCGGGGACCAGTGTTCCCGTTTTCAGTCTCTCCCTCCATAGGTAACCTGGTAGAACTGGGCCGCACTTCACAATCCTTATGATATCGAACAAACTCAAGGCCTGAAAACTGCATACGTCAGGACTTTGTGTGTGAATGAAACTTCAATACAGAGTGGACGAATAGGAAACAACCAGTGAGTGTTTTTGCACTTCAAAACGGCGTTTCAAGCTATTGACAGGGATAAATTACAAAATTGCATGACTATGGATTTAAAGGATCTGTATTTAAGATTCTACATAACTGCGCAATTGACAGAAGGCAGAAAAGCAAAACTGGGTCTATATTATCAAGCTCAAAACATATTTCTGTTGGTGTACCACAAGATAGCGAATTACTATGTGTTTTATACATTGTGGCGCCATCTGTCGAAAATTGGTCGTACCAACTCAGAAACCTTCGGGGGCTATGTACAACTTTGCTAAAGATCGTCACATGATCAAATGCATAGTTTACGAGTCTACAAAAGACACACACAAACATTCATTTTTATATATATATATATATAACTCTGATATTTTAGGTTATTATAAATCTCCGATATTTGCAGATACATTAATAGACATATCAAATGAAAATGTAGACACTGCTTTAAAAAATCAAAGTCCTGAATTGGTTAATTGTAAATAAATAAAAATTGAATGCTTCTAATACAAAATGTATGTTAATAGGGAAATACTTAAATGAAAATACTATCATATCACAATTAGGATTTATGGTAATTGAAAATGTTTAATCAAATGAATATTTTGGTATACATTTTGATAGCAAACTAAAGTTTAGAAGATGTTTAAAAGAAAATTAAAGGAATATTTCTTGGGCAGTGAAAAATGTTAGAGATGCATGTTTTGTTTTTCTAAATATCTGTATGCTATTGCTGTAGTTTTTTTTAAATAAATCTTTAACAAAAACGCAAAATGGCACGGGAAAACTGATGAAGTATATCTGTTCGTCCATTCTGTATGAAATAAACGTTGGCAATACCACTCCTAAGACTCCCAAAATTCCGACGTAGATGTGTGAAACGTGAAAAGGCAGCACGCCGCACAGCCGCTGGATACTCTTTTGATTTTTCTTCAAAACCGGGCCCAGAAATGAGTTGAAAGGTAGTTTCATAATTTACTCCACCAGGTTTTTTTTTCACATGACGCTATGCATTGGATTTAAATAATTTGCTTTTTTCGCATTATGATTTTTGGTGTTATACTTGCCACAACTGACACTGCCACGATGATTAGACATTGAAAGTTGGTACTGGATTAAAGATAAGACATTAGTGTAGTTTGGATAGCAAACGCGGTGCGAAGTTCTACTCGGACATCACATTTCTGACTGACGTTTTCAAAATGTATTTGTGTTAGTTTTCCGGTCTACAATTTAATCCAAATTCAACATAAAAATGAGTTCAAGTACGATAATGATAAAGAGTCCCTCTCCAAATTATCAAGACATCAGACATCTGCAAGAGTACAAATTTCCGACCCTTTTGGTATTTTCGCTGTGGACGTTTTCATCGATGTTTTCTGCCGCCAAGATTGAGTTCAGCTCCAATGTTACAGGTTTGTGTTTATGATGATCATTAATGCTCTTTATGAAGAAAACTATATCAACCTTTTATTGCAGGCATATCAGTTGCATTCAATATGCAAGATGTTGTGCTGATTGCTTTTGCGTCCTGGATGCTACACAGAGGTTTGGCTACTGTAACGTTAACGCTCTATAATAATTTACAGTAATTTTTATATTCCAACAGCTTCTCATATCACTAATAACATTTTAAGAAAATCTCACCGAAGAAGTTAATAAAAATTTTGTAGGTCATTTCGACTATCAATGTGGTATTTTTCAAGTACGATTATACTGTGAACATGAAAGCTATAGAAGTTTCGACCGCGACTCAAATTTTGAAAGAATAAAGAACATTCCTAAGGTTTTTATGCGAAGTTGGGAATGAAAAATTACTGATAAAGATATGTTGTATTAATTTTTACTAATATTGTAGAGGAATATAGCGTTGATATTTCCATGGGTGATAGTAACATTCTATGGACTGTATTATAATCATTACAAGAGTGTATCGAAAATGGCGACGATTTTGAGGCATATCAGATACGTTACAGCAGTGCCTTGGCTAGCACTATTTGCTATATCAATCGGTTTGGGTAAGAAATCATCATTACACACCTGTGTTTTTTGGTGTATTTGCTTTCTGGGCAAACACAGAGACTGAATATAGGCAACCAGTTACTCCGAACTGATCTGCTGCTGCTATCTCTTTCTGTCTTCAATGATCAATTTATGTTCATCTGAATCCATTTTCTGCTCGGTAAACTTCTTTTTTTCATAGCCACACATTTTAATTTATGATATTATAAAATTTGGATACAAAATTGTCATTTATTATACAAGGGTAAAAAACAAAAATCTAGTATTCTTCCCGTGTATAAGAGCCGTTTTACACATAAGAGAATTACTCCGAAAATTATGGCCATAATTATGCCGAAAATTTGCATGGAAAAAATATTGAAGATCTTCTCTACAACCTGTATGACACAAGCAAACAAAATTTCCGAGTAATTCAGATGATACGCCTGCGCATTAGAGTAATATTTTCGAATATTTCGAAAGGACATGACCCCAACGAGTATGTCGTCCAATATAATCGGAAAGACAACAGACGTCGTTGATTTAAATTTATTTTTGTAATCGAGATCTTGGTTAATATAAAACTTCTCAATGCTTGGTCTATCGCATCCAGCGCCTGACGCTGCAAATGTCTGTTCTTGTAATAGGCTTACTTCACCTTGTACAGGTTTGGCCATTTTTGGTACTCCTCCAACAACAGTGTAACTTCTTCCCAATTCCATAACATTATGAATAAACAATAACAATAAACGCTTCTTCGTACGACTCGAACAGGAGCACACCCATAAATGTTAAGTGAGGTTATGTTGTTGACGTTGACATTTGATATTGACATGCACGGAAATAACCCTCTGCGCTGATTCTCGCGCATATTCTATAGAATTATATATTAGAATTCTTTTACGTGTAATACGACAGCAAACATTTTCGACATAATTATGACCATAATTTTCGGAGTAATTCTATTGTGTGTAACACGGCTCTAATACACAATTTTTTCTGTGACGGTGAAGAACGACGATTTAATATTGAAAAATTATATTATTACAATATTTAATTCAGAAAATACCGATTAGTCCTGCGTTGCTAAGGAAACTTTTAAAGTAATGAAATAGCTGTCAATTTAATTTTGTGATTTGATTCAAAAATTGTGAACTAGTGGTTGTTTAGAAGTTACTTTTAATACTATAAAGTCAAAAATATTTGATTCCGAGTTTTCTTTGACTCTACCGCAATTAGTAGAACTAGCCGAAGTAGCGTCACAAAAACTATTGCCAGCTAAATCGTTTATACAATATCCGGGGAACAAGTAATTTCAAAAAAGTGACATTTTGTTACCTGTCAACAGAGATAAAATGTCAAACTTTTTCCCGTCACAGAAAAAAAAGTTTTTGTTTTTAAATATGTAATCGTAACCTACAATATGTAATCAGCAGAGCACTCCGGTGTAAATGGTTGCCTTTATTCAGTTTTTACTTCTCCGCGCTGAATTTCGAGTAGTAAAACAAATCGTCCCCTCCGTATTGTACAGGTGTAATGCTGACACACTGGACTGGAATGACTTCACATTTATATACGTGGTGTCCCAATATTACTTGGACATAGAAGCACCTCTTTTTTTTCTCTTCTTCAGAAACGCTGGGATATTTATAGATTTATATTATACCTCGTTGTCAGCGTCAGCGCCATATTTTCGCCGACTAAACTGGTGGACAGTTGATTTGCAACATGGAAAATGTTAAGCCGGTCCAACACGATGTGGCGAATGCCTTACAACGTTGGACACATGGCCATTCGCCACATGGTGTGGGAGAGCGCTGACGGGTTGCATGTGTCCAACGTTCGCCACATTTGACCCGCGTCAAAGGACGTTACAACGTCGGAAGCATGGTTTGTTACGCTTCGTTACACGAGATGTCATGTGTTTGATGATTTTAAGAAAAAACATTATTTACTTGTTTGCTGTGATTGTGGTGAAGTAGTGGTATGTGAGAAGTATTTTGATTTGAATACCTACCTATTCGTAATAATGTATGTTCCGTAACTAACTTTTGAGGAGAATTGTTTCATCGTTCATTTTGTGAGATTTTTCGTTCAGATGTAAAGGTCCAAGCGCGACACTGACACAGATAATAGACGTTGGCGCCACCATGCGTCGAACGTCTAAGACTAGAAAGTTCATCCCATCGTGTAGGAGACACACCTGCCACTTGTGGGGTGTCGAACGTTGTATACAACGTTGGCAGCATCATGTGGGATCCGCATTACCCAAATTCAAATCTCGATAACGGAACTGCACGGGCATCACGTATCTTGAAAAGTGACATTATGTCGATTTTTTTGAGATTATGCTGTTTTTTTGACATTATGTAAGTTTTTCTACAAGATATTAACTAATCACTTAGTTGTACGTGTTGCCTAAACGTCATGAGGCTTGTTATCAATCTTTGGCTCTCATGTGATGTAAAATCTGCTCCTGTGATGGCATTACTGGAGTTCTAAGCTGTAAGTTGTATGTGTTGTTGATAATTACATTGGGTTCCTGTCTCAAATACACTTTAACGAGATTCAAAGCTATAAATTAGTTGCGCATCCACTTTTTCTTATCCATTCTGGAAATTACATATAGAAATTTGCTGAAGTTCAAAAATGAGAGAGATAAAAAATAATGATATTCACTGTACACTGTCGAATTACAAGCCATATACATGCTAACAGTAATTACACACAACGCAGGCGCGGTTATGATTTCCCGTAATTCTCTTCAGTTTTTCGTAATCTATAACTTTGAACATAACCTCTCTTCAAAAAGCACAACATAAAAATAACCCGTCGGGCACAGCCAATATAGGGTGACTTCGAAGTTGAGTCATTTATTTTAACAGTGAGTAGATCTGATCAAAAGAAATGTTTTTTTCCTTTACCATTTTTCTGGTAAAATTAAAGTAACAAAGTTATAGCCCTTTGGAAGTTTGAGTACCGCCCTGTCTCAATAATAATGTCATGTGCTCGTGTTTGGCAACAACGGATATAATCCGCCTTACCGGTTCATCGCATCGGAAACAAAAAAGGGAAAGAATTTGGAACGATGTTTTTACAATCAATTATTTTATTCAGTTCAGTTATACATACAGTCAGTGTCAGTCGGTTAGCGTGTGAATAGTGTCTGTTGCGTGGCTCAAACGAAATAAAAAATGGCACATGTTTATGCGGATCGGTTTCCCAATCGAGTGCAACCAACCCCTCGTGCCTTTGTTAATGTAGTACAACGGGCTCGTGAATCAGGTGACTTAAGACCTCACAGGGGACCTCACGATCAAATACAGGTCCGCACTCAAATACTTGTCGGGAGGATACTTTATAAAACAAGGTAAACATTTTTTTTAATTTTTTTTATTTTTACACACATATTCTGGTTTATCTTCCTTTTACAGTCATTATCTGAAAATTAATGACTCAACTTCAAAGTCACCCTGTATATACTTCATTGGCAGCATATTCAGTAATGATTTTCTCACACAGCAAATATCACTGATTTGATACACATGCAGACCAATACACATAATCATCCAGATGCGATCTTGCTATTCAACGAACTTTCTTTTCAGAGATAAAAACTACAGACAAGGACCATTGGCCTCACAAAACATAGGCAACCAATAATGCGTGTAATTTAGTTGAGCGATTCCTCCTTAGATGTTCACAACGATCCTAGTGAGCAAACGTGGAATGACTGTTTGCGCCCTAAAAACTACCTAGTTTCCAAGATGACATCTTAGTTTTTTTTTAACGTTTTATAGGTTTTTTACATGATACCTCTGCCGAAAGAGATATTCAGTTGAGGTATTCGGGAGGTTCTTGACTAACTATTTGAGAACACGTACAAGGTACGACCGGTATATTTCTTTTATTTATCCACTTATACAGGGTGAGCAAAGGAAGTCGTGTTTTTTAGCAAAGTTTGGGGTTATGTCAGATTCTCAATTTTTGAAATTGGAAATTTTTCTATGCATCTTTTTTATCTTTCGACTATCCGAAATGGCCTGTTTTCATAGGAGACAAAAAATGAAGCAAATAAAAAGGTCTGCTAAATGCTCAATCGACTTATTTTGTACCTAAAAATATAGCAGGTTTTCATAAGACACAAAAAATGAAGTAAATAAAAAATCTTTTAGATAAAAAATATTCAAGAATCATTCTCAGAAGTTTGCTATATTTTTTGTAAGGGTGGGGCTAGTTTTCACTGTTCTGGCACCCTTTTCGGTTTTTTTTTTGTAAAAGTCAAATATCAGGACGTCTACCAAAACACGTGTTCCAAATTTCATTCAAATCTGACCCGGTTCTTAAAATATCTTAAAAAACGCGTTTAAAAAAGAAAACTGATGCCATCTAACGGACAGACGAAGCACTTTCGCACAGAGGTAAATTATGTCCAATCGAGTCTAAAAATACGTGATACCTCTGAGTCCACGGAATATTGGGGCACCCTATATACAGGGTGGCGGGAAAATAGATGCGGAGCCGGTGGGGGGAGATAGTACAAGCCAATCTGAGTCGATTTTACTATAGGAAGTACTGCCCGACAATTAGCCGTTTGCGAATTATGCTAATTTTTAAGATTGTATAAAATTAACGTCCTTTATACGTTAACCAAGTCATAAAACTTGAAAATTGGGTGTTTCAATTGATTTTTTTTTTGTTTTACAATCAAAATATTCTAAAATACGAAAATTGATACTCAAATGTACGTTATTGACGTTATCTCATGCAGTAAGCTTCAAAATAGTTCAATTTTCGTTAAAAAAAATCTTCGTTCATCTCAAAAACTCAATTTACTAGAAACAATCGCCTACAAATTTTTCGTGCAAAACAATTTTAAAATATCTACGTTTCATTACCTTTCAAATGAGGTATCAAAGTCACAAGCCGGTTTAGAAATGACAAAGATATTAGTGACAGAAACAGGTAGAGCCGCGAACATCGGACTTTGCCACCGGAATAGTATGATAAGTAAGACTAGTCGCTGTTTTGATATTTCTAACGACTTGGCTCTTGTTGGAGTTCCGTGTGTGATTCTTTTCCTGCCGACTTAGACTGTATCCTGTTTTCTGTGATTCCTTACGACTTGGCTGCTGTGTGACTTGATCGTTCGTTGATCTACCTATCGATGAACAAAGGAGGCGGCCGTTCAGTTTCGTAGAATATGCCGATATCCTTTTCTACTATGGAGATGCCTGAGGCAATGCTGAAGAAGCTCGTCGTTAGTATGGGAAAATGTTTCCAAATCGTCGCCTACCTGAGGCCCGTGTATTTAGGCAAACCTTCCGTCGGGTTCGAGAGCGCGGCATCGTCATAAGACATCAAGGTAAGTAAGGTCAGTAAGGCCTATGTCGAGCCTTGGAGGTCTGTGGGCTGAACTGATGATACTGTAACATAGTTTAATACAGTTGATTGAACTTCTGAATTAAGAGTTTATTCGTTTAATTTTAACACGAGCATCTACACGGCTCTGAAGATGGAAACATTCACACGTTGTGTATCGTTTTTTCTAAATATTTTGCCAACTCTAGCTCATAGTCTTACCGCTATGTTTATTAGGTAACAATTTCCTACAAAAAACTGTTGTTATTTGTTTTTTCATTTTATTTCAGGGGATGCAGGTAGACCTCGACATGATGTAGAAGAAGAAGAAATATTAAATATTTCCCAAAGAGACCCTACTCTCTCTACTCGCGCTGTGGCTCGACGGCTTGGACTATTCCAATGACAAGTGTGGTATGTTTTGCATGAAAACATAATTCTACGGACCGACGAATCAAAATTTAATAAAGACGGCACAACAAACTACCTTAACGCTCACTATTGGCGTGAACGTGCAGTGGGAAATCCTCATATGAAGAGACCAAAAGGATCTCAAAAGCGATTTTGTCTGAATGTGCATTATAAATAACTGTTTGGTAGGACCACATTTCCTACCCCTATTTGAATTACTTGACGTGCCGCTACACACAAGACACAGAATGATCTTTCAGCATGACGGGTGCCCAGCACATTTCAGACTAAGTGTTAGAAATTCGTTAAATGAGCAGTTTCCGAATCGACGGATCGGTAGAGGCGGACCAATCCCATGGCCAGCACGCAGTACCGATCTCACACCTATGGACTTTTTTGTGTGGGGTCGCATGAAAACTTTAGTATACTCTGATCAAAATTCTATACCCACAATAGAAGACCTCAGAAACAGGATAATACATGCAGCACAAGAAATTGAAGCCTCTCTTAGGAATTCGGCGGTAGTAAAATCAGCCGTCATAAGAAGAGCTCGTGTGTGCATTAGAAATAGAGGGCGCCATATTGAAAATGTATGATAAAAATAAAAAATGTAGTTTCAAACAAATTATCCTGTATCAAGGTATGATTTTGTAGTAGTGTCGTATTTTTATTGCTTTTTCCTTCCTCTTATAATAGTCATATTTTTGTCAATTCTTAATCGATTTGTGATTTTTATACCTCATTTGAAAGGTAATGAAACGTAGATGTTTTCTAATTATTTTGTACGAAAAATTTGTAGGCGACTTTTTCTAGTAAACTGAAGCTTTTGAGATGAACGAAGATTTTTTTAATAAAAATTGAACTATTTTGATACTTACTGCATGAGTCAATAATGTACATTTGAGTATCAATTTTCGTATTTTAGAATATTTTTATTGTAAAACCAAAAAAAAATCAAATGAAACACCCAATTTTCAAGTTTTATGACTTGGTTAACGTATAAAGGACGTTAATTAAATAATATCTTAAAAATTAGTATAATTCGAAAACGGCTAATTTTCGGACAGTACTTCCTATAGTAAAATCGACTCAGATTGGCTTGTACTATATCTCCCCCCACCGGGTCCGCATCTATTTTCCCGTCACCCTGTATAGAGATTTTTCTACTGTATGAAATCTCCTATGTTTATTTTTTTAATGCACGCTTTTGGTTTCAGTGCTGCGAGTAATATTGACGTTGCGGATCCTCCAGCTATCTGCCAACTTGTGGTACCGAAAGAAACTAGAAAAAGAGTTGTACGAGACCGTTTTGTAACGTTAAAATAAATGAAATACGAAAGAATACCAGTAATTTATTTAAGTAAAAACTAAAATCGGAGCATAGAGACTAAAAAAAAATGTACAGGTAAACTATAAAGCTCGTTCAATAAATAATACATCAAAATATTGATAATGATCAGACAGCGGGTTTCTTGGCAGCACTGGTTTCAGTTTCCTCTTTCTCATTGACTTCGTCTAATTTTCTTTTCTTTTTAACAAGATGCGATATGTCATTGGCAGGTTGCTTTGAAGTGCCAGCTTCAGAAGAAGAGCCTTCACTCGATTTTTTCTGTTCGGTTACTGTTGCTAGAATCTTTTTCACGGCCTAAAAATTAAACCTATTTAATCGGGAAAGATCTGCTTCTGAAGAATTAGATTACTTGCTATTTTCCATTGCCTATTAGTTTCATCAAGATTTATTTAGCACGTTCGGGTGTTGGAATTTTAAGAAAAAATTCGTTTTAATAATGTTTCAGATATTCTCACGAAATCTGACATGCACCCACACCAAGAGGTATTTTTTGATGTAGAATATTTTTTTAATATTTCTACCAGTGGCATCCGCAATACTGGAGAATTTTCAAAAAAAAATATGGTACGGCTTTACTTTTAGAAAAAAACATATTTTTGAAATCCTCATTTAGTTTGCAGTGAATTTGTATCGTTTTCGCGTAAAAAATAAAAACCATTTTCATGCATTTGTGGTATAACGAAATTATTTTGAACTACTGGACTGGTGCCCTATTTTGTTTTTGAAATAATGTCATTTGATCGATTACGTTGCGGTTTTATTTTGACAAGTCTTCATGACGATAGTTTTTTACATTATGAAAGTTTCTGCAATTAATAATATAGAGAAAATAAGTAAACTATGCCATTTACAAAACCGAGTTAGCAGTTATGCATTTTACCTACGGACTTGCTGACGGGAATGCGCTAGTGTTTAGAATGTTTTCTAGAATACACAGAAGACTGGGATTCTCAGCATTGACAATAGTACCGAAGTGGTGAGAACGCCAGAATTAGAGGAAGCTGTTTTAAAGACATCCATTTTCTTATTTGGAAAATACCTCTATCATATTCAAAGGGTTCAAGCACAATTGCGTGATTTTCTATTGCGTTTAAATTTCTCCCGATTGTTTTCAGAAAAGCTTCCTGAAAACCCTTTATCCGGTATCAAAATACTCTTTGCTGATGAAGCTACTTTTTCCCGCAATCATGTATGTGCCAAAGAAAACCCATACGCATTACGGAGGCACATCATCAGGAGCAGTTTTCCGGGAATATGTGGGCTGAAATAGTTGGAGATTTTCTCACAGGACCGTTCTTCCTTCCAGGACGACTATTGTCACTTTCTTCAAAACGATTTGCTAATTTTGCTCGAGGATGTACCTCTTTTATAAAGACAAGAAATGTGGTACATTCATGATGGAGCTCCTGCACATTTTAGCATTGATGCTAGGGAATCTCTAAATGATGCGTTTACGAATCGCTGGATGGGGTGTGGGGGAACTCAATCTTGGCCTTCGAGGTCCCGCGATTTAAATAGACATTTGTTGTGGGGGCGCCTCAAGACTTCACCAGTTCAAACTGCAGAGGAACTAAGGCAGAAAATTTTACTTTCTTGTCAAACCATAAGAAATACTTCTAGAGTTTTTGAAGGACATTTTCAACAATTCTTGTGATGATAGTATTAATTTATTTCATCCACAGAAAATGTCAAAACTTGTTTTTTAATTTTCATGTTTGTACGTAAGATTTGTCTGTTTAATTTTTATTCAAGTGAATTGGTTAATAGCCAAAATTGTTTTTTTACGCGAAAACGGTGCATCGGACGGAAAAAAGTTAAGAGGTCAAATTTGTTGCAAAGTAAATGATTTCAAAATTTTGAAAAAAGCAATGTCGTACCATATTTTTTTTTGTAAAATCGCCAGAACGGAAGCCACTGGCAGAAATATTAAAACATATTCTACATCAAAAAATGCCTATTGCTGCTTAGTAGGTGCACATCAAATTTCATGAAAATATCTAGAACAGTATCAAAGTTATAAGAAAACGAATTTTTTCTTAAATTTAAACACCCTGTAGCTGAAAATTTAAGAGGTTTAGGAAATATGTTCATATAAATTTTCTTCCTAAAATGAGCTAAGAAATCGTATCCTGTATTTTTAGCCATCGATTAAATTACATCCTGTATGTGTATTTTTTGTCAAAAAATGAATTTTTGTGCATTTTTTTTCAATCGTAAGTTCTTAGCTAATAATAGTACAGCTCTGGAGTTTTATGTTATACTTTTTTTGCTCTGGTGGTTAATTTCATTCTATCACTTTTTTCTTTAAAAAATCTTTGCTTTCCTTGAAAACTCAATTTGCTGAGGTTGCAAGAATTTTTTAGCAGAAAGAAAGACATAAGAACGAAAGTAATCACCTGTTTCAGTCTCCCATGAAAGTGGAATTTTAACATACAATTTCAGAGCTGTACTAATATTTGCTGACAAGTTAGGCTTGTAGAAAAAATACTTTTACTGACAAAAAAAATTAATAGCATTGTTTTTTTAGTTATCTCTATACACAGCTTGAAATAATCAGATGAAACGGATTTAGAATACCGGTATCGAAAAAAGGATCGCGCTAAAAAATATCTGGTCGCTGGTTGTATCAGTTACTTGGGAATTTTGAATAAAACTGCGCTGTTGATAGAAAAATGCGAAATTTATTTAAAAAAAGACAACAGTATAAAAAAGTAACAGCCAGAATTGTCCAGTCTTCATCGCAGTATCAAACGGAGTGTAAAAAATCACAGTTTAACCTTGGCTAAAATCTCCTCGACGGTTTTCTTTTTGACTTGTAATTTGTTAACCGTATTTTTGTCTACACTCTCAAACGTCGGCTTACACACGAAATTCTTAATGGTCGTTCTGATATCGCACTGACATACCTCTTCCTTGTAGCTCTTGATATCAGCGATTTTTTCTTCCACCTCCGGTATCAGATTCCTGATTTCTTTGATTTCATCGTCCACCTCGTCCTTTTTGTCCTCCATCTTTTCCAAATGTTCCACTCTGGTCCTGAGATACTTCAGCGAGTCGGCAAAGCTGGCGATTGCCTCGTCCATCTCAGAGTTGGTCGAGTACGCGACTCCCAGTTTGAACAAAGACTCGGCTATGACTCTGCTTTCTTTGCTGAAGAGAGTTTTTTGTATCGCTAGTCCCGCTTTTATGTCGTTGATGGCCGACGGGAAATTCTCGCTTTCCAACGCGATTTCGCCTAGTACGATCAGAGTGTCGGCGAGGTTCTTTCTGCCCGCGTCGCCTTGCTTTTCGAAGACTTTCTTGGCTAGCTCGAGCACCTCCCAAGCTACCTGCAGATCGGTCGGTTCGTCATCCTCGTTTTCGGCGTCTTCGGTTGTTGCTGAAAAAGAACGTACTTTTAACAAGCTAATCGAAGTATCTCATACAATTTTATTAAAGAAACTAGAAAGTGTTAGAGTGCGTAGCGGAGTTCTGAACTTATTTGAGAACTATTTGGCTGATCGATCACAACAAGTTAAGGTAGGGTCAGATTTAAGCAACATTCAAAAGATCAAAATAGATGTGCCTCAGGGGACAGTTTTGGGACCAACACTGTTCCTCATATACATAAATGAACTACTTCGATGTAATTTCAACTGTAAGATGATATCATATGCAGACGATACTGTTTTAGTTTGCACTGGTCATTCATGGGATGACGCAATACGGAATGCCGAGTTGTCATTAAATAAAGTCAAATGCTGGTTGGATAACAATTTACTTAAACTTAATATCTCTAAAACTAAGTATGTAACGTTTTCTCCAACCAAAGCAGGCATGCCATTACACCACCGAACATTAATTATAAATGATAGTGCTGACACTGTCGAAAGAGTTGAAGTTATTAGATACTTAGGAATCATTGTTGACAGTAATTTAAAATGGCAGAGTCATGCCGAGCTTTTGGCACCGAAATTAAGGAGAATTATTCATAAGTTTTTCATTCTTAGGAATATTTTAAGCAGAAAGAGTCTTCTCTCCATATATAACTCGTTTGTGGGGTCTCTACTAACTTACGGGATAAGTATTTGGGGAGCCGCATACACTAGTACTTTAAAAATACTACAAACCACGCAAAATTATATTGTCAGGACTATTTTATGTAGGTAAAGTTGCAGATTTGTTTGCATTGAAAATGATCTTTTGAATGTTAAAGGTTTATATATTTTTGCTGCTCCAAAATTTGTTCACTCCCGAAACAATGTTCCAACCAGCCAAGCTTATGAAACAAGAACTAAAATAAATATAAGTTACACCTATACCAGAGTGAATAAATCTGTTTGCCAAAAATGCATAAAGTTTGATGGTATTAGGTTGTATAATAAATTACCCCTAGAATATAAAATCCTCTCGAAGTATTGTTTCAAAAAAAGAATTAAGAAGTTCATCTTAAATAACTTTAACATGCTTGCATCGACGGTAGCTTGACTCAACTCAGTAATTTCGTTTCTATCTAATGTTTTTTTTTTATTTATTTTTTTTTATATACATTTGCTCATAATATACCTTATGACCATTAGCCATGCATTGAATTTGTATATTGTATGACACACACAAGCTTATAGCTTAGGTGTATATTATTTTGTAGTAAATTCTTTTGTAGTAAATTGTGGTACTCTTGTTTCTCTGCTTAACTTTTACGCAAAATTTTTATTGTTTAAACAACATACATAGTTTGACCTTACTCGAAATATCCCTCTATTATCATATTTCAGATATTCATATTTTATGTACTCTATATTTATACTTCTGAGTGTTTTTAGTATGCTTTTGTACTATTGTTATGAATTTTAGATCTGTTTATGCAGAAACGTAATTTAGGATTTGTGACGACAAGATCCAGACATTTACCCTTTACGAAAGTATACAGAATTTTCACAATTCATATACCGTTACTTGCTGGTTCTAGATCTGATGCTAGTATCTTTGCTCAGATTTCTGTTGCAATCTTGGTTATTCTTGTACTGAAGGTTGTTTTTAATTTGTAAGTTATATTGGTTTTTGAATTTGAAAACATTCAAGACCAGACGGATCTATCTTATATGATTGGATCCAAAATCAGGGATCTCCAGGATGGTATTTGACAGTATTTTTAAGATCACTCAGTTCACCAAATGATGCTAGACGACCGCCGAATTAAAGTGAGAGAGATAGCAGAGGTTATGAATATGTCAAAAGGACGTGCACATATTAAATTAACATTTCTTTGAGTAGTGCATGTGATGCATTTGCTTCAATACTTACCAGGAGCTCCATTCGATGTTGAGGCACCTTCCGTAGCTGTGCCGCCACTGGGTGCCGCTTTCTCTTCAGTCTTATCCTCCTTCGATTCTTGATCTTTCACTTTGTCTTTCTCACTCTTCTCTGTCTCTCCATTCTGCTCCTTCTGTTTTTCATCAGTTTCTTCAGCCTCTTCTTCTTCATCATCATCTGATTCTTCTTGACCTTTCGGAACAGCATCACCTATGATACAAAAAGATATTTAAAAATTTAGCAAGGACGGACCACGTCGACACTTGATCCGTTTAATTTCCATTTTGTAAGCACATGTTTGCAAGTATTTTTTTCAGAGAATTTAAATTATATATATATATATATATAACTTGAGACGTGGTCATTGTCGTCTAGACCAGTTAGGTGAAAAATTAAAGCTTCCGCCTTTTGTCGGGTACTTCGACAAAATTTAAGCAAAGAGGACTCTTTATACTTTTTTTAATTCTCTCTAGCTTTCAATGGACTTTGCCATCATCATCAGGAGCTGCAATTACAATGATAACATATATATATACATATATATATATATATATATAATTGGACCATTTAAATAATGACTATCATAACGTTTACACGCATCGTATGTACTCGTTCGTTCGAGAAAGTGCCGGTAAGCCACATAGCGGCAGTCCAGAATCTTCAAGGTCACTTCGCGTCGATCTCGAAAGAGATTCCCTGGCGCGATTCCCAACAGATGGCGCTAGTAGTACCGAAAGAGAGTCCCTGGCGCGGTTCTCAACAAATGGCGCTGGTAGTACTATTCGTTCTTGTTACAATATTTGTTTAAATGTGTATTTTGTCTAGGAAGATTTTATCAAGCAAACTAAAACAAAAATAATTGCTCACCTAGCGCTTCATTTTCCTCCCTGGACAGTCCAAGCAGCGCTTTTCCGTAGTAGAGGTAGACTTCGCCCAGCGAGTCGTGCAGATCCGTGCCCAATTCGGCGGTCATCAATTCGCTAGCTTTGCTGAGCGCCGTCACCGCAGCGTTGTAGTCCTGGAGGACGTACGCTCGGATGCCCTGGCCGAGCAGCTCGCTCGAGTTCTGCGTTTCGGTGTTAACGACGACGTCCGCCATCTGAGAACAAGACATTTTCGTACTTCACGCTGTCAGACGAAATCAACGAATTCGATGTGATCCTATAACCCCTATAACTTTCTGGATGAAAAAATACCAGTTCTTAAATGGCATTCACAGTCTCCCGATATAAACCTCATTGAAAATCTATGCAAATACTTAAGCAAATACGAGATAAATATTATTCAAACAAGGATGAAATTTTTGCCGCTTTAGAGCAAAAGTGGAGACAGATTGATGAATCTTATATCAAGAAACTTGTACAATCTATGCCGAGAGGATGCCAGGCGGTGATTGATAATAATGGTTATGCTACAAAATATTAACTCAAATATGGTTGGTTTTCTATAATTCAATGAACTTTGCTTCTTTTTTCTATAATTGTTTTGCCTTGTCTATATATTTTTGTCCTTCAAAGTTCCAGTTTTTTCAATTCATTTTTTATTGAAGGGCGTCTAATGAATTTATTTATGTATAAGTGAGTATTATGCTATAACGAATTACGTATACAGGTTGGTGTATTAATAAAACAAGTTAAAGAAGAAATACAGAATAATATTAATTTGTCTATATACTTTTGTCCGTTACTGTACCTATGGGAGTTAAATATACCCCTTCTACTACGGTCCCTAGCAACGATCTTATTCATTTTCATAGAAAATAACAAACAATGCAGACTTACATCATATCCAGTCACTATTCGTAACACAACTCAAATCCAGACATATTTAGGTACCTGGACTAGAACGATGAGCTAACAACATGCCGGCATCCGGTACAAGCGCGATTCGGATTGGTTGACAAAGGCCGTTCGATATTGCGCGTGCCACGCGGCGTCGCGTGTATCCACCACCAAACAAAAGTAGGGTTTTTATATACAGGTATACTTTATCTGAAGTCACTTGAAATAGCATAAAAACCTTTGGTCGGCGCGTCCTTTGTAATTTCATGACGTATCATAGGCGTGCGGTCATTTATTTAGAACGATAATAATAATGTTTTTATATCACAATAAATGGATTTTACTATCTTCTTATTTTTTTGATTTGGGATAAAAAATACTTATATTGGGAGTTTAATTTATGTTGACTGAAAGTTAAGAAATGGAAAAATTACAGAATTCCAACGTTTGACATAGGCAAATATTTACATAGCAGGTAGGTATATAAAAAGGTATATAAAGACTTACATTATAGGTATTTATATATCATCCTCGCCTTCGGAGCTGTCGCTAGAGTCATCTTGTAGAGGAATTACAACGGGATTTACAGGAGGCAAAACACAATATTCATTTTCTTTTTCAATAATATGCCTAGAACACTGCTTCCATAGGTCTGTGGCAGCAATATGAGATACTGCATCTCTTATTGTGGCCAATAGCGATTCACTTAATTGAGGGGTCTGATTATGTTTTCTTACTTTTTTTTTAAAGCAGCCCAGACCAACTCAATCGGGTTAAAAATGCAGTAATAGGGAGGTAGACGTAATATTTCATGGCCATTTTGCTGAAGCAGATTGTCAACAACATACTCTTTTTCAAATTTTTGTCTTTTAATAAGATCCAATAATATGGCTTTGGTTGATTTTTGTGGTATTTCCATTCCCTTATCCTTCATAAAATCAATAATGTCTTGTTTTTTTGTGCCTGTATTCGGAATTTTGTTTTTCTGTCGGGAATGGTATGGCGCATTGTCCATAATAATCACTGAATTTGGGGAAATGTTTGGTAATAACTGCTGCTCTATCCACTTTTCAAATAAGTCGGAGGTCATGTCCTCATGATAGTCGGCACATGATTCTTTGATATTTTTGGCAGATAACAGCAAGGCATTAGGTATAAATCCATTTTCACTGCCAGCATGGAGAATAATGATTCGTTTTCCACGGTTGCATGGTGCATTTAAAATGCACTTGTTGCTGTCGTCAACCCAGCCGTACTGTACAACATCATGGCTATCACACCACGTTTCATCCAGGTAAATCAGATTTCTTTTCTGCTCTCTATAGATTTTAACTTTCTGCAAAAATTTTTGGCGCAATTCAACGATTCAAGACGACTCCATAATCACCATTCTTTTATCTAATTTTTTGTATTGAAAACCACACAGTTTTACAATACAGTGCAGTGAGTCTAAGCATTTGTAATTATAAAAATCTTCAGGATAATCTTTTAATTTATCCCGTATCATTTCCAACGTGGGCACCAAATTTTCTTCATAAAATCCGTATATTATACGACGAATATCTTCCTGAAAACCCACGTCTATTCTTTTTAATTTTTGCCCTATGCGCTTTCTGTGGAAGGAATGGTTGACTACATCTCCCCTTTTTATAACCCGATAAATGGTAGACCGACTGATTTTTGTCAGGATACAAATTCTGTTTAAAATTTGATTTTGCGAGGAATCTGGATTTTCGTTTTTCAAACAATCATACATATTTAGGATTACTCTTTGGGTCTGTTCCTCTAAATCTTTATGAAAGAATTCTGCCTGCACAGGTTCATCAACCATCTCCTCGTGGCTTGGAGCATTTTCCCAAGGTCTCCAAAGAGCCATATTTAGGACACACAAGAACAATCAACACAACAATTAAATCAACAAGTAAACTAAGTATTCAAAAGTCAAAAACACACAAACTAATAAAATCTATGAAAAAACACGGACAGACTAAAGAAAACACGTTTATTCACCGCTACACGGCACTGGCTAAACTGTTTCAATTTTCAGTAGCCACCTGCACTTGTTCGGAGCTCTGAAATACACGCTTTCTCATTGGCTATGTCCACGCATAGGCGTGCTTTACTCCACGTGGACCGGTGAAACTGCCTTTGATCTCTTATACGGGGGATATTTGCTGCGAAATTTGGCGATTTCTGCAGCAACAGAGCGTGTTAAATATTGATATATAAAACGCACCCGGTATTTCACAGTGTTTCAAGTGACTTCAGATAAAGTATACGTCTTTATCTATATTCTCGAATAAGCTTCGTACTGGCTTTTTTCATGAGGTGAGAAAATACAATATGGTTTTTAGTTTATCGGAATTTGTAAGTCAGATACGCACATACGGGAACGTTCAAAACACAGTATTTTTTATATTTACCTTCAATCTTACGTATTGTCATTTACTAAAAATAAAAATCCAATCTGTTCTGATTAGAAAATTGAAATCACTCTAGACAGAAAATGAACGGTTAAGAAGTTTGATGTACGATGTAAGAATATTACAAATGAAAGACGTTAATTATTATTATTATTATTTGATACAAGTCTCAGCTTCAAGGAGCATATATGGCAAAAATTCATAATAAGAACTTGCAAATTGTTCAAAGTTTATTCAAAAACCAATATAACTTACAAATTAAAAACAACCTTCAGTACAATTTAAATAAAAAAAGCTTCAAAAATACATGAGCTGGTATGCTCTTGCTACCCCGAATAACCAAGATTGCAACAGAAATCTGAGCAAAGATACTAGCATCAGATCTAGAACCAGCAAGTAACGGTATATGAATTGTGAAAATTCTGTATACTTTATTATGTTCATTAAGTTAGACGTCCTAGTGAACAAAGATTGAACCCCAAGTACACTTTGCCCACTGTCAAACATGGAGGCGGGTCTATACTTTTGTCCACTACTGTATATCATAATTATGGAAGTTCATATTTGAATTTAGGGAAAAACACGCGTCATCGGTAAATAAAATGCGGGATAGAAACGCTCTACCTGTAGTAAAAGCAGAGTACAACAAACGAATCGTTGACCGATGTATATGTTCCACGTCCGCTTTGTACGTGTACGCTTTTTCCGATACGACGACGCCGGCGCCGATTTGCCGCCGTCGATGTGTCGGTTGAAGCTTTCAGCTGCGGCCCTTCAGTGAAGCTTCGGGATCGGCGCTTGGAGCGTCAGCGTGATCGCAGGACGGGATTGACAGGCATTCGCCCATGTGACGGATCGCGGAAATGTGAACCAGCCCGATTGAATTGTCTATAACAGACAAGACGCACAACTAAATGCACATCAAACAACGATCGGCGTCACGCTTCCTCACGTCAATTATTTTCCCGTAGCTACAATGGTTGTTCAAATACGAGGTGCCTGCAAAACTAGATCGAATTATGGATTTTGAAGCAGTCATTTAGCTGCCATATAGTGTGAGTAATATACAGGGTGACTTCGAAGTTGAGTCATTTATTTTAACAGTGAGTAGATCTGATCAAAAGAAATGTTTTTTTCCTTTACCATTTTTCTGGTAAAATTAAAGTAACAAAGTTATAGCCCTTTGGAAGTTTGAGTACCGCCCTGTCTCAATAATAATATTATGTGCTCGTGTTTGGCGACAACGGATATAATTCGCCTTATCGGTTCATCGCATCGGAAACAAAAAAGCGAAAGAATTTGGAACGATGTTTTTACAATTATTTCATTCAGTTGTATACAGTCAGTGTCAGTCGGTAGTGGATAGTGGTGTCTGTTGCGTGGCTCAAACGAAATAAAAAATGGCACATGTTTATGCGGATCGGTTTCCCAATCGAGTGCAACCAACCCCTCGTGCCTTTGTTAATGTAGTACAACGGGTTCGTGAATCATTTGACTTAAGACCTCACATATGGACGGCATGCCGGTGCTCACGATCAAATACAGGTCCGCACTGAAATACTTGTCGGGAGGATACTTTATAAAACAAGGTAAAATTTTTTTTTTAATTTTTTTTTTATTTTTACACACATATTTTGGTTTATCTTCCTTCTACAATCATTATCTGAAAATTAATGACTCAACTTCAAAGTCACCCTGTATAATTGATAATTTTAAACCGCGTATATTAGCACGTGAATAACCTCATCTTTGTACAGGGTGTAAACGTTATGGTAGTCATTATTGGAATGAGTAATAATAAGTAAGTTCATATGACCCATGGTCAATAGATTTTTGTCCAAATGTCTTTGTAGTTTACAAAGACATTGCCACAATCTTACTAATTTTTATAATCTAATCTAAACCGTTATTAAATTGGGTAATTAACAAATAAATGGCATTTTCTAAGTTAAGCCAAAATTTGTAGTCAGTAAGTTTCATTAAATGGAATATTTAAACACACATGACAACAGCGCGTCGGTTATTCTTCACTCTTATCGAACCGGCAATCGATCGCAAACGGTAACAGTGGTTAGTTATTGTTCGCGTACGTCGTCGTGTTTATTTACAATGTTCTCGAATCAAGAGTTCGCCGACATGTTGTTAGTTTACGATGAAGCTGGGACAGCCAGACAGTGGTTTTTGCACAGACGAATGTACTTTTACGCGACACGGGATATTAAATTTCCATAATACTCACACGTGGGCCCAAGAAAATCCTCATACCATTCGTGAAGGTCACTTCCAACAACGTTTTACAATAAATATTTGGGCGGGTATTCTTGTAGGTAATTGAAGGATACCTTAGCTTTCTAGGCGATAACCTACCCGAACTTTTGGAACAGACCTTAGAAAACATGCCATTACAACGGAGACAGGTAGACTAGGTAGTTTTTATAATGCAAACAGTTAATAGCCACGTTTGGTCGCTGACGTTTAAGCAACACAGCTACAAAACGAGTTCACAACAATTGTACAACAGCTTGTAGAAAAACCTACGAAAGGTCAAAAAAAACGATAGTGAACTCCTTCATCGACGAATAGTGTATACTTTATCTGAAGTCACTTGAAACACTGTGAAATACCGGGTGCGTGTGCAATGAGAAAGCGTGTATTTCAGAGCTCCGAACAAGTGCAGGTGGCTACTGAAAATTGAAACAGTTTAGCCAGTGCCGTGTAGCGGTGAATAAACGTGTTTTCTTTAGTCTGTCCGTGTTTTTTCATAGATTTTATTAGTTTGTGTGTTTTTGACTTTTGAATACTCAGTTTACTTGTTGATTTAATTGTTGTGTTGATTGTTCTTGTGTGTCCTAAATATGGCTCTTTGGAGACCTTGGGAAAATGCTCCAAGCCACGAGGAGATGGTTGATGAACCTGTGCAGGCAGAATTCTTTCATAAAGATTTAGAGGAACAGACCCAAAGAGTAATCCTAAATATGTATGATTGTCTGAAAAGCGAAAATCCAGATTCCTCGCAAAATCAAATTTTAAACAGAATTTGTATCCTGACAAAAATCAGTCGGTCTACCATTCATCGGGTTATAAAAAGGGGAGATGTAGTCAACCATTCCTTCCACAGAAAGCGCATAGGGCAAAAATTAAAAAGAATAGACGTGGGTTTTCAGGAAGATATTCGTCGTATAATATACGGATTTTATAAAGAAAATTTGGTGCCCACGTTGGAAATGATACGGGATAAATTAAAAGATTATCCTGAAGATTTTTATAATTACAAATGCTTAGACCCACTGCACTGTATTGTAAAACTGTGTGGTTTTCAATACAAAAAATTAGATAAAAGAATGGTGATTATGGAGTCGTCTCGAATCGTTGAATTGCGCCAAGAATTTTTGCACAAAGTTAAAATCTATAGAGAGCAAAAAAGAAATCTGATTTACCTGGATGAAACGTGGTATGATACCCATGATGTTGTGCAGTACGGCTGGGTTGACGACAGCAACAAGTGCATTTTAAATGCACCATGCAACCGTGGAAAACGAATCATTATTCTCCATGCTGGCAGTGAAAATGGATTTATACCTAATGCCTTGCTGTTATCTGCCAAAAATATCAAAGAATCATGTGCCGACTATCATGAGTACATGACCTCCGACTTATTTGAAAAGTGGATAGAGCAGCAGTTAATACCAAACATTTCCCCAAATTCAGTGATTATTATGGACAATGCGCCATACCATTCCCGACAGAAAAACAAAATTCCTAATACAGGCACAAAAAAACAAGACATTATTGATTTTATGAAGGATAAGGGAATGGAAATACCACAAAAATCAACCAAAGCCATATTATTGGATCTTATTAAAAGACAAAAATTTGAAAAAGAGTATGTTGTTGACAATCTTGCTTCAGCAAAATGGCCATGAAGTATTACGTCTACCTCCCTATTACTGCATTTTTAACCCGATTGAGTTGGTCTGGGCTGCTTTAAAAAAAAAAGTAAGAAAACATAATCAGACCCCTCAATTAAGTGAATCGCTATTGGCCACAATAAGAGATGCAGTATCTCATATTGCTGTCACAGACCTATGGAAGCAGTGTTCTAGGCAAATTATTGAAAAAGAAAATGAATATTGTGTTTTGCCTCCTGTAAATCCCGTTGTAATTCCTCTACAAGATGACTCTAGCGACAGCTCCGAAGGCGAGGATGATATATAAATACCTATAATGTAAGTCTTTATATACCTTTTTATATACCTACCTGCTATGTAAATATTTGCCTATGTTAAATAATTTTTCCATTTCTTAACTTTCAGTCAACATAAATTAAACTCCCAGTATAAGTATTTTTTATCCCAAATCAAAAAAATAAGAAGATAGTAAAATCCATTTATTGTGATATAAAAACAGTAATATTATCGTTCTAAATAAATGACCGCACGCCTATGATACGTCATGAAATTACAAAGGACGCGCCGACCAAAGGTTTTTATGCTATTTCAAGTGACTTCAGATAAAGTATACGAGTATCGATCATCTCCTGCGGCAAAACACCCTAACGGCATCGTGACCCTGCCTGTCTATACTATTATTAAACACCCAAAACAACGGGCTGACTGTCACGGACCGGCACCGGCTTAAGCCACGACGGTGACACTTTTATGAATATCGCGTTGGTCGACCTTTAACTTGATTTTATTTACACGAGAGGTTAGGCCAGACGATCGATCATTTTACGCGTACACATCTGCAGCAGCGTAACTACAGGGTGGACCAGAAAGACGTACGCTGTTCGATTTTCGTCCGCCGGCGTGCATGACGTCACGCTGAGAGTGATTCTCATTTGAGGGGATATGAATAACGTGCATATTTTCACCTACAGGCCAAACGGGTGGACGGATTGTCACATATCAAGTGCCGTTCTTGATTAAGACGTCTTGTTAACAGATGTTGGACGCTGAAGCGCCGATGTGGAAGGTTCAGGTGATGATGGAGAATGATCTTTTAGAGCACGATATATTTTAGGGGTGTAACCCATTAGGGTATGTTTCAAAGTGACCTTATAGGCACTGTGCTTCGAGCAAACCCTAGCGCTTTTTACACTGATTTTGTCTTTTATTGATGTAGCCATTTTTTGCTAAGGTTTGGGTCTTTAGGAAAACTGTGGAACTTCATGTTTAGATTGGCCGTCGGAATTACATCCCACAACAGCACGCTACATTTTTATCAATTTATCAACACATGGTATATAAAGTATGTATAACTAATACAACAAGTCACAAAACCACCAACAAATCGCACTATATAGTATTAACCACGATACGACAATCCTGCCGCTGGCACCCACAAGCCGACAACTCTCAAGGTGACGTCACGAAGCTCCACCCACATGCGCGACATCCTATCTTCAGCGCGGCGTCTGTTTCGCTCCGAGTTTAGTTTACATGATCTAAATCAATGGCCTAATGAAGGTGTGATCAGGTCGTGGGTCAGAAAGTGACGTATTTTGGTAAAAGACCTTAAATCGCACCCGTATAAACTTCGACTAGCGCAGGAATTGAAACCGCAGGACCACCATCTACGCCGTGCATTTGCCGAAACAATGTCAGGGCGCTTTCCAAGTTTGAACAACATTCTCTTTTCTGATAAAGCTCATTTTCATTTGAGTGGATATACAACTTTAAGTGCTTTCTATCGATCACAATCACCACAATCTTACTAATTTTTATAATCTAATCTAAAACGTTTTTAAATTGGGTAATTAACAAATAAATGGCATTAAGTTTTTCTAAGTTAAGCCAAAATTTGTAGTCAGTAAGTAAGTTTCATTAAATTAAATATTTAATACACACATGATAACAGCGGGTCGGTCTTTCATCGCCCTTATCGAACCGGCAATCGATCGCAAACGGTAACAGTGGTTAATTATCGTTTTGCATAGATAAATTACTTTATCGTTTTGCCGAGCAGAGCACCGGGCGTGTTTTTTTGTTTTTGTTCGCGTACGTCGTCGTGTTTATTTACAATGTTCTCGAATCAAGAGTTCGCCAGAACTTTTGGAACAGACCTTAGACAGCATGCCATTACAAGGGAGACAGAATTTGTGGTTTCTTCATGACGGGGCACCACCACACATTTTTAGAGGCGTCATTCAGTATCTGAATGAACATTATCCAAATCGCTGGATCGGTCGAAATGCCCCTGATCCTCGAAAAAGGCCAGCAAGATCTCCTGACCTCAATCCGATGGATTTCTGCTACTTTATTTACACTGCGTTCCGTCGTAATTTGCGTCTGGCATTGCGGCGTTGTCACTTTTCTCTAAAAAAATGCCGTTTTGACCCCCATGTTACATGAAACTTTTTGCTGCTTTTAACCCCCGCTTTCACCCATTCAAATAATGACTATCATAACGTTTACGCCCTGCATAAATATTAACTTGCCTACGCAATGTAGTTTTTTTCTGAGATCTTGTAAAATCCGGCCCACCCTGCAGGTTCGCATTGTCCAAGCGCGGCACCTTTTTCTTCGCAGTTCACCATTAAAGTTCGAAAAGGGGCCAAGCGTCCCGTAGACGGTTGACAAGACGAGCGTCGTCGGGTGGTCCGCGTTGGCCTATTTGGGCCGATTCGCGTGGCAAGCCGTCAAACTGAAGCAAGTACGCACCACCGAGTACGACCTGTTGATCGTAGATTACGACCCTCTCCTGATGGAGAACACAGAAACGGAAGACGACGCCGAATGGAACTGCTCAGTACATCCCAGCGTATTCTTTCTGTTAGGTAAGTTAAACGTGAGTATTGCCTAATAATGGGTGATTTTTTTGCTAGTATCTTTTTGACAACACTGTTTTTGACGCGTGAATCGTGTCTTGTGTCATTGTCAAACTTGTTCAGTTTGGACTATAATTTAACCATGAATCGACTTACGAACGAACAACGCTTGCAAATTATTGAATTTTACTATCAAAATTCATGCTCGGTTAAGAAAGTGCATCGAGCACTGCTTCCAATTTATGGGCAATTTGGTCGGCCTACTGAGGGAGCTATTCGGAAGCTTGTGACTAAATTTCGAACCCAGTTTACATTATTGGACATTGACATTTTGCAACATGGTCGGTTCTATGGCATTTATCTCGGCAATGATGTTGTTTTTGAGTTCTTGGAGGGTGGCTGGTTTGTTGACGTAGACTTTGCTTTTCAAATATCCCCATAAAAAGAAGTCCAAGGGAGTCAAATCGCACGATCTTGGTGACCATGGCACATTTCCTGTGCGCGAAATCACGCGATCACCGAAGAAGGACTGCAATCGATGGATATTGACGTTGGTTGTGTGGCATGTTGCACCGTCTTGTTGGAAATAAACATCGTCCATATCCATTCCTTCAAGTTGCGGCAAAAAATAGTCCTCTCTCATCACGTGATATCGCTCAGAATTGACGGTAACGGCGTCCCCGGCCGCATTTTCGAAATAGTAAGGTCCGATGGTGCCTTTTGACCACAATGCACACCACACAGTCACTTTTTGAGGATGCATCGGATGCTCTTGATACTCACGGGGATTTTCGTTCGCCCAGATGCGGCAGTTTCGCTTGTTTACCGTCCCATTCAAAGTGAAACGCGCTTCGTCGCTGAACATGATTTTTGATGAAAAATTGGCATCAATTTGGCGGTGTTCAAGGAGCCAATCTGAGAACGTTCGGCGCGAAAAATGGTCGGCCCGACGCAGCTCTTGCGTCAATTGGATCTTGTAGGCGTGTACATTCAAATCCTTGTGGAGAATGCGGCGCAAACTGGTTCTCGAAATGCCCAATTCTTGGGATCGACGCGTTGTTGATTGTTTCGGATCGTCTCTCACATTCTCCTTCACAACAGCAATATTTTCCGGTGTGCGAACGCTCCTTGGCCGGCCAGAGCCTGGCAGATTTGCCACAGAACCTGTTGTCTCGAATTTACGCACCAGACGACCGATGGTTGTTTCGTTTGGGCGGTTGTTGCGACCGAAACGTGTTTTTTATTTTTGCACCACTTTTGTAGTGCTCTTGAATAACTTTAATGCGGTCTTCAATCGAATACGACTCCATAGCGATCAATGGTAAACATTCAACTAACAAAATGACATGTCGGTGACAGAAAACAAAGATGGCGTCTATGTCAAATTGACGTTTACTTTCCTCCGTCCCTATTGGACAACCCTATAGTTTTAAACATACGAGGACAAAATATTACGTAGTTAAGATTGGCTTATTTAGACACGTTCCTTTAAATGAGGTTAAATTGCAGGGACGCTAGTGCTAACGACGTGCGCAACGGGCATGCTGTGCGCTGCAATAATGACAGATCATTGGGAGGAGGTCACGTGGGACAAGCAAAAACTGGAAGTGTTGGCCAATAACACCGTCCGATTGCAGTGGCTGTTGGACAAGGCCGTAGCCAGGATATCAACGAATGACATCAGGGATAAGACGATCGCGTTTCTGGTACCGATGCACGGAGGCATATGGACGTTATGCGTCAGTTTGACAGGTCAGTATTGCGATTTGACAGCTACCGTTCACTACTAGGTACTCACATTAAACCTATACCAAACAATGTATGGAGGATGGTAAATAACTGGTAATGTTATGACCCAGAGTCACAACGTTCGTTTGAGATGTTCCCGGATAATAAAGATCACAAGAGCGTGCAAGAATGCAGGTTCATAGCGGCTTGTAGTGGGCTTCATCTACAGGGTGACTTCGAAGTTGAGTCATTTTTTTTAACAGTGAGTAGATCCGATCAAAAGAAATGTTTTTTTCCTTTAACATTTTTGAGGTAAAATGAAAGTAACAAAGTTATAGCCCTTTAGAAGTTTGGGTACCGCCCTGTCTCAATAATAATATTATGTGCTCTTGTTTGGCAACAACGGATATAATCCGCCTTATCGGTTCATCGCATCGGAAACAAAAAAGCGAAAGACTTTGAAACGCTTATCACGATGTTTTTACTACAGTTTTATTCACTTGTATTCGGTCAATGTGTCAGTCGGTAACGGGTGAGTGAATAGTGGTGTTTGTTAAAAAATGGCACATGTTTACGAAAATGCTGAACTTGTGGACATGGTTCTTATTTACTGGGGGGGAGTCTTTACAAAATGCAGCCGCGGCATCACGGATTTATGCGGATCGGTTTCCCAATCGAGTGCAACCAACCCCTCGTGCCTTTGTTAATGTAGTACAAAGGGCTCGTGAATCAGGTGACTTAAGACCTCACAGGGGAGGCATGCCGGTGCTCCAAGACCGCACGATCAAATACAGGTGCGCACTGAAATACTTGTCGGGAGGATACTTTATAAAACAAGGTAACATTTTCTTTTATTTTTTTTATTTTTACACACATATTTTGGTTTATCTTCCTTCTACAATCATTATCTGAAAATTAATGACTCAACTTCAATACTAAAGTTCTAAAAGTTTAAAAGCATCATCAGGCATCAATTGGATAGTCTGACAATGCTTCTGAAAACAAAGGGAAAAGCTCTGGAAAGCGGGTCTGGTGTAAAACTGCTTGTCGACGATGTCTATGCCTACAACGACCCTGGTACAAACGCGGAAATAAGAAAATCAATTCTCCTTGGACGAGTCATCAAAACGTTCCGACCAATTACCCGGCGTTTCCCGCATCAGAAATTCGAATAAGGACCTTCAAACCATCTCGAATGAACAAACGAATATTTATTTTTTAATTTGAACGTAGAGGGCTGCGCCAAGGTTGCTGCCGCATGCCGCTTGGGAAGGGTTTGCGATTGATGAAAAATTGGCGTCAAGAAGGTTAACCCACGCGCAACGTACGGCTCAAGTTGTCCACTATTGGAAAAAAGTTAACTACGTATATAGTCAACGCCAAACAAAGTGGCGTGCACGTCATCAAGGTGGGTGTGTTGAAAAATTTACATTGTTGCCAAACTTTTTGTAAAATAATAAAATTTATTATTTACATATCTAGGTTTATAAGCAATATTAACCTCAAATGAGAACAAAAATAATAGTATAATAAAATTATAGATCTGTACTTGCATAATCATTAAGTATGACAATTATTGATCAGATGACACTATGAAACTACCATATTTAATTGATAGCTTAAAGGTACTGAATAAAAATCCAAATGGGGTCCTCCAAATTTTATGCATGGTATTTATTTTACAGAATTCATACAGAAAAATACATTCTAAAATTAGGTAAGCTATTGGTGTAAGCTTTTTCTGTACAATAAAGTTAGTCGGAGTTTCTTTCTTCAGCGCTGTCTGAATCTGAATCTTCATCACTCTCAAAGTTGATTATTAAAGGTTCGATGTCTGGTCGATCAAAAATTCGTTCTCTTTCATACCATTTAAAAATTTCTTGCTCAGTATGTCGAACACTATTTTTCCACATGTCTGGGGTAACCGTTTGTAGAGCCTCGTTCCACATATCCAAACAGTCTTTTTCACTGTTACCATCTCTACCAATATGTCTGTTATAGTAACCTTTTGCTATGCCCCAAATTAACTCAATAGGGTTAAATATACAATGGTAAGGAGGCAGACGAAGAACTTTGTGCCCATGTTGTTCCGCCAATTCATCAATCACGTATATTTTAGGTGGTTTGTTTCTAAAAAAGCAGTTATTTTAAGAATAGGAATAAACAAAAGAAATATAAACTGTCGACCAAAATATATATAATTAAGAAGCATTATGTACCGAGCAACAATACTCAATAGCTCTGTTTTAAACATTGTGTTTAAAAATGGTATGTTTTGATTTGTCAACCAGTCTTGGATTTTTTTTTGTCCATGCATTGTTGGGCACTTTGTTCAATATCATGCTGTGATAAGGGGCGTTATCCAGTATAATCATAGATAAACTCTCCAATTTTTCTAATAACTGATGTTGAAACCATTTCAAAAAATTGTCCTGGTTCATCTCTCCATGGTAATCGCTCAATTTTGTTTTCGAAGAAAATATCACTTCACTACCCTCAATAAACACATTTTCATTTCCAACATGTAATATAAAGTATCTAAAATATATTAGTTTTAAATTTTATAGTGCAAATTGTGTAAAAGTACATACCTTTTACCATCTGTTTTAATAGCTTTCACGCTTTTTTGGTTTCCATTTTGCCAAGAGCGACCTATGGTCCCATTTTGAAATATCCAAGTTTCATCGAGGAAGACAAACTGGTATAAGGCCTCAACCTTGGCTTGATTGTATTGCCTTAGAAATTCCACCCTTTTCAAAGCTATACTTGGTAGTTCCATGAGCCCTCGTCGCGGATTGTCCTTAAGCCACTTAAATCCAAGATCTCTAAGCAACCGCCTTAAAGACGTGGCACTACCATCAAATAATGCCCTATCTCTTAATCGAGACCATAAAGTTTGTATCGTAACTTGTTCTTCTGAAACCATGTGTAATATGACATTATAATTTAGTTAACAAATTAATGCAAATTTCTGATAAGTTATTATAATAAGATGTTACTTTTGTGATACATATTATAGATCACTTCTCGAATGGCACTTGTATCCAATGTCGCTGTGTTGGTTACACGTTTAATATAACTCCGCTTTTTCTTGGGCGATTCTAAATTTGCATCACTTTTCACACCCTCGGAAATACGACTAACTGTCCTTAAACTAATTTTTAAAGCAGCAGCAACACGCTACAAAAAATGAAATAAAATTTCACTATTATTAATATACATTACATATAATTATTAGTAACCTACCTCTTGAACAGCATTTAAAGGCAACAAAGGCCCGTTGTTGTCCCTTTCTTGCTCAAAGTAGTGCATTAACGAGGCCACGAGTTCCTTACACCGACTATTTAACTGTTTGGGCATCTTTATATACCAAAATTGCCTTTATCTACTCGTAAAATGAATAATTTTGTTTTGAAACAAACAGTTGTTGATTTACAGTATGCGGGGCCAAAGGATTTATAAAGATTTGAAATGCCACAAATTGATTCAGTGTCAAAATTAATACAAATGTCAGTTCCCAGTTTAAATAAGTTTCAAGGTGACAATGTGTCAACGCTGCGAAATCGGTTTAGTGCGTTTACATGTCGATAAGTGATTGGAGCGTTTGCAAAACATTTTATTTCGCATAATGCGTCTAAATTTATCAGAAAGCAACTTATGTGATATTTTAATAACAATGTTTATATGACTATTAACGATAATAAGAGAGTAATGACCATTTTACAATTTATATATCACATTAATATGAAACTGCAATAGAGCAATTGTTTGTGATAGAAACCTAGGCATTAGGTCGGGGAATTTTTATCGTGATGACGTGCACGCCACTTTGTTTGGCGTTGACTATATGTAAAAATAAAAAGGGCATCAAGTAGTCAGTCAGGCGATTTTATTTTTGCCGTCTCCTAATCAATTTTCAAAATCTACGTCTACCTAAACGATTAAGAAGTATTAAACTCTCGATAATATTTGAACTTCGGTTTACAAGTAAAAGTTACTTAAAAATATCTGCATCATACTAGCCCGTGTTTCTAATTTATATCGGTTTGTCACTCCGTGTCTGTTGAACATATTAATGCGTCGTAGGTATTGAGTGAATCTACTTGACGGAAGAGAACCATCACAACGGCAGTAACACAAATTAAAGGTTAGGCGAAATGGGCGGTACATTTAAGTATCATAAAATTCAGAAGAATATATATGTAGATGTAATCCAAATTTCAAGATACTAAATTCTGGAAGATGTTTATTTTTTTTTAATTCGTCCGTTTTAGCATTTTGGTTCATTTTATAGACGAAGAGCTGTCGTTGCTGAGCAGAGTAGGATTTCCGTCTGTCCAACCATGTGTCAATTATCTATCAGGTGGCATCGACGGGATTCGAGGTTATGAGCCCAGGGCAGACTGGCAACATCGTAAGTATATTATTTGTTATATACGTTAAAATACGCGAATTGATAAAATTACGTCTCAAGCCTCTTTTTTACCTGCTTTTCCTTTGGAATTAAACAAAACATATCAGAATCAGTATTCTTAATAAGAGATGTACCGAACGAATACCTAATATAACGAAGCTAAAAACAAACATTGTGACAAATTCTCCTCGCTCCGGTCCATTTTTATGGCTCCTTTGGACCTTGGGGATGTTTTCATATCCCCGGACGTCAACAAAATCATAAAAATGATTGCAGTTGCTACGCCTTTACGTCGTACACCGTTTTCCACTTTAACAGTGTATACAAATGCAACTATTGTCTGAAATTGCCACTTCAGTTTTATCGAGACTGTAAAGGAGTTTTGTATATCGGATATCGAAGAAGATCAAACAGAAAGCTCAATGATAGCGAATATACAGATGTAGTTTGAAATGTCATCGGAAATGCATAATTCATAACAATTGCCTCTGATTAACTTTTCGGATAAAAACTAGCTTTTCTTCTCTCTCTCTTTTACACAAATGCACCTGGTATTCCCTTCTCCTAAAGGTTTGTCTACGCGTTCAAATAATATGCACAAACTGGCTTGGACAGGAGGAGCATCTTCTGGTGGAAGCGCTTCATCCTCTGCAGGCGGTGCTTCATACTCGGCTGGTGGTGCTTCATCCTCGGCTGGTCGCTTAGTAGGTCTTTCGTTCTCAGGAGGTCCTCGTAAAGCCCTTTTGTTGATTGTGTTGGAGAGCATGATCAAGTTTCTATCGGCGTCTACCAAGCTGATGAACAAGAACCTCCGGAAGATGATGCCAGCAATATGACCAGTAACAGCTCAATAACCGGCCGAGGAACAATCGCCCCCTGCCAAGAATGAAACAGCTTCAACCAAGGATGAAGCAATTACAGCCGAAGAAGCACCCCCTACTGACGATGATGCACCTCCTTCAGAGGACGAAGCACCACCAGCCGAGGATGAAGCACCGACTGCAGATGTTGAAGAACCTCAAGCCAAAGATCACAACCCTTCTGCAGAGGATGAAGCACCAAAAGCCGAAGATGAAACACCACCAGCCGAGGATGAAGCACTTCCAGTCGATGAAGCACCTCCTGCCGAGAATGAAGCATTTACAGTTGAAAAAGCACCCTCTACTGACGATGTTGCACCTCCTGCAGAGAACGAAGCACCACCAGCCGAGGATGAAGATGAAGCACCGACTGCAGATGATGAAAAACCACAAGCCTAAGATGAAAACTCGTCTGCAGAGGATGAAGTACTAAAAGCCGAAGATGAAGCACCGTCTGCAGATGATGAAAAACCACAAGCCTAAGATGAAAACTCGTCTGCAGAGGATGAAGTACTAAAAGCCGAAGATGAAGCACCATCAGCCGAGGATGAAGCAGTTCCAGTCGATGAAGCGCCCCCTGCCGAGAATGAAGCATTTACAGCCGAGGATTAAGCTTCGACTGCAGATGATGAAGAACCTCAAGCCTAGGATGAAACCCTTCTGCAGAGGATGAAGCACCAAAAGCCGAAAATGAAGCACTTCCAGCCGAGGATGAAACATCTCCAGTTGAGGAAGAAGCGCCCCCTGCCGAGAATGAAACAGCTCCAGCCAAGGATAAAGCAATCACAGCCGAAGAAGCACCTCCTACTGACGATGATTCACCTCCTTCAGAGGACGAAGCACCACCAGCCGAGGATGAAGCACCGACTGCAGATGATGAATAACCTCAAGCCAAAGATGAAAACCCTTTTGCAGAGGATGAAGCACCAAAAGCCGAAGATGAAGCACCACCAGCATAGGATGAAGCACTTCTAGTCGATGAAGTACGCCCTGCCGACAATGAAGCATTTACAATCGGAGAAGCACCCTCTACTGACGATGATGCACCTCCTGCAGAGAACGAAGCACCACCAGCCGAGGATGAAGGCACCGACTGCAGATGATCAAGAACCTCAAGCCGAAGATGAAAACCCGTCTGCAGAGGATGAAGCACCAAAAGCCGAAAATGAAGCACTACCAGCCGAGGATGAAGCATCTCCAGTTGAGGAAGTAGCGCCCCCTGCCGAGAATGAAACAGCTCCAGCCAAGGATGAAGCAATCACAGCCGAAGAAGCACCCCCTACTGACGATGATGCAGAGGACGAAGGACCACCAGCCGAGGATGAAGCACCGACTGCAGATGACGAAGAACCACAAGCCGAAGATGAAAACTCGTTTGCAGATGATGAAGCACCACCAGCCGAGGATGAAGCATTTACAGCCGAAGAAGAACCCCTCCTGACGATGATGCACCTCTTGCAGTGAACGAAGCACTACCAGCCGAGGATGAAGCACTGACTGCAAGATGATCAAGAACCTCAAAGATGAAAACCCGTCTCTAGAGGATGAAGCACCACCAGCCGAGGATGAAGCACCTCCAGTCGATGAAGCACTCCCTGCCGAGAATGAAGCATTTACAGTCGAAGAAGCATCCCCTACTGACGATGATGCACCTCCTGACAAGAACGAAGCACCTCCAGCCGAGGATGAAGCAATTACAACCGAAGAAGCACCCCCTACTGAGGATGAGAAACCAACAGTCCAGGATGAAGCACCGCCTGCAAAGGATGAAGCACTTGCATCGGAAGATGCTCCCCCTGCTGAGGAGGTCCAAGACCAAGTACCGCTTGCAGATGGAGATGCACCAAAGCATATAGTAAAAGCTGTGGAAGCGGAAGACTGTTAATGTGAAGAGACCAAAGATTTGAAAGCAACTAGGTGTGTTACCTCCAGCGGAAGGAGGAGGAGGAAGGTCACTTCTGTTCAAAAGATCGAGCTCATTTTCCATCTCCACTGAAACTTTATACTTGTGCCTCAAATGTAGCAGGAGTATTGGAAGCAACTCCTCTACCAAGATCGTGTTGTCAACAGAAGAAAACACAAGCATTAAAACAGCCAAATAAATATGCCGAAAAATGTATGGAAAAATTCCACTATATTGATCGGTCCCGTCGAAACCTAGCTTCTACCGACCGCCCTTGCATCCAATCCCTAATATATTCTAGGCACGTTCCCGTAAACTTATTCTTTTGTTTTCAGGGATGCAGAACTTGTCTATCTCGTGCGCTCTGGTGTGCCTGATTATACTCGGTAGCGCAGCGCTGGTGGGAGCCTTCGGGGTTTTCCAACATCAAATCAGCGCCGTACTGGTCACTGGGGTCATGTATCTTTTGGCCGGTAAGATAATCCGGCAAATCATTCATTCATCTAACTTACGTACATCTTCAAGTTTTTCTGGTCACCAAATAAAACAACGGATGTTGTATTGGAAGTTTACTATTATTCCGGCCACCCTGGTAAGCTTCTTTAAAATACATAAAAAAACGACGTCAAGTAAGTTGACTCTGTTGAAAAAACTTAGCTACGAACATGTACAACAAAAAATTACCAATAGTAAACTATCAATCCAACATCCGTGGTTTCATTTGGATGCCTACAAAATACGGTGATTATCATTAATTATATAGAAGTTTTTTATGGATGTTCAATTTAATCCAACCCCAAAACAATTTTTCAGCATCATTCGCACTGTTCACGCTGACGATAATCCATTTCAAACGGCTGCACAGCAAACCGACCAGAGGAGGTGCTGACGACGCGGTCGAGCATTCATCTTCCGCTGTGGACGGAGTGGTCGGACCAGCCGGTCTCGCGAGAGGTATCAGGGACCTACTCCCAGCCAGACAGTTCAGCACCTCCTGGTCTCTGGATCTCGGCTGGGGAGGAGTTATGCTGTGCGTCATGACCAGCGTACTATGGATACTGCTCAGCAAAATTATGCGATTCAATCCGATTTCCAGCATGATACATTATTAGACGGATGTTCACGAATGAACTTTCTAGTCGCAAAGCGATAAAAAACGCAACAGCAAAAAATACTGAAATATGAAATAATGTTTGTTATGAAAGTCTGTCCGTCGATATACCGGGTGTTGCAATTCGACCCTCACTATTGGGATCTGGGAAAAAACTAAAACCATTTTGGGACAGTACTGTAAATTTCGAAACTTTCTAAGCGGCTTTTTGTTAGAATTACTCAGCTTAGCTCCCATTTAAGCGACTTTATGATATCCCAATCGTGACGATCGAATTTGAAACACGCGACTCGAAAAAATGTGGTTAAAAATATTTTTTACTACAATGCACAAAAAGCATATGGCAGTTTGATTTAAAAGGAAAACTTACAAAAAACTGAGTAACTGTTAATTGCATTTATGTATTTTCTTATATCTCTCAAGAAGCCTTGGAGTAAATCTATCCAAGCTTACCTGGATTGTGCCTGGGATATAACAAGCCAGAACATACAAACCACTCTTTACTAGTTCAGCCTTAACTCAATCTAAGGCAAGTTTAAGATAACTCTCAAATAATTCACCACAAAATAAACTTTTTCATGAAGATGTAGGCAAAATTCACATTGCAACATTTTGCAATAACAGCATTAACCACTAAACAAAATATTCAACTAACATTGCATGACTAAGTATGTGTACATCGAAAGAAATACAAACCAGCTTATAGAAAAGCTTATGTATTTTTAGTTTGTAAAAAGCTTTCAAAGCTAAGTTTAACCAGTTAGTTAAAAACTATTAATTAAGCATTCTTGTTGCATATTTTTGTCATGCTTTGTTAAGAGACTCAAATCATTATAAATTGTTGCGAGTATATACATACATCCAAACAAGTTCGAGAAAATTTATTAGTATAATTTAAAATATGTTTAAACTAATACACATTATCTGAGAATTTAAATTTGACACACATAATTTTAGCCTAAGAAATCTATAGATTTAATTTGGGGGTCCTGAACTGCACAAAATTAAATTTACAACTGTGTTGTTGTCAAACATATTTTGCTACATGGTATATAGAACTAATATTATAATATTGTATATTGCACTGCTATGTGGGCATATCTGCTAACTAAATTTGGCCAAAATTATATCTTGACTTGTAAGCCATTTTATTATGTTTTCTCAGTTTCTTGAACTACAGACTTTTACATTATTCAAGAAGGTACTAGGCAGTCTGATAAGTCCCTGAAAAATGAAACACGGAGACGTTTTTTTGGCCAAAGTCGGGTTTATTTTTCAACATACTCTCCTTTTAGGTCGATACAGCGAATCCAACGATTTTCTAACTTTTTGATACCGTCCGAAAAGTACTCGATCGGAAGGTCTCCAAAATACGCTTCAGTTTCAGCTATGAGCTCCTCATTTGAGTAAAAACGCTTACCGATGAGCCATCTCTTCAGGTTAGGGAATAAGTAATAGTCGCTGGGGGCCAGGTCTGGTGAATACGGTGGCTGAGGAACCAATTCGAAGCCGATTTCGTGCAATTTTGCTTGTGCAACTAAGCATGAATGAACAGGCGCATTGTCGTGATGATAAAGCGGTTTTTTCTTCTTCAAATGCGGTCGTTTTTCGGCGATTTCGATTTTCAATCGGTCCAATAATGATGAATAATATGCTCCGGTTATGGTTTTACCTTTTCCAAGATAGTCCACGAATATTATGCCATGAGCATCCCAAAATACGGAGGCCATAACCTTTCCGGCCCATTGTTGCGTTTTTGGACGCTTCGGAGCACTTCGGCCCGGTGGAACCCACTGTTTTGCCTGTTGCGTTGACTCAGGAGTGTAGTAATGGATCCAGGTTTCATCCATGGTTACAAATCGTCGCAAAAACTCGGTCGGCTTACGCGAAAATAATGCCAAATTCTGCTGGGAAGTCGTCACACGAATTCGTTTTTGGTCCACTGTGAGCAAACGCGGCACCCATCGCGCGCAGAGCTTCTTCATGCCCAAAACTGAATGGACGATATTGCCTACGCGTTCCAATGACATGCCTACAGCATTAGCTACCTCTCTCAATTTCACTTTGGGATCATTCAACATCATATCATGGATTTTTTCGACGTTTTCTGGTGTAGTGACCTCTTTTGGGCGCCCAGATCGTTCAGCATCAACTGTGCTTGTACGGCCACAACGAAACTCCGTAAACCACTTATGAATCGTTCCAATCGACGGTGCAGAGTCCGGGTAATACTTATCCAGCTTGGCCTTGGTCTCGGATATCGTTTTCTTGCGTAGATAGTAGTGTTTGATCAAAACTCGAAACTCGGATTTTTCCATATTAAAAAAAACTCTGAGGTTAGTCGCTTCTCAGTGCTGTAACTTGTAAATGTGTAAACATGAATGGCTGAAGTTTTGACAGGTGTCATTTGAAGGATCAGGCTCGACAAAAATGGTTCGCATTAGTGAATACTAATGCCATCTCTTAGAATTTTCAGGTACTTATCAGACTGCCTAGTACTTTATTCTATGGATAGCCAGATAAGCAGAGCCATTAAAGTTTATTATATTTTATTAAGCATATTTTGAAGTATGAAATCCTGAAAACAGATCAAGTAACTGGCTGAAGGAAATTTTCAAAATTGCAACATATAATAAGGTTTCATATTTTGTACAATATGAAACAGAATTTGATATAGAATTGAACCGTGTGGTGAGGTGTAAGACAAAAAATTACTAGCTATGTAGTTTATGCTTCAGTAAGAAATAAGCTGCCGTCCATTGTGTATGCCCCTGTATGCTAAGTATACAAAAAGCTGTATTTTTGTTACTTGAGGCAAAAAATGTATTGATCGACCAGCCAAAGATTGCTAGGGACGAAAGGGGGAAATGCGATGAAAAAACCTTACCATTAGACGATTTTATATGGAGTCATAGGCGGAGATCGGAGAGACTTGAATTATTAATTGAATTTATATTTTATTACAACTGGTAGTATTAATATTTTTTTGCGATTCATAATGACGTGATACCAAACATACATTATAAGAAATAAATATACACAAACACTGAATATTGAGAACAAAATAAATATATTTTTTAGGCAACAAGTAATATTCCTATGTACGCATTATGATTGAACAGCAAAACAAATTATGCATTCTTCTAAAATAGAATACAACAAGTCAAAAATATCTGACTGAATAGAAAAATATAGGAAAACAAAAAGTAATTTCTTGATGAAATAACCCATAAACAACACATAGAATTAGACTTTCTACTGAGATACTAAAAGCCACAAACCAATAGTATAATAAATGAATATCTAAAAATTCTAAAAGGTAGCCAATCTAGTAGTTTCAATCCTGATTAGAGTCATGATCACTGTCTGAGGAACTGTCATTGCTATCACTTTCACCTCCTATGTTGATTATTATTTCTTCCTGTATTTCTTGAATGAGACTGTCTTTTTCCCAATATTCATCTTCAATTTTTATAACATGTCCAATAACCTTTTGCCAGTCACTGGCACTTACTGAAGCGATGGCCTTATTAGAAATTTCATCTAGTTTTTTTATAGTAAATTCGCCGCTTGTATTATGGCTTCTAATGAAAAATTTTACTTGTGCCCAAATCATCTCTATGGGATTAAACTGACACATATAGGGTGGCGTTCGAAGTGGGGTGTGTCCGAAACTTCTTATTAAATTATCTATCTTATAATTTTTCTCATCAGATGGTGGCCTATGTAGACAAGCTATTTCATAAAGCTCCATTTTTTTAGCATTAGGATCATGCTCTATACCTTTTTTGCTCAACCACGTGATGATGTCTCTTTTTAGAGAAGATCTAGTTGGAGGCTTGTCTTCCAAAGCTGAATGGTAAGGTGCATTATCCATTATTATAATACTATTAGGAGGAATGTTAGGAAATAGTTTTTCAGTAAGCCACTTCGTGAAATTTTCTTGGTTCATTTGACCGTGATAATCACCAGTGGCACAGCCAGCCTTGAAAATGAGACAGGCTCCAGGAACAAAACCATCTTGCGAACCCGCATGAACAATTATAAGTCGTCCTGGAAATGAATAAATAGCCTCATTTTAGTGTTATTTTAAGTTTGCCAACACCTTTTTGAATCACTATGTATAAAAAACATATTTTTGAGAAAAAAATACTTGCAAGGGATTATGTATTCAATTAGACAAATTAAATGAGCACTTATTAAGAATATTCCAAAATTGAGAAAAATGTATAATAAGCAAAATCGAGGTGAAAGAAACTTTATTACCTGTAGAACTTATATTGCTCAGGACACCCATAATTTCTTCGCTTTGCCAGCATTTCTTGAAAGTGAGGTCATTATCAACCCAAGTTTCGTCCAAATAAATAATATGCCTTCCTTCTTCCCGGAACTTTTTAATAGACCTAAGATACTTGTATCGCCAATGTAAAATACTGGGTCTTTCCATTAGTAATTTCCTTTTGTTGTGGCATTTACGCCAGTAAAATCCTTTTGCTTTTAAAAGCAGCCTCAACGATTCTTTACCAAATGGAAATTCCATTTCTTCCTTCAGTTTGATTAGAAGTTTACTACAAGTAGGTACCACTTTAAAATCACAGTAAAATTTTTCTATCATTCTCCGAATAATGGAAAAATCGACTCCATCAATTTTTTGGATCACAGAAGGGCGTGATCTCTTTTTTCCGGGAGAAGCTAAAGGCTGTGTGGAGGTTGCATTTTGCCTGTCTTTATCTTCTTTTCTAATTTTACTTATAGTTCGTTCACTAACACCCGTATAATATGCCGCCCTTGCATTTCTAGCTACCAGTGGATAAACGAAAGTATTGTTAGCCGCTTCTGCATCGCAAGCACGTATCACGTTTGCTATTATTTCCCTTGCCTGGCTGTGAATAACTTTCCCATGCTTGAATTCCATTATCACCACTAAACAGTAAATTATATTTTCAAAGTATTTGCCAACTGCCTACGCCTATGGGAGTAGGTTTATAAATGACCGTGCCATCGGCACGTTATTCTAGTTTCAGATAAGATAAGAGTTTTGGACCAATCAGCGACCGGATGTTTACCTGCGGCCTGGGTTTTCCAGCTACATTGCCAAATTCAGCGGAACAATTCTATATCTTAAATATGTTAATATGTATGGACCGCATTTTATGTAGAACATCTGACAACTTCGCAATTTTTTGTCCGCATTCTTTCGGCTTGCAATCTTTCGCTGGTCCAACAGTACATTCCTATTTTGCTACCAACAGTTTCTACTATAGAAAAAGGGAACAGAAGACACTAGTTAAAACCCCAAAAACAATACCGCTTTGGAATATTCAAGTATTATATGAACGATAATGCCTATTTAAAATAAGTTTTTCAGCTTTTTCACAATTAGTTGCATGTTTTATACAATCAATCAGTTGAATAAATAATAAGCAAGTTTAGCATGGAGTTTTTCAATTCCCATAAAATTCTTACCTCCTCTGAAACTGGCACACTGGATATAAAGACAATTACAAGAGATGTTTTACTTGAAAATATAAAACAACTACTTTGGAATGTTGAGAAAAACGGCCTGCTGGAAAGAGAGACGAGTCAAGTGGCTGGCGGTAAAACAAGCGACGTCTGACGTATGTCTATGTCATCGTGACATCGTTAGGGATGGAGAAAAATAACAGGTTAACTGAATAACCGGTCTTTCTAAATTAAACAGTGTTAAGCGGTTATATCACAATGTACGGTTAACCGGTTATCGGTGCAATAACAAGAAGGAAGGTTTCTCACAAATCTCAGTAAATATGAGTGTAGTGAATATTACTGCTGTGTTGGTTTGGTTGTGCTAGTCCACTTCTCATATGCGGTATAACCGCTTCTGGAAAGTAGTTCTTTCAAAACACCTTTTTATGCCACGCTTTATAACAAGACTTGACGTTTCACAATAGCCAACTTTACGTTTCCCACATTTACATTAATTATTCCATAACTTGGATGGCTTATCAAGGAAGTTGTAAGTCTGTACATAAATGCCTCCCTCTACACGTTAACACTGTGTGCTATGACTTATCTAGGCGATTGGCTAGCCACGGTGTTAACATGGCCAATCACAATGACACTGTATTGTTGATGGTTGATGGACACACAAATCAAATCCAAGCGAATAACCAAAATTTCTGTGTTATGTGCCGCGGTTATAATATGGTTCAAGATGACACACGGGTTGATGACGTCAGTTACACGAATCGCTTGAACGCGTTGGTTTTAACCGCGGTTTTGTTGCAAGTTGTTTATTTTAGAAAAGCGCGTATATAATCTCCGATTATTTTTATTATCACTTAATAATCGGTACTGTTTCGTCTACAACTGTATATGGAAAGTTTAAATAAGAAACCTTTCATAATATTCATGGAAGAAATGTTTTTTCAGATTTTTTTTTAATGATGGAACCATGGGTTTGTAGCTTTGATAACTTTCAATTCTCTAAATTTTTCCGCATGTCAAAGAAAACATTTATTGATTCAGCAGAAATGATGAAAAAAGAAATTAGCAAAACCGTATACAGGTGGATATCATCTAGTGAGTTTATATGGCCATATTTTAATATTCTTGTGGTATATGGCTACACAGGATACTTTGTTAAGCATAGGAACTACATTTAAAGTGTCCCCAGCAACCGTAATGAGTATAACTAATAAGGTGCTCCACTTTATGGTAAAACTGAAGTCAGCCTGTATCATTTTTCTCAAAAATGAAGCTGAAGTACAATAACAATATCCAGTACCCGGCAAAATTCTAACTTGTCACATTTCAAATAATAACCAGAAATATAAAACTACTCTTGAGTTGGGTAAATACCACAATTTTGCGGTGATAACTATGACATATAACAGCTGATTCGTGACGTCATGGATATTATAACCAAACTGATAACTACACTCGCTTGAACGGATTGGTAAATACCAACCCAAAATGGTAAATACCATTTCCATTTGGTTATCCGCTTGAATTTGATTATTGTATTGTTGATGGTTGATGGACACAGAATAAAGGTTATTCTCCGGCTAACCTATAACCGGTTTTTTATCAACGACCGCCCATCCCTAGGCAGCGTATCTTTCAATAGTCAACTTTGGAGGTCAATTGTATGCAACCCATAATACATTACATAACCTATTTTGTTGTGTATTTTATGACTGTCTAATATCTATAACTTTTGTAAACAAGGAACTCTAGAGGAAAGGATGAATTAATTGAAAGAAGTAGTATTTGGTTAAAAATTAAGGAGTCAAATAGAAAAAATTTTACGATAAACTGAGCAACAGCCAACGTTTTTAAATATGAGTACAGAGAACGTATTGCTAAAATTTGCACCTGAAATGCATAAAAACTACTTATTGCACATTTTAAATGGGAAAATGCCCTCGTATGGCAGCAGTTTGGATACAAACAGGTATTTACAGATACATATTCACATAAAACATACAGTCATTTTAAAAGCATATTTGATATTCCCAGTACAAAGCACGTTTAAAAACAGCACAGTAATCTGTAAACCATATACCCAAATCACTGAGCAAAATGAAAATGAACATTATACCATCCAGGGTCTGGAAATTGCATTTTGAAGTGCTCCAAACATATCTGCCAACTACATTCTTATGATTCATATAACAAGGGAAATATGTGTAAAAAATGAACTTACCGATTATTCTGTATTAATACCTAGCAAAACTTCTAATATGTATTTTTTTTTCAGAGCTGTACTCATGTACTTTGCAGTAGGAGGCCTAGACATTTTAAATTCACTTGATAGTATAACAGATACCAGAAAGAAATCAATCATAGACTGGATATATTCCTTACAAGTTATCAATGAAAAAGGTATTTGAATTTTGTGCATATGTAGATAGCCATATACTATTAAATGATATTCCAGTAGGCAATAAATCCTGAAGTCAGACTTTAGGCAACAGATAGATTTTAGTTGCCAGCCTGACAGAAAAGCTGGATGACAAATATTGAATGTTTGAGAGAAAATTACAGGCCACTTTTTGATCTGTGCTTGGCATGACACCATCAGTTGATTTGTATAGTGTTTCCATTTTAAACAAGGCTGCTGAATTGAAATTACCTCAGGGATATTACAAATTCCTATAAATGTTTTTATGGCCTATTGATTATTAATGGACATAAAACATATTACCATATGTTGTCATAGCAGTATTTTTGGATTTGAAACGATTGATAGAGATATTTTGTCAGGTAAATTGAAGGCATATGGTATAGCAGGAAGTGTTTTAGATTGGTTTAGAAATTATTTGTCTAAAAGGATGCAAGTTACAAAAGTTAATGACACTATTTCATCAAAAATTGAAAATACGTTGGGTGTTCCACAGGGCAGTATCCTGGGATCACTTATTTTTATTTTATACATAAATGATTTACCTGCCATACTCAAAAAATGCAAAATTCAGATTTTCGCCGATGACACTATGATTTATATAAATACTAAAAATATTCAGTCTGGTATCTCTTATATAAATGAAGACTTGAAGCTTGTCTCAAAATGGTTAGCATCTAACAGACTAAAATTAAATACAAGTAAAACGAAAGCCTTGTTAAGCGGAAAAAAACAATATACAAATGTTCAACTGAATATTGATGGTGAAGATATTGAATTCGTAGAAAATTTTAAATACCTGGGGGTTTTTGTTGACTCTCGATTAATTTTTGATATTCATTATGAAAAAGTTATAAATAAGATTAGTAGTAAAGTGGGATATTTATCGAGAGTTTCTGGATGTCTGAGTTCATATAGCAGAAAAATTATCTATAATACCATCATTTTTCCAAATTTCTTGTACTGTTCGACTATTCTATATTTAGCAAATAATTCAATTTTTGAAAGACTGCAAATTTTACAAAATAAGTGCATGAGAATAATACTAAATAAAGATAAATATACTCCAATTACGCAAATGCTTAGCAAATTAAAATGGCTCAATGTAAAAAATTTTATCAAATATCTTGTAATGATATTCATTTATAAAGTAAAAAATAATATAGTCTAACTAATTTAACATCATCAAATGTCGACCATCATTTACATAATACAGAAATAAAGATGACTTCCATTTAATGACCAAAAAGTATAACATATGCTACAAATCTGTACTTCCATCAAGGGTTGATTGAATATAATAAATTATCCTCGGAGATAAAAGACCAGAAAACTTTGACAAAATTTAAAGTAAAATTGAGAAATCACTTGTTAAATCTACAATTATAGGTTGCCCAGCATTTACATCATACACCATATGGCTTGAATTTACTAGTTCTAAGTTGTTTACAATTATTCTGTTTAAGTAGCCAAATGTGATAAATAAATCTTTCTACTACTACATATCCAAATAAAAATGATTTGACAGCTTTGGCACAGGATGTAATTCTTATACATACTTTTATGCAATCAGTCATGCAGAACATCATATCACAGACATTTTTCACATAACTTCTAACATTCTGAATAAAAAGTTAAAATTATGCAGTAACTTTGTTTACCTGTCCAAACAATATACTGTTTCAATGTCTTATAAAAGAAAAAATTATGTTGACACCTTAACAGAATAAACAAACTTTAACATAAAATTAGATAATGTCTGAACTATTTTGTGTTAGGGCTCGTATAATTTAAAAAAAGAATTTGAAAAAATGTTGAAAAATCAAAAGAGGCCAAACATTTTAATACACAGTTTTTTAAACCCATTTCATTAAAAATTACAAAAATCCATCTGGTGGAACTAGGCTGTGAGGTTTATATCTAAGATCACTCCATAGGAAAATAGTGGATTGCTTCACTATATTTTTTTCAGATTTAACCAGCGGATTTCAAGGCTCTACTAATCTGAATACGATTGAAAATAGGGGAAAGAATACATTGTATAAATGGGCACATATAGCTAACACTTATGCTTGCCTATCGTCACTTTTGATGCTCAGAGACAATTTAGAGAGAGTTGATAGATGTGCTATTATCAATAGTAAGTTCTGTCAATGGGCAATTTTTCATTAAAGAGGACCTTGATTTCTTATCATCCTTATTTTGAATTTATGCTGCCTTTCTTTGCTTTCCTCATTAATGTTTGTTGTAGGCTTGAAAGCATTGCAGCTACCGAACGGATCTTTTAAAGGTGCCATAGACGGTGTTGAAAGTGACATGAGATTTGTTTTCTGTGCGGCAGCTATTTCGCACATCCTGAATGATTGGAGTGGAATTGATGTCGAGTTGATGGTGGACTTCATATTGAATAGCATAGTAAGTTTATTCTCAATTGCGTCTAGTATTATTTGTAAACGCACTGAAAATACTAAAAATAATTCTGAATTCTCAAATTATTCAAAAAAACCTGTTCTCTCTCTCTTTCTTTTAGTCGTACGACGGCGGCATAGGACAAGCTCCAGAGCTCGAGTCTCACTGCGGTTCGACGTTTTGTGCAGTCGCTGCACTCGCTTTAAGCGAAAACTTGGACAGGTAATAGCGGATCGACGAAGTTCCTATCCGTTAGCGACGTCATTTCAATTTGCAGATTAACGAGGGCTCAATTTGATAACCTGAGGAGGTGGCTACTATTCAGATTCGACGGCGGCTTTAACGGACGGCCTAACAAACCGGTCGACACTTGCTACTCCTTTTGGTCAGGAGGTGCTTTGAAAATCCTAGACGCCTACGATTTCATACAGCAGGAAAATAATCATCAATACGTTCTCATGACGCAGGACAGGTACGATGTTTCTGTGCTAGAGAATCAGTAATAACAGAGCAGTACAGATACCATTTAGAGAGCGATACCCGGTGCAATGGTTTAATTTACAGTTTGTGAAAAAAAAAACACCGAAGAGAGAAAAGAAACTATGAATGTGATTGATAGATAATAGCAAAAAAGAATATACCAGGAGAGTCACACATGGGGGTGAGCCACAGTGTATTGGTTAATAAACACCGGTTTTATTGTTTTTAGGCGAGGCGGATTCGCAAAATGGATAAACTGCGTCCCGGATCCGATGCACAGTTACCTAGGCCTAGCAGGATTAAGCCTGATGGATTTTGGAGGCTTGAACGAAATGTTTTGCGAACTGAACATCACCAAACGTACAAATGAATTTCTGGAAGAGGTGCAAAAGACTTGGATGTGAAATTTATACGCTCAAGCATGTTTGTATCTGACTATTTTTTTGTTCGTTTTGTACGTATCCGCATTTCGGAGCGAATATTTTATCTGGTGGATCCAAGTTATCGGAAGTCTTTTCACTTTTATATCTACACAGGGTGATACTCACCTTATATAAAGTTTTGTATTATATGGCTATAATCACACAAAATGTATTATTAAATTTATATAACGTTTTTATTTTTTTATCCCATTTAACATAGTATTTTATATACAGAGTGGAAATATTAAATTTTCTTTTTAAATAATGGATTTTATTTCAATGAGTGTATGGTTGTTATTTGAACGATTTTACAATTTTATGAAAAATCGTTTGTATTTACGAATAATTATAAAAAGATCTGTATACAGGGTGTCTGAAAAGTTCCGGAAAACCACGATACTTTGTGAACTATTAATTTTATAAAAAACCTTGCCCCGCGATTGCTAGGTGTGTTCTGCAGTTATCCATTAAAGGTCATTTGAAGGTCGAGTCGATTTTTTTTAATGGAACTCCCATTTATTTTGACCCCGTAAATGACAAGAGCGGAACATTTTACGTTGAGCATTATCAAATTTTGGCCTTAGGAGGTCAGGGTCAAACACAGGTACGGTGATAACTTGAAAACCAATAGTCGTGTAGAGCCGAGACATTATTTTCATGGTTTGTCCCCGGATATCCAATGGTGACCTTGGATCTGACCATGATGACCTTGAAAGCCAAGTCAATTTTCTAAATGTAATCCGCATCTTTGACCCCGTAAATGACAAGAGCGGAAAATTTTACGTTCAAGTATGGTCTTGGCCATTCTCAAAATTTGACCTTAGGTGATCAAGGTCAAACCCAGGTACGGTGATAACTTGAAAACCAGTAGTCGTGTAGAGAAACTGCCGAGACATTTTCGTGATTTGTCCGCGGATATCCAATGCTGACCTTGGATCTGACCATGATGACCTTGAAAGCCAAGTCAATTTTCTAAATGTAATCCGCATCTTTGACCCCGTAAATGACAAGAGCGGAAAATTTTACGTTCAAGTATGGTCTTGACCATTCTCAAATTTTGGCCTTAGGTGGTCAAGGTCAAACCCAGGTACGGTGATAACTTGAAACCCAGTAGTCGTATAGACAAACTGCCGATACTTTGCTTTCGAGATTTTTCCCCGGATATCCAATGCTGACCTTGGATCTGACCATGATGACCTTGAAAGTCAAGTAAATTTTTCAAATGTAACCCACATCTTTAACCCCGTAAATGACAAGAGCGGAAAATTTTACGTTCAAATATGGTCTTGATCATTCTCCGATTTTGACCTTAGGTGGTCAAGGTCAAACCCAGGTACGGTGATAACTTGAAAACCAGTAGTCGTATAGAGAAACTGCCGGATATTCAATGCTGACCTTGGATCTGACCATGATGACCTTGAAAGCCACATCAATTTTCTCAATGCAACCCGCATCTTTAACCCCGTAAATGACAAGAGGGGAAAATTTTACGTTCACATATGGGCTTGACAATTCTCAAATTTTGACCTTAGGTGGTCAAGGTCAAACCCAGGTACGGTGATAACTTGAAAACCAGTAGTCGTATAGAGAAACTGCCGGATATTCAATGCTGACCTTGGATCTGACCATGATGACCTTGAAAGCCAAGTCAATTTTCTAAATGCCACCCGCATCTTTAACCCCGTAAATAACAAGAGGGGAAAATTTTACATTCAAATATGGTCTTGACCATTCTCAAATTTTGACCTTAGGTGGTCAAGGTCAAACCCAGGTACGGTGATAACTTGAAAACCAGTAGTCGTATAGAGAAACTGCCGATACTTTGTTTTCGTGATTTTTCCCCGGATATCCAATGCTAACCTTGGATCCGACCATGATGACCTTGAAAGCCAAGTCAATTTTCTAAATGAAATCCGCATCTTTGACCCCGTAAATGACAAGAGCGGAATAATTTAACGTTCAAGTATGGTCTTGACCATTCTCAAATTTTGGCCTTAGGTGGTCAAGGTCAAACCCAGGTACGGTGATAATTTGAAAACCAATAGTCGTATAGAGAAACTTGCGAGACATTATATATTTTCGTGATTTGTCGCCGGATATCCAGTGGCGACTTTGGATCTGGCCTTAACCATGATGGCCTTCAAGGTCATGTGGAGGTCAAATCAATTTTTGTAGCCAGAGAACAATCGTGAAAAAACAGTGAAGTCAGTTTACACAATTTTCTGAATTATCCAGAAATTAAGCTAAATTCGTGCTTGACCTTGATGGTCAACGCGTACAAGGCCAACTTCCAAAATGGTCAAGGACATATCCGAACATAAAATGTTCCCCTTTCTTCATTGTGGCTCCAGTACGATACTTTTTGGACGCTCATTTCCCGATTCAGTGGATCGGCAGGCGAGGCGCCAACGAGTGGCCGCCGAGATCTTCGGACCTAAGTCCTTTAGATTATTGTCTTTGGCTGCATTTGAGAAGTAAGGTTTTTAGTACGAAGCCAGATTCCATTCTAGATGTTCGTTACTGGATTAGAAATAACTCGAGACATGCTTGAAAATATTAGGAATAGATTCGAACAGAATGTTTATTATTGCATGGAGGTAAATATAGGCACCACTTTCAACACTTATTACCACATTGACCTACCTCTTTATAGCAGATTAATTTTTACTTCAACTTTAATGTGCGTGCAAACGGTGAGTTGTTGTTTGTTTTTTTAATACTCGGAGACTTGTTTTTAATTTTTAAGTAGTCTTGTTACTATTGGAACTGTATTGATTGTTATTGTTACGATATAATCCCTTATTATCAGAATTTCTAGAATTTTATTATAAACTCAAATAGCTTTACAACGATTGAAGATAGATATAAAGTTGATTAAACAAAAGTTCACCCTGTATTGTACGGCTATAGATGAAAAGACGTCTCCCTAGAAATCAAACTTGACGTGTTCGAGCATTTTTCCCAAAATATACCAGGAGAGTCATCACAAACGGGGGTGCGACCTTGTCGTTGGGCCACCCTGTATATCTAAAGTGTGCCAGAAAAAATGCATTATAAATGTTTATTCTACTGCCATCGACTTTGTTTCATAAATGAAAATGTCGTTGCTCTTGCAGACAAATATCCACCGAATGAATTTTCTCTCTTCTCTTCGCCTCCAAAACCCCAGACGATATTAAAATGAACGCAACTGAATCTGAACGCGCATACGATGAACACCGCCACCACTGGTTGACGATAATCTTCCTTGTAAAATTATTGTTAAACAAGTTTATCCACGGTACCACAGTTGACGGTATGTGCGTGTGCGATTGACAGTCGGTGCACGTCTAGTGCAAGTTTCGTTTGTATGACTCGTTCGTGATGTTGAGTGCCACAACTGCCGCTTCAGATTCGAGCAAATGAGGAATGCTGGATGTAAATGCAGCCCAACTCCCTGCCGATGCTGACAAGTGTCCTGCTGACGGTAAAAATGTCCAGGCCTCCCTAGTCGGAACGAACAAAGAGGCAAGTCTCCAGCGCGATCGTTGATACGTATTTGTATTCCCTATCGGTACAGTGTCAACATCATGCATATAATTAACTTGTGTATGTCAGTTTTACATGAATGTTTATCACTCTGTTGTAAAACAAATACGATGCGCAACTATATGGGTATTCTATTAAGACTGATAAAATTAAAACATATTAGTCATACAAAGTCATAAGAAACTCGATGGAAAAACCCAATTTTCAGTGATTGATGGTTCTCTTCTTATTATTATGAAAAATGTTAAACTCCCAATGCTTTTTCTTTAAACACGGTTATTTTTGACAATTTTATTTCCCATCGACACTGAGAAAAAAATTTAATTAAACCAATTAAAATTTCAATCATTCCAATTAAAAAGTATAATTAACCATGTGACAGCTAATAAGTTTATATAAACTCCGATTTCTAAAAAACTGTTTACTTGAATCTATAAAACTAAACTGGTGGACAGTCGTTGTGCAACATGGAAAATTTTATCCCAATTCAAATCTCAATATTTTCGGAACGGAAAGAGATATCGAGTTGGGGTATGCGGGATGTTCTTGACCAACTCTTTGAAGACACATACAGGGTTCGACTGGTATATTTCTTTGCAAAGCAACTGTCCACCAATTTATACCAACAACGGCGACATACGAATGTCAGCTCCTCGCGAGAATCACAAATGAAACTGAGCAGTTCGCATACACACGATCATTTACGAATAAAGGAGCGAGTCCGCAATTCAAATAAATAGTTTAACGGTTTTCATTAAAATGTTTTATTATCTTAAATGTACATAGTACTAACTTTTATAAACTAACTAAACAGTTTAGTCAAACAGGTACATAGTTTGCTATTTTCAATCAAATTAGTTTAAAAATATTTTATAATTTAATAACTTAAAGTAATTAAAAAATTAATGAAAATTTTCCAAGAAGACAAAAACAGATACTACATTTCCTACCATAGAGCAATTTATCAAGTTATAGATATTACAGATCGCCCGAGATGGCAGTCAACCGAACATTGCCTCGTACATCGAAGATAGCAGCTCAGATGAGGACGACGATAGCACCGTGGTCGCTCCTTCATCAGGAGTCTGCCTTTATGATAATGTCAACGTGGTTAACTCTAATGATGTGCATATCGGGAATAAGACCATATACCAGGGGCCGGTGAAGATCAAGCAAATCCTTTACGCCAATAATACGGAGGCACGTATTTGTTTACAGCATGTCTTTTAATTTTCAACGTGTGTTTTGATATGTCAATTTTGTCAGCTAAGAGAAGATTCAGAAAAACCTTGGATAATATAATGAAGCTATGACATGTACCCAATTTCGAAATACTCATAAGTTTAAAAAGAATTTATTTATTAGTATATTATTGAGCTCATATCAAATATTCATTAAAACACATGGCTTCCCGATGTTCCGTGGACGTAAAAAGATCACGTATTTTTTGTCTCAAAATAAGTCGTTTTCAGGTGACCAATCCGCATGTCTTAAGTGAAGCAATATTACCGATATCCTTCAAAGATCAAATAAAATCGGAAATAGCCGTATCAAATGGATTTGCTTATTCAAATGCGCATTCAAAATCTACCGCTAATGGAGTAGATAACCCTGGATTCTTTAAGGACGGAAGTGACACGAATACCGTGAATATTGAAACGCAGAATTGTGATAAGAAAGGTAAAGGTGTAGTCCAACGAATTTTTATCACGCGAAAATATAATCAAATCCAAGCGGATAACCAAAATTTCCGTATTATGTACCGCGGTTATAATATGGTTCAAGATGACACACGGGATGGTGACGTCAGTTACTCGAATCGCTTGAACGCGTTAGTTTTAACCGCGGTTTGTTGCAAGTTGTTTATTTTAGAAAAGCGCGTATATAATTTCTGATTATTTTTATTATCACTTAATAATCGGTGCTTTTTCGTCTACAACGGGGTATGGAAAGTTGAAAAAAAGAAAACTTTCATAATATTAATGGGAGGAATGTTTTTTTTTTTCGAAAAAAATTGAACTGATGGAACCATGGCTTTGTAACTATGATAACTTTCAATTCTCTAAACTTTTCCGCATGTCAAAGAAAATATTTATTGATTTAGCAGAAATGATGCAAAAGAGATATTAACAAAACCATATTCAGGTGGACATCATCAAGTGAGTTTATACGGCCATATTTTAATATTCTTGTGGTATATGGCTATACAGGATACTTTTTTAAGTGTAGGAACTAGATTTAAAGTGTCCCCAACAACAGTGATGATTATAAATAATAAGGTGCTCTCTTATGCTAAAACTGAAGTCAGCCTGTATCAAGTTTCCCAAAAATGAAGCTGAAGTACAATAAAAATATCCAATACCCGGCAAAATTCTAACTTGTCACATGTCAAATAATAACCAGAAGTATAAAACTACTCGGGAGTTGGGTAAATACCACAATTTTGCGGTGATAACTATGACATATAACAGCTGATTCATGACGTCACGGATCTTATAACCAAATTGATAACCTTGAACGGATCGGTAAATACCAATCCAAAATGGTAAATACCATTTCCATTTGGTTATCCGCTTGAATTTGATTTTTGTGTATACGAGTACAGATAGTCGAACAGTAATACTTATCGTCTTGTCATCTGGATATAAATAGAAATATATCTTGTTTGATTTATGGTACAACCATATTCAAAACTCTGGATATTCGGCCCAAAGTGTAATACTGGTTGCCTTAACTTTTGGGAGACGCTAAAGTATTGCCCACAGAATATATTTATTATGTTCAGAACAGAGTATCCTCAGCATCGAATTTGTAATAATAATGATTTATTAGTATTGTTTGAACACATTTGTGACATCTAAGCTGTGGTTGTGATATGGATAAGTGAAAACAATGTTTTTATTTTTGATGATAATGGCTGTTTTCTAGAACAAAGTTCCGGTCAGTACGGATGGTTGTGGAAAAGACGAATCATATTAATTGTAATAGTTGCAGTTACATTAGCAATCCTGGGCACTGTTCAAGTTTATACGCATACTACAGGCCAGGATAATACTAAATCGAAATATGAGCACATAGAAGAGAATGAACACGAATCACCTATTGATTATGTTTCAGGTAAGCGGTTAAATTTAATATGAAACTATTTGTAAAGGGTGTCCCATAATTAACGCGCAAGATTTGAATTTGCCGCTATGTTTGCAGAAAACAATTTCTCAGCTGAGAGGTTAGGGTTAGTAAAAATTGTGCGCTATACGATGCAACTGTTTTCATTATTGAACAATATTTCAAAAATACGCGAGATTTTCTTCTAATCAATATAAATAAGTGCTTTGGCCGCGTCAGTCTATTCTCAGTGAATATAGGGACCTCATAATGTCGGAATTTTTATCGCATTACTGACGTTCGCCGACCAACAAAAATGACGTAATTATGACGATCGAATGTCACATCCAATTGACGTCATTATATGACGACATAGTATATCATATCGAAGACCAAATACAATGACGTATGTATGACGTCGATAGGACGTACAGTCGTTCGCAAAAACATTTGCGCTGTGTTTCCAAATGCTCCAGAAAAATTGAGGACGTGACAACGACGCCCCACAAGCAGCAAGTCCAGGAGTGGTAGAAAAGCGCCGAAACTCATATTCTACTTTGAGTTATAGCCAACTTAGAAAAACTTTGAGAAAATACTTTTTTGGGTAAAATTCTCCATGCTGCAAAGCAACTGTCCACCAGTTTATATCAAGAGCTGTATTTCCAAGTATGAATTGGATAGGTTAGCTTGTACTGTATTTCTGTTTTTGTAAGTAGGTACTCTTATATGAGAGACATACAATTTTCTGATATTTCAGACTCAAATGGCACGATAAATAGAAAAGTGCGGATCTTCAGCAGAGTGAATTGGCTTGCGCAGCCACCTCAGGGGCCCATTGATGATCTGGAAAAACTGCCCGTATCCCTAGTGATAATCCAGCACTCTGCAACGCAGAGCTGCGCCTCTCAGGGTCAATGCATTTTTCAGACAAGACACATTCAAATGTTTCACATCGAGAGCTTCGGCTGGAATGATATCGGATACAATTTCCTCGTTGGCGGCGATGGAGATGCTTACGAAGGCAGAGGATGGAAGAAAGAAGGTACCTACAAATGCTGATGGTACATCCATCACTATGTCTAGAGCCTGTGAAACGACGTTATGCATTGAAATAATTGTGGTATTTTGCATAAACGATTTTTCATTTATTTATTTAATATAATAAAGATTATATACAAAAAATATAAACAAACATAAATATATATATCACAACAATACAGGGTGTAAACGTTATGATAGTCATCATTATAGTCGAAATCACGAAAGATGACGATTACGTCATCATTTTAATATGTAGTAAAGACAAACGACAGCGATTTGTGAATATATTTAATGAAGTTTCTTATATGTTAGACAGAGACAAACAGAATTTTATTGTCTATGCAAACTGTATTGCTAATTTGCATGTATCCGACAAAGATAGACGATGTTTTCATGTTGCATGATCGATCATATTTGAAAGATGAATAATTGAATAGTTAGGTTATGTTGTTTTAGAATAATACTTTGGGGTCTTTGGTGTTCCTGTCTTAATGTATTCTACTTACATATAACTGTTTTTTTCAAAACAAAAACTCCTCACTAAAATTATTATTAAGGTATCACTCAAAACCATGAAATAAAATGAAAATAAAAATAATCAGTGAAATAACCTAACTTCGCAAAAATCATAATCAGAGATAAACCCTTCTGATCATAATATAAATTTGTTGTCATTATGTTTCTGACTAGTGATGTAAAATAATTAAGTAACGCTTACAAAATAATCGTTACAAATGAGTAACTAAATGTAACGAGTCCTACTTTTTGAAAAGACTCGTTACTTTTTATTTGAATTCGTTACTTTGAATGCGATACGGTCTTTTTCTATGTATACTTTTTAATTACTGTTAGTTACTACACTATACATTACTTTAGATACAAACGTTACTGGGATCTAATGTAGCCAGTACTGCCAGCGCCAGCAGCAAGTGACTTGGTTCTTGGATGTAAACTGGGTGGAAATGAAATGATGCGAATATCGTTACGCTTAGGCAACTTTAGATACTCTTCTATCAAACGAGTTGCGGACTGCGGAGCTTTAGGTTGGCAATGTTTGTGTACACCTGTACACTTTTCATTTGACTTTGAGAGCTAGCGGTTGGCGGGTTGTTACTGGTTTGGACGTTGCCGTACAAGCTCGAGCAATAATATAATTATTATTTGTACAAAAATATGGAATCATCCGTGTCCGGTTCAGGAGAATCGCAAACTCAAAAAAGAAGTGTTATTTGGATGCATTTCACCAATATATCGGAAGCTAATGCAAAGTATGATCTTTGTAAAAATATTTATTCGCATAAAAATGGAAACAATAGCAATTTAAGGAACCATTTGAAAACTAAACATCCGACTCTTTCATTGGAAGGAGAAAGGGCAAAACGGCGGGTGGAAGACGAAAATATGCCTAGGTGCAAAAGGAACCTAGTTTCAGGTATGTTTTATTATTATAAGTATTTTGTTGAACACAATTTACAGTGGAGTAACCAGACTGTTAAGTAGGACAGGGGAGTAACCACACTGTTAGGGCAGGGGACGCTACTCAACTAAAGTAAAGAGTGAGGAGAGTGGTTCCTCCACGGTCCCCATCTGGTTATGCCACTTGTTAAATACTATTTACAGCGTACAGCCAACGAACCAGACGTCACACAACGACGAGTTTAAAATATAAGTACATTCTACGTATCAAATATCAAAAAAATTAATAGGCAAGGCATTAGACAAAAAATAATAATTGGATCAATCCCAAAGTAATAATTTGATATAATATATAGAATGTAGGTTCTAAACGAAATGTCCAAATAGTAACTAAACTAACGAGTCCAAAGTTCGAAAGTAACGAGTCCTTACAAGTCCTAAAAAGTAACGAAACTTTGCATCACTATTTCTGACTCGTGATTTTATCATCGACATACGTCCATTGATTACTTCAGTACAATTTATGGTATGACGTAATAGTCATCTTTCGTGATTTTTACTATACAAAATAAATCTCCAATTACGTCCGCTATAAATTCTGAGGTCTGCAAACATGTTTTTCCGTTTTTAGGCGCGCACACCCTGGGATACAACCGGAACAGCATAGGCGTTTGCTTTATAGGGACATTCATCAACGAACCACCACCAGCAAATCAAATCGCGGCATTCCATCATCTGATGGAAGTTGGAGTTCAAAATGGATTCCTCACCAAGGATTACAAAGTTTTGGCGGCGAAACAGCTATCGGCGACTCTTAGTCCTGGAGAAGCATTTTATAGGGTCATTAAGACGTGGAAGCATTGGTCGCCACATCCATGAATATATTCGAACAAAAGGATAACAGGTGTTTCTTACTGTGCGATCAACGAGAGTAGCAAGTTATACTCTGAGATGAACTTAGGCCCGTATCGTCGGTCGTCCCTACAATTGTAAGGCGCCTTTATGGCCTCCTTGATTGTCATAATTTTCTACTTCTCCGTGTCAGCGCTCTATTTTGAGGTTATGTCACAAACATCTATTTGCATCGAATTGTGCTTGCTTTTGAGTTATATCATGTTTTATGAGCCTGAAATTTCCTACAATTTAAAAAGAAAACATATCTTCACAATTAGGAAAGCGGTGACGCTGACACGGGACGGGTGCAATCTAGAAATTTTTGAAGGAGAGAAAGAAGTATGACAATCAAGGAGGCCATAAACGCGCCCTACAATTGTAGGGGCGTCTGACAGAGGAAGAAACATTTTTTTTCTATAAACTACAATAGAGCTAGTTTTATATGTACATAGCTCAAATTCGTACAAAGTGTGATATAATGTATCGTTGTAATTCCTAATATTTGAATAAAATTTTTAGATTCTTGCTTATTGTACTTATTGCAATAATTCCCACAAGGATGGACCCTAGTCGCTCTATTGTGACGTTATGTCGGTTAGCTTGCTAAAATTTATTTTGGTTATAACGGGATGATATTTTCATTCACATGAAAATCCCACACCATCGAGTTAAGTTAACCAATTACGAACTTGAAAATGTTCTATTCCTCGTATAAATTATAGCAATTTTTCCATTGCGATGAAAGTTTGGCATTTCTGGAGACTACTCGACTACAAAAGAGTTCATGGAGAGTAAAAACTCTTGAGCTTAGAATATTTGTACATGCACGGTAAATAATCAATCTTACATCAAGCATTTGTTTGCCACGCCTACTTGAATAAAATGAAAAAATAGAAAAAAACACGTTTGTTTATAACTTAAAAAAAAACAAATGTAACGTGATACATCGTTGAAATCGTAGAAAAAGATCCTATTAGATACCTTTTTAAATGTTGCGCACTTCGGGCACAGTTAAAAACACCATCATGTAGTGCCATGAGTTTTTGACATTTCTTAAAATAAAGTCAGACAAAAATAAAAACAATTTGTCCAAATTTTAGTGTTCCCCAAATACCTCAGTATATGACTAATCTCTCAGTGTATGCAATGTGCGCAATTGCGATGTCAACCCTAACACACAAGTAGATGAGTATGCAAGGCTCACCTAGGTTGCTCTACATGTATCCTGTTTCCGTCAGAAGAGTTGCAAGTAGACCTAACTTCCACTTTGGAGATCCTTGACACTCACGTCACAACACCACAATCGAGAACCCTATAATAGCGAACACCACTATTAAAAAAATAGTTTAACCGAATAGAGCTCAACACGGAGCTGTGTACGCGTGGACATCCCGCTACGCCGACGGTTGCCGAGAGACTGAGTGCCTTACCTCGCTGCGCCGATACAGTACGGCCGGGTAGTACAGCTACGCCCCACTCCGCGCGTCTGCGTTTTCTTATCTGATAATATCGCGAAGCGACTCGATGTTTACGTTGACGGGGGCGGACGCGCGGAGTGGGAGCTGGAAAGGGGCGTACCGTATCGCCGCAGCGAGGTACAGCACTCACTCGCATCAGTCTCTCGGCAACCGTCGCCGCAGCGGAATGTCCACCCGTTCACAGCTGCATGCAGAGCTATATTCCGTTTAGCTACTTTTTTTTAGTAGTGGTGTCCACTATTCGGTTCTCGATTGTGTCTCGGTGGTGCTTTAATGCTGTGACGTGGGTGTGAAGTGTCTCCAAAGTGGAAATTAGGTCTACTTCCAACTCTTCTGAGTGAAACAGGATATCTGTGCAGCAAACTGGCTAAGCCTTGCATACTCATCACTTGTGTGTTAGGGTTGACATCCTATGTTTTTTTTAAATATAAATGAGAATTTTAGTAACGTTGTATAGTAGACGACAACGATATTGTATTTGTTTACATTTTAGTTTACTTCAGACGTTGACGTCTGTGGATATGTCATATATGAGAGGCGCTTGCGTGCGGTATTGCCAGATTGGGCTACATATTTAGGGAAAAATACGAAAAGTGGAAAATTTATATACATTTATATTAATTAATGAAATATAAAAACAAACAACAGTAGTAAAATTAAAAGTTATTCTTACTAAGTTTAAAACAAAAAATAACAAACAGCAGTAAAATAAAAAGCCATACTAAGCGATTAAAAAAACAGTAGTAAAACAAAAAATAATTCCATGTGATTATAAAAACAAAAAATAACAAACATTAAAATAAAAAGCAATTTGGATGGAATGAAATTGTTTTTCATTTTACTACTGTTTTTACTTTTTGTTTTGCCGCTTGCTTTATATTCAACTCTTTGTTATTTTTTGTTTCCTATAATTACATTGGCTTTTTTTTCTGTTATTTTTTGTTATCACTTAGATTTGCTTTTTATTTTACCGTTTGTTATTTTTTGTTTTTCATAATTAGATAAAATTGTTTTTTTTTTGTTTAGCTACTTTTTTATTTTTTGTTTTTTATAATTATTTGTAATTGATAATTTTTTAGCATACTGCTGTTATTTTTTGATTTATACTTATTAGGAATCGTCTTTCATTTTGCTACTGTTGTTTGTTTTCGTTTTTCATATGTATATGTATATAAATTTTCCACTATTCATATTTTTCCCTAAACACGGAGCCCGATCAGGCAACACCGCAGGCAAGCTCCTCTCAGATATGACATATGCACACGCTTCTACGTCATACGGCAGATAGATGGCGGTAGAAAGAACAGCTAAAAATAGTAAGTGTTTTGGAAAAAAAATTTCATGAAAAGCGTGCTTCATCCACACTTTTTTTGTTTCTAAATAATCCAGCAGACTACCCTCTAAAAGTTTTAAGGGAAAAAACAGTGAAATCAGAAGTTCTACAAGACGCAACAGCACCTCAATGAGTGTATAAGAAATCGTGGATCCTCAACACATTTTACTAGTAAGGGACACTGAAAGTATATGCGAAAAATTATTAAAATCGGATAAACATACGTAGGTGTTTACCTTTTGTCACTCAGTATATATAACGACCCGTTTTCCAGACAGAATATAGCTTATAGGCTTCGCCAAACATATTGAACTCTTTTTTCACCCAAATGTTACTCACCAGCACCTCCTTCGTCCACTCAACCCTTCAATTGTTATTGTAACTTGTGGCGCCACCTTACGAGATTTCTTATAACTAAGCGCGATAGCAGCGTTGCCATACGTACGACAATTATCGTTTCTGTATGATGTGTGATAGTATATGTAGGATAATAGCTGAATGTACGATAATTTTGCGAATGAGCTTTTTTTACTCACAGCTGTTGAATCAATCTAACAACTACGTTCAATTAACAGCAGCAAGCAGCTATCAATGTTGCCGCTTGGTAGGCAAGCGCGCGTACCCCACTCTGTATGATGGGTTGCCTAGCACTATGCGGACTATCTCGGCAAACATCAACGGAAAAAATTGCCGTCAATCAGTTCTCACGTTCTATGTATGACATGACGCGCATATTTTTATTCACCCATGTGCTTTAGATGAAATAAAATTTTATGACTTGAAATTTAAAAATTAAAAGATGGTTTCAATTCAATTCAATAACGATATGTCGGATTCCGAATCAAAAAAAAAGGAGCGGAATCTTTGAAGAAAGCCAAACATAGACAGCGCTTATAGGAAATAGTGGGAAACAAAAGAGCCGATAATTCCCTGCGACGAATCTGGCAACGCTGCGCGATAGTGATGAGCGATGAAAAAAGTGACCAGATTTTCCGGAAACAAACCTAAATTTAGAGTTTGCGTTGGTTCCCGAAGACCCGGTATCGAACAAATTAATTCTGTATAATCGACTTGGATCAGTATTATTTCTTTCAAGTCATTATGTATAATTATACATAACAAGTTTTTGAAGATATAAAATTGACTTAATATTCTTCCGGTTTGACCCCCCATTCAAAATTTCATTTCAGATTAATAATCTTTTATTTCGCATAATCAACTCTGCATGTTATAAAATTTTTCGAAACAAAATTCGCAATATTGAAAATGAAGGAATATTATAACAATTGCTGAGCAACTTCAATATTTGCAATGTTGTTTGTTCCGGCAAAATTAGCATGTCCAGTTGGTTTAAAAAGTACATATTTACAAACATTAACGAATTTTAAATTGTCACTTTTTTTAATCAAACACGCACGAATTCATTCTTCCATATCTAAGCTATCCAACTCTTCTTCTAAACCATCGAGATCTTCTTCTAAGAACAGATTTTCATTAATTGGTACTGGCGCAGCATTTTCCGATTTTTGTTGAGCTGAGGCGGCTGCTGTTTCACTGTCGAATCTGTCAACAGTTGCTACAGTGCCCGTGCCGTCCACCTGAAACAATATAATGTCCATAATCAGGATGCTTTAAACTAATGGAATCAGGGATATGTAACTTGATACCAATTGAAATCGAAAGGCTACCCAAAAACCGACCAAATAACATCGATACCAATTATTGCTAGTGAATCACTATTTACTGTAAAATTAAAACGTTCTACGATTAGTGATTTACCTCCTGTGCTTCTTGATTTAAGCTAGAAAAATCAATCTCCTTATAGTTGTCGGCATCTTCCTCTGCTTGAGCATAAACGGACGAGTCAAATAATTCATCTCCATCTTCCATATCGTTATCTTTAACAAGATCAGGGTTAAAGCTGAACATCTCCCTTCCGGAAAGCCCAACTTGTCTGCCAGCTTTGTAGTCGCTTCTTTTCTTGTCTTCATCTTTTTTAATCTGCAACGCAACGAATATTTCATATCGCGTAACGCATGAATAATACAAAGTTGCATCTAGATCGTGCAACGTAATAGAAATTATTCGTCACCTGATCTTTCTTCTCTTCAATTTTCCTTTTTTTCCATGCGATGAAACTCTCAAGAGTAACTTTTGTCTGATTGGGCCCCAAAGCTGCTCTTTCTTTTTCAATGAGTTCTTCCAAGGTGATCTCATTCGCTTTATCTTCTTTCTTCTTATCCTTTTTCAAGACAAAGCCCGGCGGTAAAGCATGCCTGTATATACAGTTCTCACCAGATGGACATTGCCAAAACCATCCATACTTCGATTTTTCCACTGCATCTACGAAGTGCTTGCAAATCTAGATAAAACAGAAGATGACCTGGATAAATAAATGTGATAAAATCTCACAACCTACAGTTTTTAAACGCTACAAAAACTTTTCTGAAAATGATTGGGAGCTTCTTGAAATGAAGAATGACATAATCAGAACATCCAGGAAACTCACTAACAAATCAACGTCAGGTGTTGATCTCATCCCTAGCTTTATTGCAAAGAAATGCATTCCTGTTAAGATACTTTCTACTATTTTCGATATGATACGAACATATGTGGAAAAGGTTCAAAAACATGTTTCTGCCAGATGTTGAAAAAGTTTTTGAAATTTCAAGCTGGATTCTGGAAGAAACACTCAACTGAAACGGCCACGCAAATGGCTTTAGAGGACTGGAGGAGATGTATGGACATTCGGAAACATACACTTAACAGTGTTTTTGGACTTTTGAGACTATTGACAGAGATAAATTACTTACAAAATTGCATCACTACGGATTTAAAGGATCTGTATTCAAAATTCTACAAAACGATTTAATTGACAGAAGTCAAAAAACTAAAATTGGATCTACATTATCAAGATCAAAAAATATTTCTGTTGGTATACCACAAGGTAGTAAACTAGGTGGATTACTATTTAGTTTATACATTAATGACATTTGTAATATTTTAGATTATTGTAAACTTCAGATATTTGCAGATGATACATTAATATACATATCAGATGAAAATAAAGACACTGCTTTAAAAATGCTAAATCTGACTTGAAAAAAATCGTAAAGTGGTTAAATAAACTAAAATTGAATACTTCTAAAACAAAATTTATGCTAATACGGAAATACCTAAATGAAAATACTATCACAGTTAAGATAAATGGAGAAATAATTGAAAATGATGAATCAATTAAATATTTAGGTATATATATTGATAGTAAACTAAAGTTTGAGGACCACTATGAATACATTATTTCAAAAATTGATATTATAGATTTTCATTTAAGAAATTGCAATAGTAATATAACTAGCAAATCAATATTTCAGAAAGGATTACTTGAATTTAATAAACTAAATAATGATATAAAGTCTACTTGTAATTTAAAGATATTTAAAAGAAAATTAAAGGAATATTTCATGGACAATGAAAATTCTAAGAGATGCAAATTTTGCTTTTTTCTGAATGCCTGTATGTTATGTAATTGTTTAGTTTTTTAGAATGTAATTGTAGCAGTCATGCTAAATAAATCTTAAACAAACAAACTAAAGACCATTTCTTACCCAAAAATTTGGAAAACAACCGAAATTTGACAGATTTTTAAATTTTTCATTGAAAATTATCATGCTACTTCAATTATACATGGTGGCCCAACAAAATGTCGCACCCCCATTTGTGACCCTCCTGGTATATTTTGGGAAAAATCCTCGGACGCGTCAATTTTTATTTCTAGGGAAACGTCTTTTCATCTGTAGCCATTCAATACAGGGTGATCCAAAGAAAGGTATTGCAATATACTTTAGATTTTTTAAATGGAATTTAATTCAATTTTTAGATTTTCGATCATGAAGTTTTTAGTAACTAACTAATAAAATTTATACCTATCGTCAATTGTTGTGAAGCTTTTTGACTATGAATAAAATTCTGGAATTTCAAATTGTCGAGTTTGCTTTTCCATTCTTGCCTGAAAATTTTATCTAGATCAATGTGATACTTTACTGTATATGTGATACAGACCAAAAATGAGTGACATGGTGTTTTGTGTTTCGCAGAATTTTTCATTAGAACATGTGAGCAGTAAAATATATTGTATACTCCTTTCGTTGATAGTTTTGTAGCATTTGCACTTACAATATCTGTGGTAGGCATCTTGCCCGACTTTGCTCCGTGTTTCTTCTCAACAACTTCTTTCAGCTTTTCCTCATCCCAGTTTTCCATAGTTTCTTCTTCTCCATCTCGCATATCCACATACATAGACCTCTTTTCAGCCTTCCTTTCTACTGTTAAATCATGTGAAAATTTACATTTATCGCCTTTGCCGCATTGGCCTTGTTTGAAGAATGCACATACTATGGATTTTGGATCAGCACCTGTAATGTTTACCGTGAATGAAATTAATTTACGATTTCTTTTGTTTTTATTATATAGATTTCTAGAAATTGTATTATTGTATTTTTTTTTATGTACTGAATACTGTTTTAGAACGTTGATGCAAATGCCTACTACCTATAGATTACTTGAGATAAAAAGGATATTGTTTCCTACTAGTCTATTCAACTCATCTGTAAGGCTTTGTAATCACCTTTTTCAACTTTCTGTCCCTGGACAGGTTTAAAGAGTGCAGCAAGTTCTTTTTGTTCCTTTAGCTTCTTTTCTTTTTCTAATTTTTTTAGGTCTTCCTTTTGAGGATGTTGACCACCCGATTTAACCTGCTTTTCAACTTGTTGGATGAACTTCTGTTGTTTAGCACCCTTTTTGTTTTTGAGCCCGAATGTTTTATCCTTAAAACTGATACAGTTAGAACAAAATATGTGAGAACATTTCATCTAGCTTACCTCAATAACCTTTTCCTTCTTTTTCTGTTCGGTTTTTTTGCTAGGTGCAGCTGCGGGTTTTGCTTTTGGGGGCATTCTTCAAAAGGACATTCGATATCTGGCTATTAAAATCACAACACAGCCTTTCTACTGACTTATGATGGCAAGTACAAAATCATCGAAGATCTATGCTCTATTTCTACAATATGTTTAAAGAAGATGCAGTACAAATTGCCTCGCTATCCAAATTACCACGAAAAGGAACACGAATTCGCCAATGCCAATAGATGTATGAATTATCCAAACCAATTCAAATACGTCATGTGTCAATTGTCAATTAGGGATGGATAAAAATAACCTGTTAATTGAATAACCTGTTTTCATAAATTAATTAACTGGCTATTTCATAATATACGGTTAACCGGTTAACAAATGCAACAACCGGATGAAAGTTTTTTCTTTTTCTATCTATGCAAATCTCAGCAACCTTGGGCGTAGTGAATATTACGTCTGTGTTGTTTTTGTTTTCCTTAGATAAATGCTCTGTAGTCACAAAACGTCTTTTTTATGCCAACTTTACGTTTGCTCATCTACATTTATTATTCTATAACTTAGACTGATTTATCAGGGAAGTTGTAAGTCTTAAGTTTGAACATAAGTTCAGCTCTCTTCACGTTTACACCTTGTGTTATCTAGGCGCTTGGCTAGCCACGGTGTAAACATGACCGATGACGTGGATGGTTAGTTTCCGGTCAGGCGTATAACCGGTTAAATTTGATTTGTTTAACCGGTGCCGATTAAAGTTATTGATATGGTAATCGGTTAACGTATAAAGGGTTTTTTTATTGATAATCGTCCATCTCTAGTGTCAATGACAGATTCACTTGATTTTTGAAAGATGGACAGATTAATCAAATCCAAGCGAATAACCAAAATTTCTGTGTTATGTGCCGCGGTTATAATATGGTTCAAGATGACACACGGGTTGTTGACGTCAGTTACACGAATCGCTTGAAGGCGTTGGTTTTAACCGCGGTTTTGTTGCAAGTTGTTTATTTTAGAAAAGCGCGTATATAATCTCTGATTATTTTTATTATCACTTAATAATCGGTGCTTTTTCGTCTACAACTGTATATGGAAAGTTTAAATAAGAAACCTTTCATAATATTCATGGGAGAAATGTTTTTTTCAGATTTTTTTTTGAATGATGGAACCATGGCTTTGTAGCTATGATAACTTTCAATTTTCTAAATTTTTCCGCATGTCAAAGAAAACACTTATTGATTCAGCAGAAATGATGAAAAAAGAAATTGGCAAAACCGTATACAGTTGGATATCATCTAGTGAGTTTATATAGCCATATTTTAATATTCTTATGGTATATGGCTGCACAGGATACTTTGTTAAGCATAGGAACTACATTTAAAGTGTCCCCAACAACCGTAATGAGTATAACTAATAAGGTGCTCCACTTTATGGTAAAACTGAAGTCAGCCTGCATCAATTTTCTCAAAAATGAAGCTGAAGTACAATAACAATATCCAATACCCGGCAAAATTCTAACTTGTCACATTTCAAATAATAACCAGAAATATAAAACTACTCTTGAGTTGGGTAAATACCACAATTTTGCGGTGATAACTATGACATATAACAGCTGATTCGTGACGTCACGGATCTTATAACCAAACTGATAACTACACTCGTTTGAATGGATCGGTAAATACCAACCCAAAATGGTAAATACCATTTCCATTTGGTTATCCGCTTGAATTTGATTATTGTGCATAAAGACAAGATGCAACGTTGTCAGCTCTTTGGAATGACAAGGTAAACTGCCAAAACATATGTCTATCTCGGGGTTGCGACGGAGTCGATCAGTACTTCGAAGCGGCAGTTTTGCAATCTTCATTTGCATTTGTAAGCAGTGTGGAACGAATTCGAGAAAGATTTCGCAACGGATTTACCTTTACCTGGCCAAATCTATATGGAGATTATATTTTTATCCAAATTTTATACTGTAAGATCACCGGAAATTCAAACTATACGTACCTATTTAGGATCTATTTTGCATTAAGATTTTCATTCAAATTTACTAAATATAACGTACTGCTTTATTTCAGTGAAAGAATTATATTAATGATATAGATGCTTACAAACAGCGTACATTCTGACCTAAGTTAAATAAAACTAACTGAGCGACGCTTACGATCTGACACAACTTAGTTAGAATCTTACCTCCCCCCTTCCCGCTGCTGAGACACCCGGGGATTTTCGTCTGAGATATCTTAGCTGGTGTAGGTTCTGGCCAAATTGACGTTTTTTAATGTTTGACGTTCATAATTGAGGTATATGTACCTGTCTTTAAAGTTTGTAAATAGTTTCCCATAGTCTCTATTTAAAAAAGTATATCATGAACATCACTTTATCAGAATCTGTGGATGGACGTGATCATTCATTCAAAATGACGGATAAGTCTGCAACAGTTTTATTGTTAATTATAACAGTTACAAGCCCAAACCGCAAATGAACATCTAAAACCACTATTTTTTAAAACTAAAATTTAAATCAGAAAATAAAAACTACAACCACAAACCAACAACATCTAATTCATCACAAAACATATAAATAGGTAAGTGATTATTATCTTATTCGCTCTTTGACAGTTGATAGGTAATGTATGTTCCCCTTGAGATCGTGCTTACGATCAACAACTCAATTCAGATCAGAAGTTAACTTTAACTTAGGTCAGAAAATCGCCAGTTCGTAAGCAACTATTTATGGAGCCTAGCAACCATGTTGCATCTAGAACCAATGGCGGCTTGACAGTGACGTAAGTCAACCGTGTTGCCTTATGCATAGCACGGGTCTGTCTCTTCTTCAGTGTATTTGTTTTGTGCTCCTCAGTGTTTATGTTTTGTGATTAGCATCAAAGCTTATAATAACCACCACATAACCAAACACTGTCATTTAACGTTTAGGTTGAGTTCGTTGAGGAGTGTTCAATTGTGGTGTTACTGGTGTTCAAACAGGCATTTTTGAAGAAATAAACCTTTAATACTTTTGAATCTACTATGGGTGAGTCTGCAGACGATCAAAGTGAAGATGGAGAAATTCAGCAAAGTCCCGTTGATGCAAAGAACGAAGAAGCAGAACAAATGGACTTTAGGTTTGTATTTCTAATGTCCTTTATCACCCTACTACTACCACCACGGTGCGTTAAATGCATATCTTAATTATCAACTAAGATAAAAAAATGTCTTTTTGTCGTCGTTGTGTCTATCACCCTTTATTATGTTCTAGTAGTTTGTCCGAGGACGATGGAGAAACTGTGGATGATTCGTTAGACATTAAGCCTCCACAAGCCCGAATTGCAACAGCGTCTCGTAAAAGGAAGGATCACGAGAAAAGCCACAAACGATCAGAGCGACATAGAGATGATAGGGAAAGGCATCACCGTGAGAAACACCACAGGTTTGTTCTTTTATATTTACAAGTATTAGATAGGTAGATGAATGTGCTTTTTTGTCTGAAGAATACGATCAATCAATTTCGATTTTTGTGTTGATTTCATTTATATCTTTGTGTAGCCAAAGTATTTCAAAGAAATTTATTGGTGTCCTGATTAGGTAAATTATTGATTGTATTATTGTAGGGAAAAGTCAAGCAGTTCAAGAAGAGAACGAGAACATTACCAGAGGGAGAAGGAACAGTACTATAGAGAAAGACATCTTGAACAGATGGTGGTGTATGGGGGCCAGTTCCATGAAAACAGCTACAGGGAAAGAAAAGATGGCTTGAGGTCTAAAAGAGGAGAATCATCAAGAAAGCATGATGAAGGAAAAAGAGAGAGTAAAGATGGAAAGGAACCTAGGTAAGTGTTTTACCTTTTTTCCTCATATATAATCGAAGTGAATTAGAATGACAATAATTCTCATTTTATCTTGGATTGTTGAATCAATTATGTGGACTTGATGGTACAATAATAAGAGGCAAATCATGTCTTGACGATATATTTAGTAATTTTGCTTGCCATCAAAAGTTACTGACTCTTGCATTTCTGACTACAAATCTTTAGAAATTAATTGTAAAAAATATTCTACCACAGAAAACTACAGTAAATTACCATTGACTAACTAATTTGGCAAGTGATTTTTCATGCATTAAAGACAAGACATTGAATCCCTCTGTGAAAATGGATATTTTCATGAATCACTGAGCATGAAGGGACTTTCCCAGAAAAATGTGAATCACCAGAGGGAAACTCTAACAATAATTATGATTTGTATTAGTTTACTGAGGAAGTAAGTAACTGTTTGAAGTGTTTGCATCTACTGACAACGATAAAAAACATAATCCTATGATTGTTGGTAACAGTGAAATAAAAAAATTTGAAACATCCTTAGAAATGTAAGTTATTCAGCACAGAAAAAAGCCAATGACTCTCATATTATTATTATCTCTGTTAGAGGCTACAAGCCCACTTGAAAGTTTGTGTTTGTTTGCATGAACATTTGATAACTGTTACTTACAGCAGTAGACAAAAGTATATAGACAAATTAATGTTGTGCTGTATTTCTTTTTTAACTTGTTTTATTAATACACAAACTAAATTCATTACGACTCCCTTCAATAAAAAATTAATTGAGAAAAACTGGAACTATGAAGGACAAAAATATATAGACAAAGCAAAACAATTATAGAATAAAGAAGCAAAGTTCATTGAATTATAGAAAACCAACCATGTTTGTGTTAATATTTTGTAGCATAACCATTATTATCAATCACCACCTGGCATTGTCTCGGCATAAATTGTAGAAGTTCCTTGATATAAGATTCACCAACCTGTCTCCACTTTTGCTCTAAAGTGGCAAAGAAGTTCATCTTTGTTTGAATAATGTTTATCTCATATTTGCTTATCTAAGTATTACCAAATATTTTCAATGGGGTTTATATCGGGAGACTGTGAAGGCCATTTGAGAACTGGTATTTTTTCACCCAGAAAGAATTTCTTTGCGAGATTTGAAGTGTGCTTCGGGTCATTATCTTGCTGGAAGATTGATCTTAAGGGCGTATTGTCTTCCATATAGGGTAACATGACATGCCTTAGTATGTCTGTGTATACAAACTTATCCATAATGCCATCTATTCTATGTAAAGGTCCCATCCCAAACCCCGAAAAGCAACCCCAAACCATAACAGACCAGCCTCCATGTTTGACAGTGGGCAAAGTGTACTTAGGTTCAATCTTTGTCCACTAGGAACACCATCTGATCCAAACATTGAACTTGGATTCGTCACTGAAACATACCCTCTTCCAGTCACAGATGCTCCAATCAAGATGCAACCGTGCAAATTGTAATCGGTCCTTACGGTTTTTCCTCGATATTAGCGGCTTCTTACTCAGGCGACGTGCAAATAACTTCAAATCATTTAATCTTCTACTTATAGTTTTCGTAGAAACACTGACAATTCCTTATGTCTCGATTTCGGCTTTTATTTGTCTTGGGGTTTTAAACTGATCTGTGGACGAAATTACTTTTATTAGTCATTTAGAGGCCGACCACTTCTCTTAGAGGCTTCCAAGATACCTTTTTGTATCTGTTCAATATTGCCCAAACTGCTTTACGCTTCAGCTTCAAATTTTTGGCAATGTTGTTGTTTAAAATCACTCAACTTATTCCACAATACTTGATGAACACAAACTAATCCTCTTCTGACACGAAACTGTACTAAACTAATGTTGAAAAGAATTTGTCTACATATTGTTGTCCCTCATAAAAAAGTGCTTATATTCAGACTTGTATTGTGTTCATTGCAGATGATGTAAAAACAAGGAATTTAGTTTTTTTACTAATAACGAATTTGTTTTTGGAGCAATGAAATATGAATTCGTTTTCTAAAGGTATCTAGGTTAATATTCATATTTGTCTATATACTTTTGTCCATTACTGTACGTCAGTGTACAAATCTTCAATTACAATTCGACTTTGTCATCTAGGCATGCAAGAGATTCAGATAAGCAACACAAGAGGGAACATTATGATGAGTCAAGTCGTGAAAGAGGCGACAAAGCGTTACACGACTTACGTGAAAGGCTGTTGAGCAAACGTGGCTCGAAAGGTGATGATGATGATGGATATTCAAAGCAGAGGCAGTCCAGGCGAGAAAAAAAACACAGAAGAGGTATATATTTGATATTTGTACATGTCCTGAGAGATAATATTTTAGCACATTGTATATGTCAGTAACAATTAATTAAAATAAGTCTTTTTGGAACACGGAAAGCATTGAATTTAAAATTAATTTCTTCTTGTATAAGGTGAGAGGAACCATAATGAAGACCCACTACAGGGTGAGGCTGGAATGTTGGTACAAGAGATAATCAACATTACTACAGAAGAAAAACACAAACATAAGAAAGACCGCAAAGATGATGGGAAATCTCAAGAAGAGAAAGCAGAGCAAGAGCAAAGGAGAAAAAAGTTACTAGTTGCAGGTAATTGTACATTACGTCCCTTGATAATGAAGCATGCCATTATTATTATCGTTTTATTAATGTAAATTTTTGGAGCAATTTTTTCTAATTTCTTGTCTATTAAAATTTTATCACTATGCATTTTAAATACTCACAAATTTCACCTTGAACATTTTTAAATTCGAACTCTGTTTAATATCAGTATTCAATATAATAAATGCAAAAACTCCCTTTTAACATAAAGCTTTGCTAGTTATGCTACTAAACTTAAAATTCAATCAATAATTCTGGGGGTTGAATTTTACGTCAGTATAGTTTTGGTTTAAAACAAATCGTACTACCTAGTACGGATTCGTATACTGTCGCGCCTCGCATTAAAACGAATTTTGATGATACAGACCGAGAAATGGCTCGGCTGAAAGAGCAGTCGCGCATGGAAAGGGAACGTAGACACCTGGAAAAGGCGACGAAGCGGAAATCGGACGCGAACGACGGCGCAGACGACGCCGGCGGGTATCCGCAGAAACGGGGCAGGCTCGAGGAGTCGGTGGTGATGGTTTCGGATGATGAAGACGTCGGGAATGATGGACCGGCTGAAGACGCGCCGGTGCCGGCCGATCACGACGAGAAAGGCGCCGAACGCAGTCCGGATAGCGCGGAGAGGAGCAGCGGCAGAAGCAGGTAAGAAATACAATTACAACAGGTTTTTACTTTGATAAACGTTTGGCTTAGCGATATCTAGCTTTTCAATGTGAAAATCACCGGTGGTTATGCCAGTTTTGTTGTTTTGAATATGCCCAATCCTTATTTAGCTCTCCACGTGTTAGGAATGTTAGGCACCTATCTGAATACAGGGTGTTTCAGTTTATTTTTGCATAACTTTAATATTCGATAGAACTTTTAAAATTAATGCATAAAGTCTATATAAACATGGGTCGAAAAATGCGTGGCTTCCGAAATACAGGGTGTTTAAATTTACTTTTTAAAATAGTTTTTTTTTTAAATATTTCGAACAATATTTGATGTCTAACAGTGAAAATTGGTATACAACGGTTTTTTGGTACGACAAAACGAAACATGGGCATAGTTTTACTGTAGCCGCTAGAGGGCGCTCTCTACTGTACCTGTAGTGTATTAAAATGACCGAAAAAATTTTCTTAGTGCAATTTTTTGCTTTTTGAATAAAAAAACTGAGCATTAATACTACAATGTCAATTTTGTATAATGATTCGGTTAGGTATTTTTCTTCAATCCATTTTCTGAAATTTTACATTCTTGTCTATTAAATTTTTTTTAATTTCACCTTAAGCATTTTTAAATTCGAACTCTGTTTATCAATTTCTTAAATTCAAATACTCCCTTTTGAAATATAGATTTACAATTTTGCAGATGAAAATCTATACTGCCTCTAGTTTCGTAGTTATGATAGTGACTACTTTCATGTTTTGCAAAGCTTTTTAAGTTAGTGATGCATTCAAGAATTGTGAATCATATGATGTGTAACAACTTAATTGCAGAGTCACAACATAGGTTTGTAAAGGGGAAATCCATAAACTCGGCGATCTATTCTTTCAGCCACAACATCGTAGAATGCCTTGAAAATAATATGATATCGCTGGGTCTGTTTTTTGATCTCTCCACAGCTTATGATTGTGTGTGTCTTCTATTGAATAAACTGAAGGCATACAGTATAAGAGGAAGTGCTTGCAACTTGATTAAGTCTTATCTGACAGATCGTAAACAAATAGTTTTCATTACAAAGAATGAAATTACAGCCGTTTCATCACAGTTAAGAGTAGAAAGAGGTATTCCACAAGGTAGCGTGTTACGACCTCTCCTCTTTTCGATTTTTGTGAACGATCTGTGTGCTAGTATTACAATCCCAAATAATGTATGCACGATCCAATACGCTGATGACACTAGTGTACTAGTCTCTGGCCAAGATTTCAACCATTTAGCTGACAGTACTTTGAGCCCCTGCGAGAAAGTGTTTTTGTGGTTTGCTTGTAATGGATTATCTCTGAGTACCTCAAAAACAAATGCGATTGTCCCTCTGACACTGTGAAAAATTCTTGGGAGTTCATATAGACCAAGCACTTTCCTGGGCTAAACATATAGAACATCTAGAAAAAAGGTTAAACAATTCATGTTGTAGTATTAGAGTACTAAGTATGTACCGAGACCTCAAGACTAAAAATGGTATATTGTACGTTTTGGAATAATTTTTTTGAAATTGACGATTCGCCAATAAACGACGTGTTTCGTTGTTGAAGGAGCCGTTCGATGTCCAGATCACCGGTGTCCGCGGCCGAAGACGACGGTTCCGACCGCAGTCGATATGGCAGCGACAGATCGCGAAGCAGGTCGCGTAGCAGGAGTCGCAGCAGGAGCGTCACGCGCAGCAGAAGTCCGAGTCGCAGCAGCTCGTCGCCGAGATCGGGCAGATCTGATGATGATGATGATCGCGATGACGATCATCGCGATCAGAACAGAAACAAGGAGGAAAACGATGGCGATGCCGATGATGGCAAGAAGGAGGAGAAACAGGAATCGAAAAAGAAACAGCTGGACGAGAACTTGCCACCGTATTTCCCGGCCGTACAGGTACGACTTTCTTTTTGTTACAAGGTCTGACGGTTTTTAAAAAATCACAAAATCGGTAATTTTTACTCAAAAATAAATTTATTTTCGGCCATTAAATGTTTACTATTAGTCGGATATTCTTACGTGCGGTCTCATTTTGTAGGTCATAAATACCTACCAGCTTGATTTTTTATCAAAATTTTGGTTTCAACAATGAATTCTATGATTTGAAAAGTAACACGACTTAGATTTTTTTATATTTTTCTGATAACTATCACGACTTGGCCTATCCCCCTTTTTCGGCTTGACGGCAATTTGTGGAACACCCTGTATATTCTATGATACGTAATACCACAGCCGACGTCAACTACGAGCCGTGATGAAAGAAAGGCAACACCGCGCTCGGACGGCATGGTAGTGCTACCTATGAAATAGCTCTAAAAAATTTAAAAACACGAAATAATCGTGATATATATGAGTCGCTAATGCAGTTAACCTAATTAAAAGTATTTAGTTTACGTTTTTTGGTGTCAGCACACTGTGTTCCAACAGGCCCAGCTTGGAAATGTGGAGTTACCTGTTTGTTTTTAATACATTTACTTTCAGTTTTACTGTTATTTTTCAATTTTACATAATCATTCAAAATTATGTTTGAAAAAATAGACAAAAGCTTAGATAAAATATCGGCAAAATTGCGGCCACAGATGCAAGTTAAAGAAAATTCACTGTATATAAAGTCAGACTGCTGAGCAAGGTTAACTGACACAAAATAAATTTTTGATTATTGCTTTTCAAGAAGAAAATTTCCAATCTATCTACATTAATAATAGATTCAAAAATGGCATACATATGGTAGAATATGATTGGTACATAACTGGTTGGAATTGACAGTCCTCCTCTTTGCAAATGATGAAATTAAAGATTTGTTGTTAATGAACCTTTTTCTTTAACTATTAGCGATTTGCATATCTCGCAGTTTAGGTTTTTAGAGATAGCGTGTGAAGCATATCCAGATATATAAGTCTTAGTACTATCCTCTATGTCACAATTGGCTAAGTAATTTGTCTCAAATACTTCATTGAATATATCCAAAACTTCAGGATTTTGTTTGGTATCCAAGAAATCAAAATTTTCTTGAGTTTCTAATCAGTTTTGGAACCCTGTTTTAATTTCTGCTAAAGAAAATGACGATTTCTTTTCATTGAAAATATGCTTCAGCCGTATTTTCTTTTCAGCATTAAACATTTCATCATATGACACATTGTAATTGCAGCCACATAAAAGTCTATAATTGCCAAATCGTTTTTCTAAATTATCAGTGGTGAATTTTCCAGGCAATACATACTCAATTTCAAAATGATTAAATGAATATTCAATTACATTAAGTAGAGTCAGCGTGCTTTGATATAGAGCTGTATACGTTTCTGGTGTCAGGTGTCCATTATTATTCTCTAGATTATGCCATTTTTCTAACCATATCAGGAATTTTTTTAAAAATTGTACTCTATAATCATATTTATTGGTAATAGGGTTACAAAATTCGTTTCGCTTCAATTCTCCTTTTATTACACTTGTATTACTGACAATATCCCACCAATTCCTAATTATTTCCAAAAAGTGTGCAGCATCGTTAAACTTTAATTCTTTCATAGCAGCTATTGTTGAGTGATGGAATAAATTTACATTTTGCCTTTCAAATGAATTTGGATGCAATGTTTTATAATTTAATTTATATGCTTTCTTAACTACAGCTTCTTTTTCCAATTGATTTCAAATTTAGCATACTGAATAATATCATTATTGTCAAAATTAGGATATACAAAAGTTTTGTCTAGGTTTTTTAAATTAATCCAATTATTTCTGATACTCTTGAAAATATGCACAACATCATAAGTTAAATATATTTTCTTATCAGGGTTATGTGGATTTGGAATAGAATTTTCTGATGAATCCTTTGCTAATTTCCTATACATTGCTCTATTAATTCGGTGATTATCAGTAACAACACAAATAACTTCAATTCCACATTTTTGAACTAAATTTATCTTTGATCTTATCCATATCATCGAAATTCTGGATAGCTTTTTCATGTCTCTCAATTAATTTTTGTTTTCTTTGCATTGGGTCAGTTCTTTTGGGTGCTTCAGTTTTTGAAAGATATGATGGCAAGTTTGGGAAAATGGAGGGAACAGCATTTTCTTTCAATTTTGGATATTTCAAAGGTATATTATTTTGGACTGTTCCATCCGCCAAAACTATATTTTCTGTCCAGCTGAATATTTTGAAGGTGTCCAATTTTTTCTGGGAATTGCCATAAGCCATTTGTTTTTCAGACTTTCGGTACTTGGGAAGCGAAAAGTTGAACCATAGCTTTCTGTTTTCAAAGCAGAATTATAGTTTGCATTGCATAAAGGAACACAGCAATAACGAGGCATATTGTCTGCGTCAAATACTTGATAAATGAAAAAAGAAAAATACAACCTGAATTTTCACGTTTTCGATAGTTGAAATCCTTAGCGTCCTGAGGCGCGAACAGCCACAGTCACACTTCTTAGTTTATTTTTAAAGCACAGAAGCACTACAATTGGAGTCTATTTCTCATATATTATAGTCACCGATCACTTTGAACACATACACACACTTTGAAACTTAGAAAACAAGCTTATCTCTTAATTACAGCCTCTGGGATTCCAAAATTACAAATTGAAAAGGTTATGTTTTCTCAGCGTTTTGAGCACGAGTTGCGTCGATGCAGCAAGCAGCGGCGGGAGTAACACTACCACCTACGTTGCCAGATTTCTTTGTTCACGGCTCGTAGTTGACGTCGGCTGTGGTAACACAGTACTTTTTCATAATTTTTGTTTATCCAATATCGAGATGATACGTACTGTAACGTGTTAAACGTTCTCTATTTATTTCAGGGATGCAGATCCGTAGAGGAGTTTCAGTGTTTGAACAGGATAGAAGAAGGCACTTACGGCGTCGTGTACAGAGCGCGCGACAAACGGACCGACGACATAGTCGCTTTGAAACGGCTGAAAATGGAAAAGGAGAAAGAAGGTTTCCCGATAACATCGCTGAGAGAGATCAACACGTTGCTGAAAGGACAGCACCCGAACATCGTTACGGTCAGGGAGATCGTCGTCGGCAGCAATATGGATAAAATTTTTATCGTGATGGATTACGTCGAGCACGATTTGAAATCGCTGATGGAGACGATGAGGCACAAGAAGCAAAGCTTCATTCCCGGCGAGATCAAGTGCTTGCTAAGGCAGCTGTTGACGGCTGTCGGTCATTTGCACGATAATTGGATCCTGCATAGGGATCTCAAAACGTCCAATCTGTTGCTTTCTCATAAAGGTAAGAACAATCATTACTATAATTATCCTCCCTTCGCATTCCCTTTTCGCGCTTTTCCTATACAGGGTGACTTTGAAGTTGAGTCGTTAATTTTCAGATAATGATTGTAGAAGGAAGATAAACCAAAATATGTGTGTAAAAATAAAAAAAAATTGTTTTATAAAGTATCCTCCCGACAAGTATTTCAGTGCGGACCTGTATTTGATCGGGAGGTCTTGGAGCACCGGCATGCCGTCCATATGTGAGGTCTTAAGTCACCTGATTCACGAACCCGTTGTACTACATTAACAAAGGCACGAGGGGTTGGTTGCACTCGATTGAGAAACCGATCCGCATAAACATGTGCCATTTTTTATTTCGTTTGAGCCACGCAACATACACCACTATTCACTACCGACTGACACTGACTGTATACAACTGAATGAAATAATTGTAAAAACATCGTTACAAATTCTTTCGCTTTTTTGTTTCCGATGCGATGAACCGATAAGGCGGATTATATCCGTTGTTGCCAGACACGAGCACATGATATTATTATTGAGACAGGGCGGTACTCAAACTTCCAAAGGGCTATAACTTTGTTACTTTAATTTTACCAGAAAAATGGTAACGGAAAAAAACATTTCTTTTGATCAGATCTACTCACTGTTAAAATAAATGACTCAACTTCGAAGTATACTCGTAGGGCACGACAAGTTTTATCTTAAGGTTACTGTCTTTCGTACAATGTGTGCTGTTTTTAAGTGTCACCGTTTTTTGTAAGCTTTTCAGGTTGATATACTTTTTGTTTTGGTACCAGTTACACCTATTATGATCAGTACTATTTTCGCCGTCATATTCCACATTCATCATTCTCCAGGTCTCTATATTTATTGAGTTTTTCGGCCTCTTCTCGAATGTCATTGTACTCTCAGATAGTACAGCAACGTCTATTACAGCAGACGCTCGATAATGTAAAGTAATTTAATCCAAGTGTGGTTCACATTATCGAAATGTTTACATTAGCGAACGTGATTTATATAATATTTGATTTATTAAAAGAAACGTTTAATACATACTAGTTATAACAAAATAAACAAATATTCTAACAGCGATAAGTATTTTTTTAATTAGAAGAAAGATAATTAACAATTTTTGTCTGCGTAAATTTGCGCTTAGCATTGTCTTCCAATGCCTGCGCCCGTAATTTACGAAGAACTAAAATATCCGTGTATGAAACTTCTTTTCTTTCAGCCCAATCTAAAGCTTGGTTAAAAACTTGTATAGCTTGCGCGTCAGTCACTACACTTCTGACTTCAATGGGATCGTTCTCATCATCCTCACTGTCCATATCCTCCTCCTTATCAGCATCATTCGTCTGCTTATCTTCGTTCCATAAATTAATATCAGCAGGAGTACAAACAATGTTGGGATTCACTGTTTTCAATAAATCAACAACATCCAATGACACACTAATAACATTATCATTTTTGGATCGCAAACGTTCTCTAATTACGCTTAAGGGACATCGTCTTCTTCATCATCTTCATTATTGGTACAAAAGAGATTGTTCCAACATTTTTGAATAGTTTGCTGGTTAAGTTCATTCCAGGCCATATGTAAATCTAAAACAGCTTCGGGCAGGTTGCATGTTACTTTTTTTAAGGCCTCAGATAAGTTTTCAGGATTGATTGATAAGACAGACGAAAGTAGAAACTTCCTATAGTATAGTTTGGTGAGTCTTATTATATTCTGGTCCATCGGTTGAATTAACGGTGTTACGTTGGGCGGCATGTACATGACGAAAATTGACCCATCCCTGCTCCTCAGTTGTTGCTCGGAAGGATGACTTGGTGCATTATCCAATAGTAACAACGCTTTTATTAGAAGCTTCTGTAGTTTTAGGAAACATTTTACCTACAAATTGAAAACACACCTTCAAATTATGAATAGAGCATTTGTGATAATTGATTGTCATACCTGAGGGACAAAGCATCTGTAGAACCATTTCAGGAATATACTGCTAGTCATCCAAGCGGTTTTTGAACAGTCATAATCAACAGGCATATTAACATTTTTAAATGAGCGCGGATTGTTTGCTTTCCCAATTACCAGTGGCTTTATTTTGTGTGAACCATTAGCATTAGTGCAGGCTAGAAACGTTATTCGTTGTTTCTCCGGCTTTCTTCCCGGGGCAGATTTTTCAAATGATGCAGCATAGGTTTTCTCTGGTAACATTTTCCAATAAAGGCCACTTTCATCTGCGTTGTAAATTTGTTCCATTCTTAAATCTAGCTCGGTAATTGTTTTCATCAATTTTTCTTTGAATGGTTGCACTAATTGTGGTTGTGCTGATATTTTTTCACCAGATATAGACAGCAGTCGAATTCCATATCTTGTTTTGAATCGTCGTAGCCAGCCATCACTAGCTACGAAATTTTCAGTTTCTTTCAGTTTTTCATTTAACAGTCTCGCTCTCTGTTTAAGTACTTCGCCACTAACTGGGACATGATTTTCCCGTTGTTTTAAAAACCACTTATACAGGGAATTTTCCATTTTAGGTGCCTTCGCATTTTTTAAAGTTTTTCTTTTTCCCGTACCTCCGAATGTATTGCACGTTCTTTGTAAAATTTGAGTTTTCATACGCTTAATTTTACAGATTGTTGCTTTCGATACTCCTTTTTTTTTGCTAACTGTGTCACTCCCGCACCTAGTGCAACATCGTCTATGATTTTCACTTTCTCACTCAACTTTAAACACTTTCTTTTATAGGATGTGGATGCCATAGTCGTAAAATATATTAACGCGTGCAATGTATTCACTTAAGTTCAAAAATGAAATACATACGTACGTATAAACGTATCCTAAACGATCATACGACTGACCGAGTTTGTCGTATTTTATCGCAGAGGTGAATCCCCTACACTCTACATCATAAATCGGGGACTCCCCGACGCCCGACATAAATCATCGAGGCTTCAGCATTTTACCGTCGCGCTGTTTCCGTGCGCCGAGAGTTGTTTACGTTATCGAGCGTACACATTGTTTACGTTATCGCGCGTTCCGTTTGATCCTATAGAACGAAGTTTGTGTTTACATTAGCGCAAGTTTTCATTATCCCGTGTTTACGTTATCGAGCGTCTGCTGTATTAGCATTACAACAGCAGCGGTGGCCGCAGTACTAGACTCTTCGGTCTCCTGATCAGTCGCCGTGCGCTGTGCGGGTTCGAGTCCCATCCCAGGAGAAATTTCTCTTGGCTATGGTTGTTGTGATTGTCCGTAGGTGGTAGACGGTCCCTGACTGTCGAACGCGGAGGTACCACCCGGCGGATCTCGTAGGCGGAGCCAGAAGCCTTTCCCATGTATCCCCCTATACCCCCAAGGTACCCAATGGGTGCTTAGGCTTTAGGCCTTCGTGGTAGTTGGAGTATAAAAAAACAGTACGCGGAAAAATTCGATGACACTATTATGTATCTTTTTATGATGGATAATGCACGAAACGTGCTAACCTGCCTTCTAAACTGGTGGACAGTCGTTGTGCAACATGGAAAATTTTATCCTAATTCAAATCTCGATATTTTCTGAACAGAAAGTGACATCGAGTTGCAGTATGCGGGAGGTTTTTCACCAACTCTTTGAGAATATGTATAGGGTTTGATCGGTATATTTCTTGTATTTATCCATTTATACAGGGTGGACAAAGAAAGTTAGGGTTTTTAGCAACGTTTGTCGGATTCTCAATTTTTGATCTTGGAAATTTTTCGAATTTTAAAAAAGTGTTACATTTAACCCTAAAAAGGGACTTTTCGGGGTTTCTCTTCCGGTCGAGAAAAGATGCATAGAAAAAATCCAAAATTGATAATCTGACATAGCCCCAAACTTTGCTAAAAAAACATGACTTCCTTTACTCACTCTGTATAAGTGGTTAAATAAAAGAAATATACCGGTCGTATCCTGTACGTGTTCTCAAAGAGTTGGTCAAGAATCACCCGAATACCGCAACTGTTTATCTGTTTCCGTTCCGAAAATATCGATATTTGAATTGTCCACCAGTTTAGTTGCAGGTGACTTGAATGCGGCGACCACGTGTTTTTATCTCTTTTTTTTTTGTTTGTTACAGGAATTTTGAAGGTAGGCGATTTCGGTTTGGCCAGAGAGTATGGTTCGCCGTTGAAAGCGTACACGCCGATCGTGGTGACACTCTGGTACAGAGCTCCCGAACTGTTATTGGGCGCCAAAGAGTATTCCACTCCTATCGACTTATGGTCCGTAGGGTGCATTTTCGCCGAATTGCTCCTGATGAACGCCCTTTTCCCTGGAAAATCAGAAGTCGACCAGCTCAATAGGATATTCAAGGTGAGTTTTTGCCACGACCGTACCTGAGACGCTCCGCTTGCAGATATTCATTATACTGTCAGGAGGATTTGAATTTATTCCGATAGTATTGTGACCAAATAACACTGGTCAACAAAATTTTAACTTTGTCGTGCCACACGGACTTTTTTGATATTTTTTACTTTAATTGGTGATTGTAAGAAAAAATAAATAGTTAAAAAAATTTTGCTAGACAAGGATTTTATTCTATTGTGTAATTTACAATATTAAGAAAAAACGCAGATCTCGTAAATCAAAAGTTATTTTTTTTTATAAATGACTTAATAATCTAAGATTTTCTTGAATATTTAGCTTCTGGTTGGTCCCTTTTAATTGTCCAGCAGTAATCTGCAAACATATTTGGGCTCCATTTGCCCTGGTACCGCTTTTCCATATTAGAGATGTCCTGATGGAACCTCTCACCTTGCTCGTCGCTGACAGCCCCTAAATTGTCAGGAAAAAAATCCAGGTGCGAGTCTAAAAAATGGATCTTAAGTGACATGTTGCAACCCAATGCTTGATATGACAATAATAGCTCGCTAACCAACTCTCTGTAGCTGTCACTCTTGTGGTTACCCAAAAAATTTGCAACAACATTTTTAAAAGCCTTGCAGATGTTTCTAAATCGCTTAATTTTTCTTCAAATCTTGAATCTTTTATTAACTCCCTAATTTGAGGGCCAACAAAAATACCCTATTTTATCTTTGCATCTCTTATTTTAGAGAATTTTTCTTTTAGATACAAAAATCCACTCCCATTGCGATCCATTGCCTTCACAAAATTTTTTATTAATCCTAATTTGATATGCAGTGGTGGTAGAAGCACATTATTTGGCTGTACAAGGGGTAAATACTTTACGTTTTTTGCCCAGGAACTAACGATGCACGCGTAGGCCATGTTTTTTTTATATAGTGATTAGTTCTGTCTCGGCTATCCCATTCAGATAAAAAGCACCAAAACTTTGTATAACCCAGCTGAAGTCCAAGTAATAGTGCAACAACTTTAAGATCACCGCAGATTTTGAAGGAATATGTACTGTAATTTATTTTTTCAAGTAAAAGTTTCATATTTTCATAGGTTTCTTTGAAATTTGCAGCATGGGCCAGAGGTAGAGACGGAAGCTTATTTCCATTATGCAATAACACTGCTTTTAGACTTGCTTTCGAAGAATCAATGAATAAACGTCACTGAGAGAGATCAAAATCTATGTCCAACATTTTCATAATCTCATTTATGTTATTGCAAAACACCAAATCTCCATCCTGAGAAAAATACGTTCTGAAGTGTTGATCACGGTTTCGAAAATAGCTAACTTTTGTATTATGATGTAGCAAATTCCATTCTTTTAGACGTGATCCTAATAGTTCTGACTGCATTTTTGACAAATTTAAATCCCGAACCAAATCATTTAGGTCTCCTTGAGTTATCAAATGTGGCTCGTTTACAATTCCTTTTAACTCAAAGTCATCGTCCTCGTCAACACATTCACCTGAAGTGGACGGTTGTGAATTGTTCTCAACAGACGTAGTTGCAACTGGTATTAGTTCTGGCAATTTTTTACAATGAGAGACTGGTCTTATAGCCGAAGATAAGTTAGGGTAAATAACTGTGGTTTTTTTCTTGTAATTTATACCTTTTATGTCTGTGAGACAAAAATAGCAATCTGAAACGTGATCTCGCTGTTCAGTCCATATCATGGGTACAGCAAACGGCATAAGTCGTTCACCTTTCTTCCAGTCAGTTAAATTTTTCACACACGTTATGCAACAGACATGAGGGGCCCAGGATTTGTCTTGATGGGCGACAGAAAAACCAAAACATTGGTGATATCACTCCAACACAAGATTCGTAAAGTTTCGTCGTTGTTTTTTGAATGTTAGTTCTCCGCAGACATAACAAAAAGAGTTAGGCCGTTTGCACACACACCGACAAAATCGGTGCCGGTAACGATGGCGACATCGAATGCAATGTAATAAAATGAATATTTTCACACGTAGCCCGGCCCGGTTTATTTGACGGTCCGGTCACCGATTCCGATTCATGCAGTCGGTGGTGAACTCGACAATCGGACCACGCACCGGCTTCCGATTTGCCGATTCCACTGTTCTACAATCTATACTTGTCCACACAGGCTCACGCGTTCCGGTGCCGGGGATATTTATGCATCTAAGTTCTTAGTATATCGCTAACCTCGTAGGAAGTGCATACATAGGGTCGTTTGCTGTTGGATATTCATTGTACCTTTCAACTTTTTTGTACTGACAATGAGTAGAATTTTCAAGTATGATGTTGTGACTTTAATCGAAGCAATAGAAAATAAACCTTGTTTGTGGGATAAAACTGCAGATTGCTTCAAGGATAAGATTGAAAAAGAAAAAGCGTGGAAGGACGTGTGTGCGTTTTTTGAAGAAGATTTCCTAGAAAAAGACAAAAAGGAACAACACAAAATAGGTAAGTCAATATACATATATATTGAGCAATAGCAATACACAATTAATATAGTTATTATATTTTGTCCATTTGCCACGGCAACATCCCTTCAGTAGTTACAAAATAATCTGCGAGACAATCTCTCAAATAATTTGCATTTTTTGTTGGCCTAGTACAAGGAGGTATTTGCACATTTGGTAGCTTTTGCTGGCTTACATACATTTCTAAATTGTCGGCATCCCTTATTCGCACCACATTATGTAAAACTACACATGCTTTAAGAATGTCTTTAGATAATTGTTTTGATACGTTTAATGCTCTGTGTAGAATTCTCCACTTATTGGAAAGTATACCGAAAGCACATTCAACGTACCTTCTTGCCCGAGTTAATCGGTAATTGAATATTCTTTTTTTCTCAGTAAGATTATGTCCAGCGTAAGGTCGCATTAGGTTTTCTGATAGCCCAAATGCTTCGTCCCCTACAAACACATAAGGAAAAGTATCTTTTCCAGTTGCTTCTAATGGACAGGGTGGTGGGATATGTAACTTGTTTTCCATCATTAATTTAAAAAATACTGTTTGTTGAAATACAGATGAGTCGCAGTCTTTACCATAAGCTCCTATATCTACATATATGAATTTATAATCAGAATCAACCACGGCCATAAGAATAATGGAAAAATAACCCTTGTAGTTAAGGTTCATTGAACCACTATGGGGAAATCTGTTAACTCGTATGTGTTTTCCGTCGATAGCGCCTAAGCAATTGGGGAACTGTGCGGATTTTTTGAAGTTATCTGCTATACGTTGCCATGTTTCCTCCGTAGGCTGCGGGAGAAATTCGTCTTTTAATAAGTTCCATAAAGAGTTGCATACCAAACGAACAGTTTTACTTATTGTGCTTATTCCGATTCTATAGTAGTAGTGCATATCAGTAAATGTTGCTCCAGAAGCAAGGTACCTGAAATTTAAAAAGCACTTTTATCAATATATCGCGAACTAAAAAATAAATCTAAAAATTTTAGTTTTGCATAATTTTATTGTACGCTTCTATGATTTTTAATTTTACTTATAGGTGAAGCAATTCGTGGGAAATGGCAAAATATCCGTGACTCTTTTGTGAAGTCATTGAAGAAAAAATCTGGACAAGCCACTACAAAAAAATATATGTACCATGATAACCTAACATTCTTGCTGAAAGTGGTACAATCAGACGACACGCAGTCAAGTATTGATGACACCCAGGATAACGAGCATTCACTGTTGAAAGAAACCCAAAACGAAGCCGAGAGGGAGTCTGAAGTACAAGTGCAACTCCAAAAAAATATCAACCCTATGCCTGCAGGAAACAGGAACACATCAAAAAAACCTCGCTTGCAAGAAGATGTAGATAAGAGAATTTTAACAGCCCTAGAAAAGCCACCTGACGAGGATGAGGCATTCTTTCTGTCAATTACTCCATCAGTACGAAAAATGTCAGAAGATGATAAGCTGGAATTCCGCATGAATGTACTTCAATTCATAAAAAATATTAACATGCGTAACAAAATGCAATCGCCAGCATTTGCCAGTCACACATCTACATCAACCTCTCGATCATCAACGCCATTTTCACACAATACATTTCCACTTTCCAATAATTCCAGTAATAGTCAACATGCTCATGATTTTCAACAGAGTCAACAGCAGTGTTTACCTGGTAATCTAGCCCAGCCTACCTATAATAATCCCAGTTCAACTTTATCTGAACCCACTATAACCTTTTTTCAAGACCTCTAACCTATAAACTTGTTAACAAATAAACATTAAAAACAATAAGATGTGTATTTATTTATATTTACTCACCTTATTGTTACTGCGACCATTTCCTTTGGAGGGATACATGCTCTCATTGGAGTATTTTGATGTTTGATACTGTTTAATAATCGTTCCACTATGAAATCGAAAGTATCAATACTCATTCTGAAGTAATTGAAGAATTTCGAGTTGTCTTTCCTAAGTTTCTCAAAAAGCGTGTAGAAGCTACCTTCTAAGTATCTGACAGTCAGCAGAGGATGCACCCAATGTTGTCTTACTTTTTTAGCTTGTCGATACTTCCTCCTGAGATACAATAACCCAAGGAGATAACGTTTATTAGAAGCAGAAACATACATCTTTCTTTTACCACTGCCAAACACCGAATAAAATTGACGGCACGGAAACGCCGGTATGTGTGAAATTAAATGTTTTCCGGCACAGGAAACGGTACCGGCACCGGCACCGATTTTGTCGGTGTGTGTGCAAACGGCCTTAGGATCATTATTACACTTCCTCGACATATTCACAGGGTTAATAAATCACAAAAAAGTGTTCAAATTCAACAACAAATATTTTTATAAGGATTTACTTGTAAGCGTTTCTGTTAATTTACTGCCGTAGTACTAGTTATGAGTATTACCGTATCACAACAAATATGAGGCTAATAGACATATGACAGCTGTCATGTAATAATGAGGGTAGACTGATAAAACAAAATTAGCTGTCAAAGTTCGTGTGGCAAAACCAGTGTTGACCGAAAAAATAAATTACAGTACATATTATTTCAAAATCTGCGGTGATCTTAAAGTTGTTGCGCTATTACTTGGACTTCAGCTGGGTTATACAAAGTTTTGCTGCTTTTTATGTGAATGGGATAGCCGAGACAGAACTAATCACTATATAAAAAAAACATGGCCTACGCGTGCATCGTTAGTTCCTGGGCAAAAAAACGTAAAGTATTTACCCCTTGTACAGCCAAATAATGTGCTTCTACCACCATTGCATATCAAATTAGGATTAATAAAAAAATTTGTGAAGGCAATGGATCGCAATGGGAGTGGATTTTTGTATCTAAAAGAAAAATTCCCTAAAATAAGTGATGCAAAGATAAAAGAGGGTATTTTTGTTGGCCCTCAAATTAGGAAGTTAATAAAAGATTCAAGATTTGAAGAAAAATTAAGCGATTTAGAAACATCTGCATGGAAGGCTTTTAAAAATGTTGTTGCAAATTTTTTGGGTAACCACAAGAGTGACAGCTACAGAGAGTTGGTTAGCGAGCTATTATTGTCATATCAAGCATTGGGTTGCAACATGTCACTTAAGATCCATTATTTAGACTCGCACCTAGATTTTTTTCCTGACAATTTAGGGGCTGTCAGCGACGAGCACGGTGAGAGGTTCCATCAGGACATTTCTAATATGGAAAAGCGGTACCAGGGCAAATGGAGCCCAAATATGTTAGCAGATTACTGCTGGACAATTAAAAGGGACCAACCAGAAGCTAAATATTGAAGAAAATCTTAGATTATTAAGTCATTTATAAAAAAAATAACTTTTGATTTACGAGATCTGTGTTTTTTCTTAATATTTTAAATTACTCAATAGAATAAAATCCTTGTCTAGCAAATTTTTTTTAACTGTTTATTTTTTCTTACAATCACCAATTAAAGTAAAAAATTACAAAATTTATTGACAATAAAAACAGGAAAATTGTTTAGCGTCGTTTTCTGGTACCCTAGGAGACCATAATTACTTGTTATCAAAGGTAATTTTCCCATTTAGAAACCATTTGTAATTTAATTAAGACGAGCGAAATAGTCGTTCATATCGTTGCATCTGATGACATTACATAAAGCCCGCTTAGTTCTTGACTTGTCCGATTTGTAAATTTGTATTAAGTTTATTTGGCCAGAATGATCAGACACGTTAGTTTCTGTTATATCGCCACTACAATCTTCAAAGTTTGTAAAATGTTATCTGTACCAGATCGACGAACAATTTCACAATACATTTTCGTACCTACTATTCGTGCGACAATAATTTGTGTTTGTTGAAGGATTTGGGCACTCCCTGCGAAAAAGTATGGCCTGGCTTCAATCAGCTGCCCGCAGTGAAGAAGATGAAGTTCAACGAGTATCCCGTGTCGAATTTACGAGGCAAATTCGGTCAGCTCAGCGAAATGGGCCTCGGTCTGCTGATCAAATTCCTTACGTTCGATCCGGAACAGAGAATCACCGCCGAAGATGCGCTTAAACATGCGTACTTCACCGAACCACCACTGCCTATAGGTATTTACATACATACACTCTTACTGATACGAAACGCCGTTAAATATTATTATCGATAACAATATACAGGGTGGCCCAACGAAACGTAAACGAAATGTATGTCGCAGCGTTTAATCAACAATGCAAATCTGTTATTTAGTACTCGTTTCTCTATGTACATGATGGTGTAAATAGACAATTGTTGATATTGGGGTGACTTGAATCCACATTTGTTTCGAGAGGCACACTTGCAAAATCCTGAAAATAATCGGAGATTTATTTTTGATTTTAAAGTCTTGTTAGCATGAGAACTACATATATTGATTATTTATTTTACGCTATAATTATTATCACAATTTCTAGAATTTTATTATAAATTCAAACAGCTTCATAAAGATTGAAGACAGGTATAAACTGTAGTATACAAAAGTTACTAAAAACTGCTTGGAAAATCTAAAAATTGAAAAAATGGAGTTTCCATTTAAAAGTTTAATGCAATATCTTATTTTTGGATCGCCCTGTATTGTACGGCTATAGATGAAAAGACGCCCCCCTAGAAATCAAAATTGACTTGTCTGGGCGTTTTTCCCAAAATATTCGAGGCGAGTCACAAATAGGGGTGCCACCCTGTATATTTTCAACACATAGTTACGATTTTAGTAGCACTTAATCTTTGTTATCATATTTTATGTTCACGATGACACTGAAATTTTAGAAGCATTCAATACTTTATCACTTATACAGTAACAAACATTTTTATAGTTTATAATGGGTGATTTTTTTGCTATCTTTTTGTCAACACTGTTTTTGACAGATGACGCGTGAATCGTGTCTTGTGTCATTGTCAAACTTGTTCAGTTTGGTCTATAATTTAACCATGAATCGACTTACGAACGAACAACGCTTGCAAATTATTGAATTTTACTATCAAAAGTCATGCTCGGTTAAGTGCATCGAGCACTGCTTCAAAATTTATGGGCAATTTGGGCGGCCTACTGAGGGAGCTATTCGGAAGCTTGTGACTAAATTTCGAACCCAGTTTACATTATTGGACATTAAACCACCAACACGCAAACGTAGAGTGAGGACAAGAAAATATTGCGGCTGTATCCGCCAGTGTTAGTAATAACCGGGAAATGTCGATTCGCCGCCGTTCGCAGCAATTGGGCATCTGTTACTCCGCTACGTGGAAAATTTTGCGACAGGATTTGGGTGTAAAACCTTATAAGATACAGCTGGTGCAAGAATTGAAGCCACACGACCTCCCACAATGTTTCCCGTTTGGTGAATGGGCGCTGGCAAAGTTGGAGGAAGATCCACATTTTTATTGAAAAATTGTGTTCAGCGACGAAACTCATTTCCGGTTGAATGGGTACGTTAACAAGCAAAATTGCCGGATCTGGAGTGAAGACCAGCCAGAAGCATTGCAAGAGCTACCAATGCACCCCGAAAAAATCACTGTTTGGTGTGGATTATGGGCCGGTGGCATCAATGGCCGGAACGTAACTGTGAATGGCGAGCGCTACCGTGCGATGATAACAAACTTTTTTTTGCCCAAAATGGAAGAGCTGGACTTGGCTGACATGTGGTTTCAACAAGACGGTGCCACATGCCACACCGCACCGCCGATATGTTGGAGAGACTGTGCCAAAATTGGACCTTGCGCATGGGTCATCTAAAGCGGAGCCGCGGCCAACATTTACATGAAATAATCTTTAAACATTAAATTATATCGACCGTTCTATCGACTCGAATAAAGATTTAATCGTTTTATCAAATTTTTTGTGTTTTTTTTTTTGAAAATCAAATCCTATATACCTCTTAAAAAATCACCCGTTATTATTGTACGAGAGGGTAGGCAAAAAAACCGGAATTATTTTTTAGAAGCTATTTATTTTCAACTTTTTCACAAAGTAACTTATATACTTCTTTGATCAATTTTGAACTTGACCAATCATAATCAAAAGAGGTGATTTTCTATTTTTTTTTCTAATTATAGATCCTGCAATGTTCCCAACGTGGCCAGCGAAGAGCGAGTTGGGCCATAAAAGAGCGCTGGCAGCGAGTCCTAAGCCTCCTTCCGGTGGTGGAGAGTACAAAAAATTGGTACGTATTTTTTTCAAGTCCTATTTAGTAAAATGTATGAGGCATCGTTTATTTTATATCGTATTTCTACAGACAAGTTTTCTCCTCAGAGTTATGTGTGGACGGGTGTGTGTGTAATTTGAATAAAAATTGTTATTTATGCGTTGATTCACTGGAACCATTCTTGTTTTTTCAGGGAGGAGATGGTGACGATGACGGTTACGGTTTTAGGTTCGGAATGGGCATCGATACGAGAAGAGGCGGACCAGGCTTTAACCTTAAATTTTAAAAATCGGTACATAAAAAAAATTAGCTGTTAAGTAATGTAAATATTGTACACTTAATAAAATATCTAGTTGAATTTTACAATTTGTTTTGTGTCCATCTCCTACGCATGAGTTTTCGATAACCTCATAAAACCTAATAACACAGCAAAAAAGCATAATATCTAGTTTCGGAGTTTTTGGTGATTTTTACACTTCACCTATTAAGATTAGTCGTTGAAGCGGTCGACTTACTGAAATTCAGAAATGGCAACGTCGCAAATTGTTCGTCTGTTTGTGCCCGCCCTGTGATGTAGCTATACTACCACTATTTAAAACTGTAATGACTCATACGCGTGATCAACACGTGATCAGAGCTCGATCCCGGCTTCCTTCCAGTACAGCCGGATAGCGTACGACATATGTCGTTTCTGTGGCTTTGCGGTGGTCAACAGCACAGACACAGATGGAAATAATGGCTGATTGTTCTCCGCCGGTAGAACCAATGAAATCAAAGACGCGCCTCGACCGGCAGACTCATAGGCGTCGGCAACGCATTGGAACGTGTTTCGTTGAGCGATCGCATATTGTGTGTTTTTATAAGAATTGTTGTGTGATTGTTATTGTTGTGGTTTCTGTGGTTACTGTTTTGGTTATACTTAACCATGGAGAGTAAAAATGGCACGAGTGGAAGTACTGAAAGCCAGGGAACAAGTAGACGGCTTCGTAAAGCACTGAAGAGGGACGCGAAAGAAATCGTGCTCAACGTGTTCAATTATCTGAACAGAACTATGTCGCAGGGAGATGCACTCGCAAGTTGTGAAAGTATGACAGGCGTTCCAGAGTGGACCATTCGCAGGGTGGTGCATGAAAAGAAGAAAACTGGAGCTACTACTGATCCAAAGTTTAATTTGAAGGGACGAAAGGCCGTTAAATTGGATGACGATAGCAAAATGGCGTTAAGGCGAACCGTACATTCATTCTTCTTTAGGAATGAGATACCAACCCTCAAGGCTGTACATGCAGCGATCGAGGAAAATGAAATTATACCCCAAATGAGCGTCGAGGTAATGAGGAAATCCCTGCACGAAATTAATTTTCGTTACGAAACGCGTAATAGAAATCCATCTAGCTGAGAATCCAGCCAGCAACCCTCGATCAGATTTCGGCAAATCTAGATGCCATGGACCATATTTCTCTTATAAAGTTGAGGAGGTGATTCTTTGAGTAATTTTAAGATGAAAAGTTCCTATAAACATAGGGCCAGAAGTGCTTCATTTTCAGGAAACTTTTTTTTAAATCTGTTTTTCCTGAATATCTTGTATTTGTCCAAATTTAGCAGTGAGGGGCTCATTTAGCCCCGATTAGATTCAAATTATAAATTCGCATTAAGCAGCTGAAAATACAACTGTTTTGTCTCCGAGTTTCTTTCATATCTCGCTTCGTTTGCGAGATAAAAAATAAAAAGCACTTTATTGGACGTTTTTGATAATTAAGTTACGTGAAAGTCGTCTTTTGAAATTTTTTGCTCAGATTCTACCTGATTTCGATAAAACAAATAAACATAAAATATTTACTTACCGATATTTATTGTTGCAATTTGGAGTTGCACATTGGTAACGCTGGAAATTAACATTATGTAGGGCAGTGTCGGACTATCGAATTTGTCGGATTATAGAGCACTGCCTAAGACCTCCTAGTCCGGAATTTTTTACAAAAGAGTACCTTGTAATCCGACAAATTACATGTCCAATGGTAAGGTTATATACAGGGTGACTTCGAAGTTGAGTCATTTATTTTAACAGTGAGTAGATCTGATCAAAAGAAATGTTTTTTTCCTTTACCATTTTTCTGGTAAAATTAAAGTAACAAAGTTATAGCCCTTTGGAAGTTTGAGTACCGCCCTGTCTCAATAATAATATCATGTGCTCGTGTTTGGCAACAACGGATATAATCCGCCTTATCGGTTCATCGCATCGGAAACAAAAAAGCGAAAGAATTTGGAACGATGTTTTTACAATTATTTTATTCAGTTGTATACATACAGTCAGTGTCAGTCGGTAACGCGTGTGAATAGTGATGTCTGTTGCGTGGCTCAAACGAAATAAAAAATGGCACATGTTTATGCGGATCGGTTTCCCAATCGAGTGCAACCAACCCCTCGTGCCTTTGTTAATGTAGTACAACGGGCTCGTGAATCAGGTGACTTAAGACCTCACAGGGGGCCTCACGATCAAATACAGGTCCGCGCTGAAATACTTGTCGAGGAGGATACTTTATAAAACAAGGTAAAATTTTTTTTTTATTTTTACACATATTTTGGTTTATCTTCCTTCTACAATCATTATCTGAAAATTAATGACTCAACTTCAAAGTCACCCTGTATAATTGACCATATCCAAATAGCTCAGTGGAAAGAACTAAATATGTTCAGTCCTTGACACATTCAGACTTCTCAAGGTATTTATGGAAACTTTTGTTAAAATCAGTCACCAATGCAATAGGAAGGTTCGACATTTCTTGTATTTCTCTTATTTTAATTCAAATCGAGGGATTTTGTTACTAACGAACGGTCAAAGAAATTTGAGTGCAAGATATAAGATATTTACGTCGACGAAAAGAATTGATTTTACATCGCGTAGAGCTGCGTCAAACCATTTTTTATGTTGTGCGGCAGCTTTTGGAACACTCACAAAATTTTTTTGCAGGGGGCCAGCTAGCGAGGTGTGTCTGGCTACTGACGTCACGCTGTCTAGACTCGCGCACACGTACGTTTTCCATCCTCGCGCCGATCCTTGATTTTGAAATGCTTTTAGTCAATGTAAATATCAATATTTTTTGCTCATTTTTTAATAACAAAATTTCTCGATATGAGTAAAAATCAAAAATTGGAGAGCCTTCCTATTATGGTCACAGTTTCCTAATCTCTTTTATTTGTGCTAATATATGTGGCTGGGTGGATTATTTTTATAATTTTAGTCCAATTTGTTTTTGAAACCTGGACCTGACAAATAGTGCATCATCTTAAATCCGTCTATGAGCTCTAAACTTGCCAAATAATGAAACAGCATAACATCACTCTTTTGATGATACGAAAATTGCCATGAATGAAAACTATTTAAAACTATACTAATACACTTTGTAGATGGATAAATATGCTTTATTATCTCGAGAACAGCATCAACAATCAACCAAATTAACTTTATATAATATGTGTATATCCTAAAAGTAAATGTACATTGTATAATGTACTTGATACAACTTAACCACTTCGCCTCTGAAACCAATGTTGTAACCACTGACATATCTTGCCGATATTATCCTCTAAATCCTGAGGCACAGTATTAGATAGTTCAAACACGATATCTTCTTTATATGAACGTTTAGCTTCTTCCAAGATAACATTAAATATTTCACACTGCACATTGTCGTCCAACTTTTTACCAGTATAACCCCTGTTGGTCAGCCTGTCGTACAACGTAGTGTTGTCCGTAGTCAAGACAAACACAGCATCGAACCATCTTTCTGGGAAAAATTCGCAACTATGATAGTCCACTATGTTTCCGCCTGTGCACATGGTTTCTTCCAAGCCGTCCATCAGTTTATCCTCGTCCAAAATTGGACACTGGTACACCGGGTCGTACTCCTCCAGACAGTTGTGTTCTTTCGCTATTCGAGACACTTCTAACCATTGCATTCCTACTATTTCGGATAAACGTTGACACAACGAGGATTTACCCACTCCTGGGGTTCCTGTAATTAGTATATTAGGAGCTTCTCTATGTATATTTTGTACATTTGTGTCCATTCTTGCAATTCCCTTCGTTTATCAAATCGAAATCATAACCTCAAATATCCAGCAAATATCGAATCGAAGGCACATCAATGAACTGTCAACACTGAGTATTGACAGTTCATTGAGGCACATGCAACCACAAAATTATAATCAAATTCAAGCGGATAACCAAATGGAAATGGTATTTACCATTTTGAGTTGGTATTTACCAATCCGTTCAAGCGAGTGTAGGTATCAGTTTGGTTATAAGATCCGTGACGTCACGAATCAGCTGTTATATGTCATAGTTATCACCGCAAAATTGTGGTATTTACCCAACTCAAGAGTAGTTTTATATTTCTGGTTATTATTTGAAATGTGACAAGTTAGAATTTTGCCGGGTATTGGATATTGTTATTGTACTTCAGCTTCATTTTTGAGAAAAATGATACAGGCTGACTTCAGTTTTACCATAAAGTGGAGCACCTTATTAGTTATACTCATTACGGTTGTTGGGGACACTTTAAATGTAGTTCCTATGCTTAACAAAGTATCCTGTGTAGCCATATACCACAAGAATATTAAAATATGGCCATATAAACTCACTAGATGATATCCACCTGTATACGGTTTTGCTAATTTCTTTTTTCATCATTTCTGCTGAATCAATGAATGTTTTCTTTGACATGCGGAAAAATTTAGAGAATTTAAAGTTATCATAGCTACAAAGCCATGGTTCCATCATTAAAAAAAATCTGAAAAAAACATTTCTCCCATGAATATTATGAAAGGTTTCTTATTTAAACTTTCCATATACAGTTGTAGACGAAAAAGCACCGATTATTAAGTGATAATAAAAATAATCAGAGATTATATACGCGCTTTTCTAAAATAAACAACTTGCAACAAAACCGCGGTTAAAACCAACGCGTTCAAACGATTCGTGTAACTGACGTCATCAACCCGTGTGTCATCTTGAACCATATTATAACCGCGGCATATAACACAGAAATTTTGGTTATTCGCTTGGATTTGATTTGCATGTCCCATGAGAGACGCTGTCATTAGTTCAGTTCGGCACAAGTCAAAATAGGACTGTACAACATTATAGCTTTTGACTTGTAGGAATTTTCACACAAGATTACCACTATGCCACTAGTGGCGGAGAAAAAGATCAAAAACGAAAAAATAAAAACCGTCAAACTTCTTTTTTTTGACGTTTCAGAAGCTCCTGGCCATTTTCAGATAAAAAATTGTATGAGCTGAAAATCGGGGTTCAGGGTTTGTAGGCGATTTCGGTATTGCCTTTACTGCGTATTCAAAAGCAGCAAATGTAAAAGAAATCCGACTTATGAGTCCGGCGATAAAAGTGAAACGCTCGTCGATTCTGGCAACTTTTCTCATTTCCCATGCCGCCTGGGGACACGAGATCTTTGGTCATTTCGGTAGTGTTAGTAAAGAGTTATTGAAATTGCCGACATTACACTAATAATGGGAATTAGAGCTACTGGGTGCATTTCCGTGCACAATTTCTACCCTAGAAATATTGTTTACCAATGCTAATAGTCTTATTAATTATATAGTTTTGCTATTGTTTTCGTACTTCTTCGTGTTTTGTATGGATTTATAACTAACTCGTTGGAGTTAAATCTTTCTGGATTGAATTTTAATGCCAAAGGGTCAAAAAAAAACAAAACAAAATATCGCTGTATCTAATATCTACCTGGCATCGACGGATCCGTCAGAATTATGTGACCTTTGCCGAGATGGGGAATTTTGAAATATTACTAGATTAATCAGTTGCCATTCTACCGTAATGGATACTCGTGAAAAAGACTATACAGGATGTTTTCAAAGTCGAGTCATTTATTTTAATAGCTTGTAGAACTCATCAAAAGTTGTTAATATACCAAAAGTCACCTATATAAAAGTTGCATAATCATTTGAATATTGAAAATAATTAAAAAAATCATTATCAAGTTAAATGGATACCGTTTTTACAAAAACTGTTCAAAATTTACAAAGATTTTACACGGAAGTGGTCGAGAATATTAAAAAATCTGAGTAACCATATACTTAAATTTTTAATGTTTTACTATTTCTTGTATTATGCAATTTTTATATATGCGATTTTTAATATCATCGCCTTTTGACGAGCCCTACAAGCAGTTAAAATAAAAGACTCAACTTTGAAAACACCCTGTATACAGGGTGACTTCGAAGTTGAGTCATTTATTTTAACAGTGAGTAGATCTGATCAAAAGAAAAGTTTTTTCCTTTACCATTTTTCTGGTAAAATTAAAGTAACAGAGTTAGCCCTTTGGAAGTTTGAGTACCGCCCTGTCTCAATAATAATATTATGTGCTCGTGTTTGGCAACAACGGATATAATCCGCCTTATCGGTTCATCGCATCGGAAACGAAAAAGCGAAAGAATTTGGAACGATGTTTTTACAATTATTTTATTCAGTTGTATACAGTCAGTGTCAGTCGGTAACGCGTGAGTGAATAGTGGTGTCTGTTGCGTGGCTCAAACGAAATAAAAAATGGCACATGTTTATGCGGATCGGTTTCCCAATCGAGTGCAACCAACCCCTCGTGCCTTTGTTAATGTAGTACAAAGGGCTCGTGAATCAGGTGGCTTAAGACCTCGCAGGGGAGGGTATGCCGGTGCTCCAAGACCGCACGATCAAATACAGGTCCGCACTGAAATACTTGTCGGGAGGATACTTTATAAAACAAGGTAAATTTTTATTTTATTTTTACACACATATTTTGGTTTATCTTCCTTCTACAATCATTATCTGAAAATTAATGACTCAACTTCAAAGTCACCCTGTATATTTTGTGGTTGGACCCCTTGAATCTGGCAACCCTGTGCGAGCTCCCCCCATCGTTTGACACTTTGTTGAGGTTATTTAATTTGTGGTTATTTTGTTGTTTTCATTATAAAGAACGAAAGAACTTGTAGTGTATTGTATCATTTGTATGTTTTGTGGTAGAAACTGGACATCCTATTTTATTTGGATGACTATTATTTAAAAATGACAAAGTTATTCAATACAGTGCGTGTATTACAAAGTAGCCGCTTACAATTATTACTACGATGCTACAGTCAAACTGTATCAAATTTCGAAGAATATTATCAGCACCACCACATACCGACAAACTCTTTTCAAAAGATACTTTTAACTGCCGGGTCTGCTGCTGTTAGCCTACTAAATCCCTTTAGAGCAGACATGATAGCCTGTTTAGGGGAGACTAGCGGAGTAACTGCATCCAGGTACATTTTAGAGAAAATGAAAGAATCCGAAGAAGGATCCAGGATATTGGCTGATCAGCCAAGGATCAACACTAACACCATAGACCTGAGTTATCTTCGAAATTTACCTGAAGGTACTGCAATTTATCGATAATAGGATAGGATTTATAACTTACACGGATATAACTAATTTTAGGTACATTAGGAAAGACGTATTTCAATTTCCTGGTGACAAATAAAGTAACACCTGACTCTAGAGATCCAGTTAGGTTTGTTGATGATATTGAGTTAGCATACGTTCTGCAGAGATATAGGGAAGCTCACGATTTAATACATACTGTGCTCCAAATGCCAACAAATATGCTGGGAGAGGTGACTATTATGTATAAAAATATATTAGAAATATTTCAACAGATTTTGTAAAAACTGCTTCTAAACACTACTTTTTGGCAAAAGAATGTTGATATATTCTTCAAACCCGTATTCTGTATTGCACCTTATCAATCCATGAGTAATGATAGAAATATTAATGTTTTGCGATAATGAAATATTTAAAATTATCTGTTGACAGGTAACAGTAAAATGGGTAGAAGCGCTACAGTTCAAGTTACCAATGTGCGTAGCCGGTGGAATTTTTGGTGCTATTAGACTGAAGCCTAAGCAACGTCAAAATTATGTCAAATATTACCTACCATGGGCTATTGATACTGGACAAAATGCTAAATTCCTAATGAATGTTTATTATGAGGAAAGATGGGAGCAATCACTTGATGAATTTCATAATGAGTACAATATAAAGCCGTTAATCATTGAAAAAAAATACGAGTAATTGAGGTATCATTCTGTAGTGAGGTTAAAAGCAATCTGTGATGTTAAATAAAATGCCAAAGTGAACTATGAGTAGAAATATCACTTTTTGCTCTGAGAGCATGGCAAAAACAGTAATAATAGGAACTCCCAGAAGCATTACAGATGCATATTTGATGATTATAACCAAACCCAAAAATATATGTCTACATTTCTGTTGTTTAATTTGATCAATTATTTCTTCCCTTCAGTTTCAAGTGTAAAATAAAAAGTATGTCATGTTGAAGTGTCTTTGTTTGGCAGCTTTCTCTCTAAGGGAGTTCAACAGGTGCAGTTAGGCAGTGCCAGGTCTCACTATCTCAGGGTGGTCATTGTTTTCAGTATTCTTTAATATTTTGATAAATGAGATTTCAGTTTATGTTGAAAACAGTGAATTTGTTGTTAGCGGATTTAATTTAAAATTTTATTGGAAGGTTGGTGTGAGCAGGATTTGATTTTTTTGCAAAGTGTCTTGAATAGGCTGGGAGATTATTGTGTTAATAATGATTTATCATTAAATATTGGTAAATGTAACCACATTAGTTTATATAAAATACATAAAATGATGGACTCCTGTTACACTATACAAAAGACCAATCTTGAATATTTCAAGGTCATAAAAGGTCTTGGTATACTTTTCAAAGTTGATTCATTTTTTTAACTGCTTGCAGGACTCGTCAAACGGAGATGATATACAAAAAATCGCCTATTTAAAAGTTGTATCATAAAATAAATAGGAAACGATAAAAAATTTTGAAATATATTTTTTTCCCCGAGATTAAATGGTCAAGAGTATCGTCTTTGGAATTTATTTTACCTGAACTACTAGCAAATGTCCCCCTGTAATTAAGAGGAGCAACATGGTTTATGCACGATGGAGCTCCACCTCACTTGAATAGCTCGCCAATTTTTGGAGAAATCGCCAGATCACCGGATCTAAATCCGTTAGATTTTTTCCTTTGAGGCCCTCGTGTTAATCATCAAAAACATGCAATAAACTGCTTTTTATTTTTATCTCGCAAACGAAGCGATATGTGAAAGAAACTGAGGAGACAAAAAAGTTGTAATTTCAACTGCTGAATTCGAAAAAATAGAAAAATCTCAGTGGCGCACAAATTTTTTTTCGAACATATCGGTTGGGGTGTTTTTCGGGACTCCGTTTCAATCTAATTTGTACTAAATTAGCCTCTTACTGCTCTTAATACTACTGCTAAACGTGAACAAAATCGACTGAAAGTTTATTTAAGATATTCAGAAAAAACAAATTTTTAAAAAAGTTTGAAATGAAGCATTTCTAGACACATTTTTTTTTAATCTTAAAATTACTGAAAGAATCACCTCCCGAACTTTGGTCGCGTACTTAAATAACACCCTGTATTTTATATATACTAAGTGACATATAAATCCGAACACCCAGTTTAAATGGTTTTATTTTAATAAAATTTTGTATAAGTACTTAATGAAGCATAATAAGTAAATGATAAAAATTTCAAAATGATTGCACTGCTTTAAAGCCCTTTGACCTTTAATAATGTGTGGATGCACCCTGATGTGCTACGCATTCTCCAACGCGCCTAGGCATGCTTCTGATCAGGTGGTCGATGTCCTCCTGTGGTATCTCATTCCAGGCAACCACCAACTCCTCTCGAAGTGCTTCTAGAGTTTGAGGAGGACGTTGCAAATTGTGCAATCTCCTACCCATCATATCCCACACGTGCTCAATTGGGGATAAGTCGGGAGATCTTGGTGGCCATGGTAACAATGTGACATCATTATGTTGAAAGAAGTCTATTGTGACTCTTGCAACATGTGGTCGGGCATTATCTTGTTGGAAAGTTGGATCTGCCAGGGTGTCAAGATAGGGTAAAAGATGGGGTTCTAGAACTTCGTGGATATAACGCTGCGCGTTCATGTTACCTCTGATGAAGATTAAAGGTGACCTGGAACCATAAGCTATAGCACCCCAAACCATAACTCCAACAGTGTGATGAACATGTCTTTCAACAAAAAACTGTGGATTCCTCCTTTCACCACGTCGCCTTCTAACCCTTGCACGACCATCGTGCATGCCTAAACAAAATCGAGACTCGTCACTAAAGACAATACTGTTCCATTCCTGATCCCAGAGTGACCGTTGTCTGCACCACTCAAGGCGATTACGTCGGTGTTCTCGAGTTAAAGGGAGGACCCAGTGTGGCCGGTATGAAAACAAGCCAAAACTTCTCATTCGTCGGTAAACACTTCGCATGCCAATAGGTCTTCCGTGTTCTGTGCAAACCATTAATTTGCAAAGGACCTGGTAGTGGAGAAACGGTCCCTTAAAGCCAATAATCTTAGGCGGCGATCTTCACGGTCTGTTGTTCTACGGCGGCGTCCAGTGCTCCTTGCTCTTTGCGTACGGCCTTCTCGAAGCCATGCCTGACGACACCTAACCACAGTGTCTACACTTCTTTGCAGTCTAACTGCAATTGCCCGAAAAGAAAGTCCAGCTTCCCGAAGTCCCACTATACGGCCCCTGTCAAACTCACTAACTTGACGAAATCGTACAGGTCTCCGTACTCTAGGCATCGTAACCGATCGTAAAGGATGTCAAGAACCAAAATCCGCCAACGTTGATTCTTTACTGCGGCTGAAATATTCATTTTTAGAGCGTTAGTGAATTAAAAAAAGCAGTATAAAAACCGGAATGTCCAACTGATAAGGCTGAAAAATTTTTCACTTGTTATTTACAGTATGATAAATACATGCACCAACTTTTATTAAAATAAAACCATTGAAACTGGGTGTTCGGATTTATATGTCACTTAGTATACTTTGTAATGCGCGTATAAATAAAATAAAAATAACTGTACAGATGTTCATTTTGAAAGTATTTTATTGCAGTATTGTTACAAATGGCATCGGCCAAATACTATATATTTCGTATCCTATAATTGCACAAGCTTTGCTAGCAGCAAAAACGAGTATAAAATTGTCATGATATTCAGTCACTTTTTGACATATTTCTTCAATATTAATCCTGGCATGACAGTCGATAAATCCCAGGAGGATTAAAATATTACAATAATAATAATAGTGCATTAGATACCTAGTTTGAGAATTGAGTCATAATCATTATATTATTTTTGAGTAGCATATGAAAGAACTGTTTCAGTCGGATAAGTAATCTCATTCATAATTGGATCCGAACATCCGATCACCACCCAGAAGACAGTCTTCATTTTACGCACTCTTCACCACCGAAAAGTTTGTGGCCAATATCACAGGCGAAAATTTAGCATAACAATGGAAATTTTGACTAGATCATGTCTCTGTAACACGCCCAAATATTTTTAACCATAAAAAAGCGAGACAATTTTGTACGATATGGTTTTCATGTAGATGGAGTCATAGTGAGAAAACGTACACTTTTATTCATTGTCGGTGAATATTTCGGATATTAATTCTAATAAACTAATTGCAATATTTTGCGATTCATGCATTGACGTCAAGCGTAAACTATAATTTCCACGTAATATCACTAAATTAAGTACATATATAGTCATCACATATAAACGAATACTTTAAAAGTTCGATTCTCAGATCCAGACAAAAACAATATATTAAAGCTTACAACAAGGTTCTCAAATGCTAAAATTAAATACAAAGTTTGATTATAAAATCCAAGATCACCATGCATTCATTCCGAACCATCACTAAACTTTGTTGTTTGGTGGCAACTGACAAAATGTGCTTCAAACGCCACTTCTACCAGCGAAATACACTCAATTTTTTCAAAAATCGTCGTTTATAGTATTGAAAAAACTAATATTCGCGTATTGGTATTGGATATCAAAGATTATTTTGGAAAAAATACATTCGCGATGACCTTGAATTCAGTTAAAGCATAATCGAACATAAAATAAAAGGAACATGGAACTAATTTAAATCCTTCACAAGGATCTCCACTAAAAATATTGTGACATAAAAATTATTATGTGACCCTCCTTCTCATTTATCAAAAATATTCAAGGTTCCAAGTTTACAAATTTTTGCTTTAAAAAATGTACCTCGACAGAAACATGTTTTTCAGACTAACCTCAAAACATTCACGCATAAAATGGGTATAAGAATTTTTGTGGGAAAACTTTTTATTCAACAACAAAGAATGAGAAAACGTGTTTTTGGGATTCAGTTCAACATGTTGACAGGTACGAATAAACTTTCCATGCAAGATTTTTAGTTATTTATAAGACATACAAAAAAAAATTGATTTTTTTATCGATATCTTTAAAAATATTTAATCGATCGAAATTTGGCAATATTATTAGAACGCTAATTCAGCCATAAATAGGTTAAAATTATTAGGTCCAGTGGCGTCCCGGAGACACCTTAGCGAATATTATTGACAAAAAATGTACGCCCCTACCTTTTTTGTAACTTTGATATTTGTTGTTTGATTAACTGTATTGTATTTTTTCATATCCGTTTTCGAGGAAAAAAATAAACCGTTTTTTTGCATGCCACTGGACAAAATTTATTTATTAATGTTTGCTAAGCAAAACCCAAAGTGCATTGCAAAACAAAAAATCATTTCTGCATGGAGATTAGTTCAAACGTCAACAGAATCGAATAAATATCTTTTAAGATATTATTTTTTTTTATTTATGAAAACTGCATTTCCGGACCCATGTTCATAGAAACTTTTTTTTCGTATGTTTCAACAAGGAATCACCTCATAAAATATCCCCGTCTATTTTTCGAACACCCGGTATATTCGAAGAAAGCGCCCGAAAAAAGCTGACCACAAGCATCTTAGCAACTTACGAGCAATATTTTGGTTTCCGAGCAAAAAAAATGTAGAGAAAACGTGGATTTTTTCCCTCCGGATTTGGGTGCTGAAAGTGATGAACAAGGAGAACCATTGCTACGATTGAAAAGCGTTATGAGGGCTTTTGGGATCAAGGCATGATGAACGACCATTGCTGGGAAATTCCACGCAACGTAAGAGAAAAAGGTTGAGAGTGAAAGCGTATTTTAGAGCCTAAATGTGTCAAATACTGTAGATCGCATGTCTTATGTCATAACTTCCACATTTTTTGTCCGATTCAGGCAAACTTGGGCTTGTTATGTACGTGCCAAACTTATCTTTAATCTCACATAATTTACGTTAGTATAAAAAAATATTTGCACCGAAAAAAAGTCAATAAACCAATAATCTTCAACGGTTGTTTGGGAAAATAAATGAAAGCCATTTTCGTTCTTAGCGATCTCAAATGTTAGTCGAAAAAACACCTTTCTGTCGAGCTACATTTTTCGTGTAAACTTTGAACATAGGCAAAATTGTAGACTGAACTTTTCAAACCTGATGCAAACTTTCGGTAGTGCTGAAATTCAATTCCAAACAAATATTTTTTTTAAATGAGAATCGGGTATCAGTTCTATAAAAAAAGTTTGCTTAGGCTTCGTCGTACCGATGTTTATCTTCGTTTTTCCAAGAACTGACTTGGATATGTGGAGGGGGTAGGAAACTTCTCAGTGATTGTATCAGCTGGATTGTGTCCATCAGGGCTGAAAATGAGTAATTTATGTAATAACAACCGATCGAGCGAAATTATTAAAATCAGTGGAAAATGAGCAGTTTCAGATAAGATCAAAGCTTCTGAATCATTATTCGAAAGCCGCACTTTAGGGGCTCTCAAGAATTCACCTCGAAGTGTCATCATGTATGCAATAAATATATTGTTTAATTTTCAAAGCACATTGCAAGTATATGCTGTTGTTATAAATTCACACTTAAACATTCATAAAAATTTACTAACTGTTATAAATGAAAAACAGTTTCTAAAAAATATTATCACCCCGTCTCGGAATTTTCGGTTTTTTAATTGTTTGTAAATCATTTATATTCATTTTGACGAGTTCTATACATTGTATGTGTCCGAAATAACAATAAACTATTACTATATACAGGGTGTAAACGTACGTTATGGTAGCCATTATTCAAATGGGTAACAGGGCGGGTCAAAACAGGTCAAAAAGTTCATATGACCCATGGTCTAAAAGTTAACAGATTTTTGGCTAAATGGCTTTATAGTTTACAACTTTATATCGACCACAATCTTACTAAATTTTATAATCTAATCTAAAACGTTTTTAAATTGGGTAATTAACAAATAAATGGCATTAAGTTTTTCTAAGTTAAGCCAAAATTTGTAGTCAGTAAGTTTAATTAAATTGAAATTTAAAACACACATGACAACAGCGCGTCGGTATTTCATCACTCTTATCGAACCGGTAATCGATCGCAAACGGTAACAGTGGTTAGTATGTTGTTTTGTTTTTGTTCGCGTACGTCGTCGTGTTTATTTACAATATTCTCAGATCAAGAGTTCGCCGAAATGTTGTTAGTTTACGGTGAAGCACGTCAGAATTCAAATCTCGCAGCTCAAATTTATCGCTACAGATTTCTCCAACGGGAACGCCCAGACAGAAGGACTTTTGTGCAAGTGTACCAAAGAGTTCGAGAGGAAGTGTTCAGCCCACTAATATTCGCACTCGTAAAAGACAGGTTACTGTAGAGCAGGAGGAACAAATTTAAAATATCATGGAAATCAATGCAGATATCAGCACTCGGGAATTAAGGCGCCGCGTAGGACTATCGCATACCATAGTCCACAGAATCCTACTGTACAACGAGTGCAGGCCTTGTTACCAGAAGACTATCCTCGCTATGAAACCATCTAAACTGCAAGATCATCTGCGAAGATGCCACCCTGATAAAACACAAAGATTTGAAATACTTTCAAACACTCAAAGATAAATTTCAGAAGAGACCTACACTGGACAGAATGTTCGCTTCGACGTCACAAAGAAATGATGATGGTTTGCGGGCGTCTTACAATATTTCGTTACTTATAGCAAAATCCGGAAAACCGCATACTATCGGAGAGAAGTTAATTTTGCCAGCCGTTGAAGAGGTCTTAAAAACTGTTTTACACAAACCTGCATCTGATATCATTAAAAGAATTCCCTTAAGCAACAATACTGTTGAAAGACGTATTGATGAAATGAGTTCTGATATTGAAATCTTCTTATGTAATTATTTGCAAACGACCCATTTCTCTATACAACTGGACGAGTCAACTTTACCTGATAATGCAGCATTATTATTGGCATATGTTCGTTTTATTATGAATCAAGAAATCTACGAAGAACTGCTCTTCGCAAGAACTTTGATAACCGACACTAAAGGTGAATCAATATTTCATGTTTTGAAGGATTACTTCATTGAAAAAGCAATTCGTTTATCAAATATAATATCAGTAGCTACAGATGGAGCACCTGCCATGGTTGGACGTTATCGTGGATTGATAAGCTATTTAAAACAAAATGTGTCAGGGGTGTTAGCAATACATTGCGTCATACATCGACAACATTTAGTTGCTAAAAATTTGAGTGTTAGATTGCATGAATCACTTCATTTAGTCATTGATGCAGTAAACCGAATCCGAAGCAACACGACAAAATGACGAGCACTTTCATCAATTACCCTTCACACTGAAGTACGCTGGCTGTCGAAAGGCTTATGTTTGACAAGATTTTTTGTACTTTTTAAGACTATTGTAGAATTTCTGGATACTACAGATAAAATTTCAAAAGAAAATTTAATAAAGAGGAATACAGACATCGCCTATTTAACAGATTTGTTTACAAAATTTAATATGGTTAATTTGCAATTACAAGGCGACAGTTTAAATTTGATTAAAACAAAGTCCATCTTATCAGCGTTTCTTGCCAGAGTTAAACTAATGAAGCAAAATATTGGACGGGCGAATTTTCTCAGTTCCCCAATTTGTCACAGACAAGCTACCAGGAAGACGACGTTCCAACTTACGTTCAACATTTAAATGCCCTCTATTCAGATTTTGAATCTTAGGTTTGAGGATATTTTGACTATGGTAATACCACCGTGGATAATTAATTCATATGGTGACATAGAAGAAACGAATGTCATAATATAAGAGGAACTAAGTATAAACGAAGAACTTAAGGTTCAGTTTAAAAACGGATATCAGCAATTCTGGCTGCAAAACAACATACCCGTTACTTATCCCGTATTACGGAATATAGCGAGGAAATTTTTAATTTCCTTTCCATCGTCATACCTAGTGGAAAGGGGGTTCAGCGCTGTTACCAATCTCCTAACGAAAAAAAGAAACAGACTGGACATTATTAGCCGAGGAGAATTAAGATTAACCCTTACAAAATTGACGCCAAATGTTGATAATTTATTATTAAAGCATCAGGTTCATCCTTCTCACTAAAAATATTGACTTATTGCTTATGTTATTTTATTTATAGTTTATTTTATGTTTATTGGTGTCTGACCAATAAATGCCCGCATTGGGAATAAGTGCCCGCATTGATTTTTTTTAAAGAACCCCCCTTTATAGAAAATATTTTTTTTTTAATTATTCTGAAAATTCAAGGATAGGTACACACTAAAATTCGTTAATTTTTTGCCTATTTTTGGACAACTTAAACGTATAAGAAGCGGAATTTAATCAAACTAACAGTCAAATTATTGTAGAACATACGTTTATGTTTAATTAATAAACGAACTCGCTTATTGTACTATTTTAAGTAAAAAACTTTTTTTTATTATTTTTCACTTTTTTATTATATCCCTCTTATTTTTCTTTCAATGCGGGCACTTATTGGTCAGACACCTGTTTATTTAATGTTACGTATATTTTACATAACAGATACAAAATTTTATTTTGAGTAGTTTTAATTTAAATTCAATTAATAAATGTATAAATTAACATGTGTTTTTACTTTAAGTTTTTAACACTAAACTTCACTACAGTTAGAAATTAACAGGAAATCAATATCAGGTAAGTAGGAGGTCTACCCAACACGGAAAAACATGGCAAGGTGTCTACGACACAAAAAAGTTTGGGGAACTCTGACCTAGAGTAAGAAGAAACTGGGTTTGTCGTAATGAAGCTTGTGTGGAAAATGGACGACGACATTTTGAACACCTCTAAATACAAAAAAAGTGCAGTGTGGGTTTTAAAAATAAAAACAATGTATGTATCAAAATTGTGTTCCCTATTTATAAGTGGATTTTTTTAATATGTTCAATAAACTGTCACACACCAGGTAAAGCGCTGAGATAGTTAGTTAATTGTTTGCATTTTACGAGTACATTATCAAATAATGAAATAATACCTAAGAGCCAAAAATAACAAACTCCATCTTCGCGTTCCATCATAATTTGCGTCTGGCATTGCGGCGTTGTCAGATTTCATTATTTTACTTTAAAGTCGCTTTTCTCTAAAAAATGCCGTTTTGACCCCCAAGTTACATGAAACCTTGTGCTTCTTTTAACCTCCTCATCACCCATTTAAATAACGATTATCATAACGTCTACACCCTGTATGTTCACGTGATACGATCAGACAATGTCACCTTACTTTTCTGTAGCGCCTCCGACTGCTTTCCGTACGGTTTGCACATGGCCGGTCGAACGTACGTTTTCATGCGACTCATGTTCTTCATGACCTCGGCAAACGCTCTGACAATCTTCTCTTGACCTCCTTCGCCTAAACTCTTGTTATCCGCTATCGTGGTGCTCGGCGACGGCGACGGCGTCCACGCGCCGTTGTGCAGCGCCAACAAATCTTTATTGCCGCCTGTCAAACCCAACAACGACGGAACTGGAACAGAATCACATATTATACAGGATATTTTACATTCTAACCTGACGATTCGGATTGGGAAACGGTAAGAGATACGAAGTTTTTTGAATGGTGGCAAAGTTGCGTATTTAAGTGATCGACAAAATGAGGATTAGAAAGTTTTCAAAATATTTTCGGACGGAGAAGCGGAATTTTCCAAAAATCGTTTTACAGCAGACGCTCGATAACGTAAACACGGGATAATGTAAACACAAACTTTGTTCCATAGGTTCAAACGGAACGCGCGATAACGTAAACAATGTGTACGCTCGATAACGTAAACAACTCTCGGCGCACGGAAACAGCGCGACGGTAAAACGCTGAAGCCTCGATGATTTATGTCGTGCGTCGGGGAGTCCCCGATTTATGATGTAGAGTGTAGGGGATTCACCTCTGCGATAAAATACGACAAACTCGGTCAGTCGTATGATCGTTTAGAATACGTTTATACGTACGTATGTATTTCATTTTTAAACTTAAGTGAATACATTGCACGCGTTAATATATTGTACGACTATGGCATCCACATCCTATAAAAGAAAGTGTTTAAAGTTGAGTGAGGAAGTGAAAATCATAGACGAAGTTGCACTAGGTGCGGGAGTGACACAGGTAGCAAAAAAATATGGAGTATCGAAAGCAACAATCTGTAAAATGAAGCGTATGAAAACTCAAATTTTACAAAGAACGTGCAATACATTTGGAGGTCCGGGAAAAAGAAAAACTTTAAAAAATGCGAAGGCACCTAAAATGGAAAATTTCCTGTATAAGTGGTTTTTAAAACAACAGGAACATCATGTCCCAGTTAGTGGCGAAGTACTTAAGCAGAGAGCGAGACCGTTAAATGAAAAACTGAAAGAAACTGAAAAATTCGTAGCTAGTGATGGCTGGCAACAACGATTCAAAACAAGATATGGAATTCGACTGCTGTCTATATCTGGTGAAAAATTATCAGTACAACCACAATTAGTGCAACCATTCAAAGAAAAATTGATGAAAACTATTACCGAGCTAGATTTAAGAATGGAACAAATTTACAACGCAGATGAAAGCGGCCTTTATTGGAAAATGTTACCAGAGAAAACCTATGCTGCATCATTTGAAAAATCTGCCCCGGGAAGAAAGCCGGAGAAACAACGAATAACGTTTCTAGCCTGCACTAATGCTAATGGTTCACACAAAATAAAGCCACTGGTAATTGGGAAAGCAAAAATCCGCGCTCATTTAAGAATGTTAATACCCCTGTTGATTATGACTGTTCAAAAACCGCTTGGATGACTAGCAGTATATTCCTTAAATGGTTCCACAAGTGCTTTGTCCCTCAGGTATGACAATCAATTATCACAAATGCTCTATTCATAATTTGAAGATGTGTTTTCAATTTGTAGGTAAAAGGTTTCCTAAAACAACAGAAGCTTCCAATAAAAGCGTTGTTACTATTGGATAATGCACCAAGTCATCCTCCCGAGCAACAACTGAGGAGCAGGGATGGCTCAATTTTCGTCATCTACATACAACGTAACACCGTTAATTCAACCGATGGACCAGAATATAATAAGACTCACCAAACTATACTATAGGAAGTTTCTACATTCGTCTGTTTTATCAAAGAATCCTGAAAACTTATCTGAGGCTTTAAAAAAAGTAACATTACGAGAAGCTGTTTTAGATTTACATATGGAATGAACTTAACCAGCAAACTATTCAAAAATGTTGGAACAATCTCTTTTGTACCAATAATGAAGATGATGAAGAAGACGATGTCCCCTTAAGCGTAATTATTAATTGCGATCCAATAATGATAATGTTATTAGTGTGTCATTGGATGTTGTTGATTTATTGAAAACAGTGAATCCCAACATTGTTTGTACTCCTGCTGATATTAATTTATGGAACGAAGATAAGCGGACGAATGATGCTGATAAGGAGGAGGATATGGACAGTGAGGATGATGAGAACGATCCCATTGAAGTCAGAAGTGTAGTGACTGACGCGCAAGCTATACAAGTTTTTAACCAAGCTTTAGATTGGGCTGAAAGAAAAGTAGTTTCATACACGGATATTTTAGTTCTTCGTAAATTACGGGCGCGGGCATTGGAAGACAATGCTAAGCGCAAATTTACGCAGACAAAAATTGTTAATTATTTTTCTTCTAATTAAAAAAATACTTATCGCTGTTAGAATATTTGTTTATTTTGTTATCAATAGTATGTATTAAACGTTTCTTTTAGTAAATCAAATATATAAATCACGTTCGCTAATGTAAACATTTCGATAATGTGAACCACACTTGGATTAAATTAGTTTACATTATCGAGCGTCTGCTGTAATTAAAAAAATTAAAAATAAAAACGGTTACTACTAAAATGGCCAAGAGAAAAAACTGGATATTTTTTTCAATTGGACCAATGAAGTTCAGCACTAAGGGCGATGTTGTTTAAATGTGTGGTGTGGCATACTGGGAGGCACAGTCATTGGGCCATATTTTTCCGAGCAATCCCTAAATAGCCTAGACTTTTCGGACAATCAGTTACCGTTGTTGTTGGAAGATGTGCCACTGGAAACACGGCAAAACTTGTTTTTGTAGTTGGATCGTTGCCGAGCACATTTTGCTATTATTGTGTGATAGCATGTTAATGCAGTATTTCAACAGCGGTGGATTGGAAGAGGAAGTCTGTCTCCATGACCTTCGCGATCACCAGACTTGCCTTTATTTTTATTTATGGGGACGGTTGAAGGACATCGTGTTCAGACTCAACCTACTACCGGAGAATATATGAAAAACCGGATTCGTCATGCAATACGTAACATACCGAGAGCTGAAATCAAAACTACAGTTTTGTCTACTTATGATAGGCTTCCGGAATGCATAGGGCGTGATGGTCACAGCATTTCGAGCTTTTTTAAAGTGGTTCCTTTTTGGGGCCACAAATGAATAAAAAGAAATTAGAAAAAAAATAGTTTAAAAAATTAAAATCTAATTTCAGTTTAGGAATAAGATATCGAGATGCGATTTTCGCGAATTTGCTTAGACATCATTTAGCTACTTTTTCATAAAAAAAATCATACCAACGCATTTAGTTTTTTGAGAAAATTAACCATTCCTATCGGAATGTTGAAATATGGGGTTGTCCAAAACGGAGGCAGGAAAGTAAACGCATATTAAAACAAGAAAGCTGATATTCAAATCAAGTTGGGTACTTATTTTGAAGGTTCATTTATACCATTTATGTATGAAAAATAATATCGCTCAAATGTTCACCACGACTGGATTTACAGACGTCCACGCGATGGTCGAAATTTTCAATGAAATTTTGCAACATGGTCGGTTCTATGGCATTTATCTCGGCAATGATGTTGTTTTTGAGTTCTTGGAGGGTGGCTGGTTTGTTGACGTAGACTTTGCTTATCAAATATCCCCATAAAAAGAAGTCCAAGGGAGTCAAATCGCACGATCTTGGTGGCCATGGCACATTTCCTCTGCGCGAAATCACGCGATCACCGAAGAAGGATACTGACGTTGGTTGTGTGGCATGTTGCACCGTCTTGTTGGAAATAAACATCGTCCATATCCATTCCTTCAAGTTGCGGCAAAAAATAGTCCTCTATCATCACGTGATATCGCTCAGAATTGACGGTAACGGCGTCCCCGGCCGCATTTTCGAAAAAGTAAGGTCCGATGATGCCTTTTGACCACAATGCACACCACACAGTCACTTTTTGAGGATGCATCGGCTGCTCTTGATACTCACGGGGATTTTCGTTCGCCCAGATGCGGCAGTTTTGCTTGTTTACCGTCCCATTCAAAGTGAAATGCGCTTCGTCGCTGAACATGATTTTTGATTTGGCGGTGTTCAAGGAGCCAATCTGAGAACGTTCGGCGCGAAAAATGGTCGGCCCGACGCAGCTCTTGCGTCAATTGGATCTTGTAGGCGTGTACATTCAAATCCTTGTGGAGAATGCGGAGCCAACTGGTTCTCGAAATGCCCAATTCTTGGGATCGACGCGTTGTTGATTGTTTCGGATCGTCTCTCACACTCTCCTTCACAAGATCAATATTGGCCTTGGCCGGCCAGAGCCTGACAGATTTGCCACAGAACCTGTTGCCTCGAATTTACGCACCAGACGACCGATGATTGTTTCGTTTGGGCGGTTGTTGCGACCGAAATGTTCACGAAGCGCGCGAAACGTGTTTTTTATTTTTGCACCATTTTTGTAGTGCTCTTGAATAACTTTAATGCGGTCTTCAATCGAATACGACTCCATAGCGATCAATGGTAAACATTCAACTAACAAAATGACATGTCGGTGACAGAAAACAAAGATGGCGTCTATGTCAAATTGACGTTTACTTTCCTGCGTCCCAATTGGACAACCCAGTATTAGAACATTTGTAACCCAGGAATAGCTATTTTCAACTAGCCTAAGTTTGTCAAAATAGGCTCAGCCGTTTAGAAGATACAGTTTTTTTTTTTACGGAAACCTTTGAATGCCACCACTTTATTTTTAGAGATACAACAAAAATTGTCAAACAAAAAAGGTTCAGATTATCCTCGACTATAGTTTTAAATTCTCGTTCCAAAAATTATTTTCATATCATTTGACTAAGATTTAGATATAAATAAGACTTTTTGGGAATGGCTGCATTGCAAATCGATTGAAACAACAGAGATTTTATCAAAAGTGGTTCATTTTTTTTTTTGACGTCAAACGTTTCCTTTTTCCGGCTTAAAGGTTAGGCATTCTAACGTTTTGTTTTTCCAAAAATATAAATTTTTGGAAAAAATGGTATCTTCTTTTCTAAAACGGATACTTATTAATCCGCCCTTGTATTTTGAAACTGCATCCACCTAAATGTATACGGGAATTCACAAATATAATGAGTTTTAAGCACACATTTAATTAAAAAAAAAAATAACAAATTTTAAATTGTCATTATCAAGTCATTTTGATTACCTTCAAAATTTTCCAAATTGGCTCTGAGGAAATCCTGCAGCTTATGATCAACTAGAGGCACTTCAAAATGTTGTTGCTGCTGTTGCTTTTGTTGCTGTGCCTGTTGTTGTTGCTGCTGCTGTTGTTGTTGTTGTTGTTGTCCCTTTGCCACAACAGAGGCAGCCAGGTCTAGCTGCTGCTGCTGATGCTGCTGCTGCATCTGTGTTACAAATGCTAAGGTAAACATTGTAGCCAGCAATTTAAAAGATATACTCTGGGCGCTGAAGAAAGACATTAAACGTAAACAGTGATCAGCACGTGAACAGATCCCTCGAAAGCATCCACGGATATACTCCAGTCACTTTAGGTCTAAACATCCTCGGCAGTGTATTTCTAGTGAATCCACAGACCCTTTTTCGTGTCATCTTGAGACTAGAAAAAGGATGACTGTTAAAATAAGTTACCTTGATCTTTCATGAGCTCCCAGTACAAAACATCATCGATATATTTTTGATGTAGGAACAACAAATTGGTTTAGAAAACATCCACTTTGAACCTAAATTGACTGGAGTAACATCGATCTACAGACAAATTCAAGGTCACTAGCAGTCGTCGGCGCTCTACGAATCTGCACAGGTTTGGACTTGTAAACGTGATTGTAGATGACACGACAGGCATCTAACAGTTAATTCACGCACAGGATTGCATTGCATACGCATTACGCATTCAGTAGCGTATACTCGTTTTTCGCGAGTGGAACGTTTTGTTTATATATTGCCTAAGATACGATGTCTGACACAGATACAGCCGACGAAGTGGTTGACATCAGCGCAACCCCACCCAAAAAAAGGGCTAAGAAGCTACATTTAAGTGCAAATGAAAAACAAATAATATTAAATATATACAAAAACCAAATTCAAGAAAAACCCGATTTGGTCGTGGACGAAGTTATATGTAAGATAGCACATATTTCTGGAGTATGTCGGTCCAGTGTTTATAGGATCATTAAGGAATATAGGAGCACTCACTCACTTTCTGAGCCAAAACCGTATCCTGCAAGAAAAAGGATAACGGACGGAGTAGATGACTTTGACAGAACTGCCATCAGGAGGAAAGTGCATAATTTTTTCTTCCGAAATGAGATACCTACAATAGATAAGATATTAAGATTAGTTAGTGCTGATGAGGATCTTCCATCATTTAAAAGAACCACATTCCGAAAACTTTTGAAGGAACTTAATTTTCGATTCTTGAAACGGGGCAGAAACAGTATGTTAATAGAGAAAGAAGAAATTGTTGTGTGGAGAAGGGGATACCTTAGGAAGATTCGGAAGTTTCGCGATGAAAAAAGAAAAATTTACTATTTGGACGAAACGTGGGTGAATGCTGGACATACTCAAGCGAAAGTTTGGGTCGACAAATCAGTAACATCATCAAGGCAGGCTTTTCTAGACGGTCATTCGGCTGGATTGAAAAATCCTGCAGGTAAGCTCCTTCATCTATCCGGCAATTTAATTTTGATAAATTCGGGCAAATAATATGCTGTGATAGCAGATAATGTGTGATATTCTCCAAAAATGGTGCATTCGCAGTGTAGTCATTAGGAAAAAAACTTCGACCCTCTTTTAAGCGTTATTTTGAAATTTATTATCATTTTTGGGTGCAGTCAATTTGCTTTGAATGGGTTTTGAGAAGTTGCAAACTTCAATTTTCTACGTTTTTCAGTTTTTGATCAGCATTCCGTGACTCTTAAATTCAGCTAAATGAACTCAATTGCCTCATTCCTTCAAATTTAATCAATCCATAGTGTAAGGAATAATTTATTTCCAGGAAAAGGCAAACGGCTGATCATTTGTCACGTAGGTAGTGAAGACGGCTTTGTTGCCGAAGCACTGTGGGCCTTTGAATCAAAAAAGACAGGGGACTATCATGAGGAGATGGACGGCAATTCCTTTGAAAATTGGTTCTCCAAAATGTTACTAAATCTGGAGAATAACGCTGTTATTGTACTGGATAATGCCCCGTACCATTCTAGAAAAATAGAAAAAATTCCCACAATGGCAACTAAAAAAGCAAACATACAACAATGGCTGGCCTCAAAACAGATCGATTTTGATGAAACAATGGTCAAGGGTGAATTGATAAGTATAGTCAATAGACATAAATACAAATACGATTTTAAAATGATCGACGAAATGGCCAAAAAACAAGATAAAACTGTCTTGAGACTGCTACCCTACCATTGTGAGCTGAACCCTATTGAGCTGATTTGGGCCAACATAAAGCAATACGTGGCGTCGAATAATAATACTTATAAATTTTCTGATGTTAAAAATCTCTTTCACATCGCAGTCAATAGAGTTACGGCAGAGGAATGGAAAAACTGTATCCGCCACGTTCGGGAGAAGGTTGAGGTCAAAATGTGGGATTTGGACAATGTCATCGATACCCAAATTGAACCTCTAATAATTCATTTAAACGATTCAGAAGATTCAAGTTCCTCTTCTGAATGAGTGCGCGCAGCTTACTTACTAATAACTAAAAAGTGTAGTTAACTCATTTGTGAATCTCTAACTGAAATTTACTGTAAAAGATAATAATTATCTTGTATGAAATTTTTGATGACTACCCATAATATCTTGATGCGGTCCTGTAATGTCTCCTGCGCCTAAACACTCACTCACGAGCAATATGCGTGTATTTGTTTGGGTTTAGTTTCTTTCTTCAGCGCCTAGAGTTTAGATACGTTTATTGTCTCGTAGATCATAAAATGACGTAAAACTCGTCCTAAGAGTACATAGCACGCATAATTAAAAGTAACATGAAAAACAACAAGTATTTACAAAGTACAAAAAGGAAGAATAACAAATAATGTAAACTAACTCTCTTATTATGCAACTCCTGGTGACTCAACTTTGAAAACGATTTTCTGTAATGTATCTCTTTATATACGAATGCATCTTTCACCTGTTGCATATGCTGTCGTTGTTGTTTCTCAATGGTGGCGTTCAGCTTGTCGATGCTCTGTTGCGCCATAGCCCTGTTCTGATGCTGGATCAAGGCGGCCGTGATCTGCTGCTGCGTGGGACCGCCAGAAGCCAGACCGGCCTGCTTTGACTGGTTCGCCTTTGCTTCTGCGGATGTCTGCTGTCCGGTCATGTCAACTGCATTCAGTCCTGATTGAGAAGGACTTTTGAAAGATATTCGATGCGAGTAGCGGCATCTAGCGTCGGATAGATACATCTTTCGTTGATCCCCTTTAAAAATTTCAGAAGCGAACCACTTCACGCGGAGTTATCGCGGCCAAAGTAACAGTACCTTTTTAGCATCGCTCGAAGAATGAGCATCGAACAAAGAGCCAATATCAAGTTCTGTGTTAAGCTTGGTGAAACATTTACTGAAACGCATCAGATGTTGATGCAAAAAAATGATCCAGATACGTAAAAATGGAATTCAATTCTAAATAGTATATCAAGAACTGTAGCAATATAAATAGTGCTGTTAATGAAGGATTATTTATTTAAAAGCTGGTCTTACTGCTTCTGATATCTGCTGCAGCACTGCCAGGCGCCTCGCCCAAATATCCGGGTGCCAAATGCTGAAGCGTCTTCTGAGTGAGTTCCATTTGGTTTTTGTAGTAACGGCAAGCTGGATTAGGACAATTCTGAACCACCTCTATTATAAACTCCTTTTCCATGCCAAAGTTCTCTCTGCCAATTGTATAAGATTCCATCACCTAGGAACAAGTGGACATATCCATACATTACACTTTTTAATTCTGATCAAAGGTAAAGTAAAGAACAACCTTTATATGTTCACTAAAAGATTCAAAAGTAATCTGATGCCAGACTACTTCAGACTACCAAGATGTCAGTCTGGTGCTTACCAGAGTACAGTACCTTACCTTCTTAGCTGGTCACCCTGTACATATGGAAAGTTTCACATGCAAAAATAAATGATGGTGAAATTCAATCCTGATGTACTTACAGCTCTAACTGTTGCTTCAATGCCCAAGTGGAGGCCGTGAGGTCCATTCATATGCTTCAGCATGACTGCATTCGCAAAATGCTCGAAAGGGAGTATTATTTTTCCATTTTCTCTAAGAATTAAGCGGCCTTGGGAATCTAGGGTTACTCTTGAAGCCATCATCCTGAAAATTACAAAAATTGATATGACTACAAAAAAAAAACATCAAAATATTCTACTGAAACAGCAAAATTACTCAATCAATAGAGGACAAAGAACTAAAATTGGCAATACACTATCAAGCATTCAAAACTTTTCCCTAGGTATGTCAGAGGGTAGCAAATTAGATCCACTATTATTTATTTTATATATATATAGGTGAAAAATTAAAGCTTCCGCCTTTTGTTGGGTACTTCGACAAAATTTAAGCAAAGAGGACTCTTTATACTTTTTTTAATTCTCTCTAGCTTTCAATGGACTTTGCCATCATCATCAGGAGCTGCAATTACAATGATAACAGTAGCAACAAAAGTGTAAAATGAATTTAAATTGATGATGATGGCAAAGTCCATTGAAAGCTAGAGAGAATTAAAAAAAGTATAAAGAGTCCTCTTTGCTTAAATTTTGTCGAAGTACCCAACAAAAGGCGGAAGCTTTAATTTTTCACCTAACTGGTCTAGACGACAATGACCACATATATATATATATATAATAAATAAAATAATGATAAGAAAAACACAATTAATTGGTTGAATGTCAAAACTCAAAATGTAGGATATCATCTTAAATAAAAATAATACTAGAATAAGTTTTATGCTGACAAAACTACAATGTCTAGATGCTGGATCAGTCAGATTAATAAAAGTAATTTCGTCCAAAGATCCGTTTAAAACCCCAAGACAAATAAAAGCAGAAATCGAGACAAAAGGAATTGCCAGTGCTTCTACAAAAACTATAAGTAGAAGATTAAATGATTTGAAGTTATTTGCACGTCGCCAATCTCGAGGAAAAAACGTAAGGATCAATTACAATTTACATGGTTGTATCTTGATTTGAGCATCTGTGACTGGAAGAGGGTATGTTTCAGTGATGAATGAAGTTCAATATGTTTGAATTAGATGGTGTTCATTACATTAGACGTCCTAGTGGACAAAGATTGAACCCCAAGTACACTTTGCCCACTGTCAAACATGGAGGTGGGTCTGTTATGGTTTGGGGGTGCTTTTCGGGGTTTGGGATGGGACCTTTACATAGAATAGATGGCATTATGGATAAGTTTATATATACAGACATACTATAGCATGTTATGTTACCCTATGTGGAAGACAATATGCCCTTAAGATCAATCATCCAGCAAAATAATGACCCGAAGCACACTTCAAATCTCGCAAAGAAATTCTTTCTGGATGAAAAAATACCAGTTCTCAAATGGCATTCACAGTCTCCCAATATAAACCCCATTGAAAATCTATGGGAATACTTCAATATTTGATATCTATGTTCCTAAATATACCAACACCTGCAAATTCAGGTATCCTCCTTGGTATACTGGAGAAATTATAAGTAACATAAATTTGAAGGAATATTACTACAGAAAATATAAGAGAACAAGCAATGTTTACCATTACAATGAATTTTCTAGATTGCGCAGAATCATAAAGGGGCGAGTTAGAGTTGCTTACAGTGAGTACTTGTCGTCGGTTGAGGACAGTATAATCAACGACCCGAAGAAGTTCTGGTCATACATTCGGAATAAAAGAGACTGTAGCAGAATACCAGGCCAAGTCCAGTTCAACGGCAACGTATTCAATACTCCACAAGGTGTTATTGATGCATTTGCCGACTATTTTAAGAGTGTGTATGTTACTCCTCGAAATATTCCCTCTTCTTTAGTTAGTGTCACTTCAACACCATGTATTTATCTAGAGGAATTAACGGAAGCTGATGTACTGAAGTCTCTCTCTAAGCTTCAAAATAAACTTACGTCTGGTAGAGATCAAATACCTAGTTTTATTATTAAAGATTGTGCTCATGCTTTCGTCAAGCCGATGCTGATAATTTTCAATGCTATATTAAAGAGTGGAATTTTTCCGGATGTTTGGAAGAGAGCTAAGGTGTGTCCGGTCCTGAAAAATGGTGATAAATCTGATGTACTCAACTATAGAGCTATAAGCATTTTGAACAACTTTGCAAAGGCTTTTGAAATGGCCATTTACTCTTTTATCTTCGAGAACGTTAAAAGCCTAATTACTCCATCACAACATGGTTTCATCAAAGGTAGATCCACTACGTCAAATTTAATGTCAATTACGCAGTATATAGCAGAATCGTTAGACAATAAACAACAAGTCGATGTTATTTACATGGATTTCAGCAAGGCTTTCGATAAATTAAACCATCATCTTCTTGTGGATAGTCTTCATTATTTCGGCCTTAGTGACTCGTTAGTCGGTCTTTTAAGCTCATATCTTTCTAATAGGACGCAATATGTTTACTATAATGGTTATTCTTCAGCAAATTATACGGTTCCCTCTGGAGTACCGCAAGGTTCAAACCTAGGTCCCTTGCTGTTTTTATTCTTCATAAATAACCTAGTCGCTTCACTAAAGTGTGAATGTCTACTATTTGCTGATGATCTGAAAATCTACACCAATATTACAAATTTGGAGAGCTGTATTTCCCTTCAGGACGATCTGCATACCATCAGACAGTGGTGCGACAATAATATTCTCTTTTTAAATATTTCCAAATGTAAAGTATGTTCATATTGTCGTAAAATGAACCCGATTATGTATGATTACTCTATAAATAATGCGGTTTTGGAGAGAACAACAGAGACTAAAGATCTTGGTGTAACATTTTCCTGTAGATTGGACTTTTCTGTCCATGTAGCACGCGTCACTTCTGAAGCGACGCGGATTCTGGGTTTCATAATGCGCAACTGCCGATCTTTTTCCAACGAAGCGGCACTAAAAGCTCTTTTTCTTTCACTGGTGCGACCAAAACTTGAGTATGCCTGTTTAATATGGAACCCTTTCTATGCGTATTATATAAGCATCTTAGAAAATGTGCAGAGGAAATTTCTTAAATTCTGTGTTTATAAAATCGATGGCACATATCCAGAAAGGGGGGTCTCTCAATTTGTTCTGCTGCGTCGTTTTAAACTAGAGTCTCTACAGTTAAGACGTTCCACTGCTGGCCTATCATTCCTTCATAAGCTTTTACACGACAGAGTGGATGCACCAGAACTTCTCCAGAGGTTAAATTTCTATATTCCACGGTTAAATACGAGAAGAACTCTAACTTTCTACTGCAGTACCTCCCGTACAAATGTATTATTTTATTCTCCGCTACATTTTATATGCAACAATTATAATTCCATAGCAGACAGTTCTGACATTAATTTTGATTGTATCAGTAAGATCGTGTCGAATTTCAGGCACTATTATAATAGCTAGTTCTATTTTTTAAATTAGTTTTAGGTATACATTACATGTATGAATTATAAGTAAAGTTACCATGATATTGTCCTTTAATTGGAATAGTTCTGTTGGGCAATAATGTATAAATAAATAAATAAATAAATAAATAAGCAAATACAAGATAAAAATTCTTCAAACAAGGATGAACTTTTTGCCACTTTAGAGCAAAACTGGAGACAGATTGATGAATCATATATCAAGAAACTTCTAGAATCTATGCCGAAACGATGCCAGGCAGTGATTGATAATAATGGTTATGTTACAAAATATTAACACAAACATGGTTGGTTTTCTATAATTTAATGAACTTTGCTTCTTTTTTCTATAATTTGTCTATATATTTTTGTCCTTGATAGTTCCAGTTTTTTTCAATTTATATTTTATTGAAGGGAGTCTAATGAATTTATTTATGTATAAGTGAGTATTATGCTATAACGAATTTGTATACAGGTTGGTGTATTAATAAAAGTTAAAAAAGAAATACAGCACAATATTAATTTGTCTATATACTATTGTCCATTACTGACATGCAGTGAATATAATGAAAAGAATACATTCTGTATTGTTTAATAAATTTATTTACAGCAAATTTTTCATTACTTACTGAAGATATGCAGCACTAGGAAGCATCGAGGTCTCTTTTAATTCCGAGAAGCATTGCAACAATTCAACAGATGGATTCCACCCTTTGTTCTGCAGATAGAGCTGCAACAGCATGTACAACTTTTCTGTAACATAGCCAGTGCCTGGAGGAAAGCCGATTCCAGGTGAAGAAGACAAATCACTGAGGGACGTTTGTTGCATTCCCTTTGCCAACACATTCTTCATTGTTTCTGCTAGATCCATTGCACAATAATGATATACTATTGATCCATTCGGTATAATTAAGTGTTTCCTTTTTTTTTAATGCCTCGACTGATGCTTAATGACACTTCCTGCCTTTTCAAATGTAATTGATCACATCCGCGGAGCAGTACGTAAGGTTTTTTGGTTCAGTATCGAGATGAACGCGTCCGAATGCAGGAGGCCGCATTTTCATTCGATACAAGCAATTACTGCCCCCAGGTAGTAAATAAGGACCATATTTGTGAAGCAAGTTTGCTTGGACGCCACCATTTGGGATTACTTTTTTTTATTTAGTTCACTCAGGCTCAGCTTGAAACGCCTATAAAAGAGAAAAGCGTGTAATTACTTATGAAATTGCGGTATTCGTTACACTTTAATATAGATTACAAGACAGCCCAAAGAATACAAATAATGAATAATACGTACCGGCTGCTATTGTTAACGAGTGAAGTTTTGTGATTTGTGATGAAGTTACAGCTACAAAACCACAAAACAACTCCACTGTCCACTCTAATGGCGATGTCGATCGTTGACATTTAAAGCTTGTGATGAGCTTGCCTATTTTGAATTGGATTAACTGAATCTAATATTTGATTTGGTAAAATTTAGCTGAATCTTTTTTTATTTTCCATCATTACAATATTGTAATATTGTGATGCACCATGATGAGCTACGCATTCTCCAACGCGCCTAGGCATGCTTCTGATCAGGTGGTCAATGTCCTCCTGTGGTATCTCATTCCAGGCAACCACCAACTCCTCTCGAAGTGCTTCTAGAGTCTGAGGGGGACGTTGCAAATTGAGCAATCTCCTACCCATCATATCCCACACGTGCTCAATTGGGGATAAGTCGGGAGATCTTGGTGGCCATGGTAACAATGTGACATCATTATGTTGAAAGAAGTCTATTGTGACTCTTGCAACATGTGGTCGGGCATTATCTTGTTGGAAAGTTGGATCTGCCAGGGTGTCAAGATAGGGTAAAAGATGGGGTTCTAGAACTACGTGGATATAACGCTGCGCGTTCATGTTACCTCTGATGAAGATTAAAGGTGACCTGGAACCATAAGCTATAGCACCCCAAACCATAACTCCAACAGTGTGATGAACATGTCTTTCAACAAAAAACTATGGATTCCTCCTTTCACCACGTCGCCTTCTAACCCTGGCACGACCATCGTGCATGCCTAAACAAAATCGAGACTCGTCACTAAAGACAATACTGTTCCATTCCTGATCCCAGAGTGACCGTTGTCTGCACCACTTAAGGCGATTACGTCGGTGTTCTCGAGTTAAAGGGAGGACCCAGTGTGGCCGGTATGAAAACAAGCCAAAACTTCTCATTCGTCGGTAAACACTTCGCATGCCAATAGGTCTTCCGTGTTCTGCAAACCATTCATTTGCAATGGACCTGGTAGTGGAGAAACGGTTCCTTAAGGCCAATAATCTCAGGCGGCGATCTTCACGGTCTGTTGTTCTACGGCGGCGTCCAGTGCCCCTTGCTCTTTGCGTACGGCCGTCTCGAATCCATGCCTGACAACACCTAACCACAGTGTCTACACTTCTTTGCACTCTAACTGCAATTGCCTGAAAAGAAAGTCCAGCTGCCCGAAGTCCCACTATACGGCCCCTATCAAACTCACTAAGTTGACGAAATCGTACAGGTCTCCGTACTCTAGGCATCGTAACCGATCGTAAAGGATGTCAAGAACCAAAATCCGCCAACGTTGATTCTTTACTGCGGCTGAAATATTCATTTTTAGAGCGTTAGTGAATTAAAAAAAAGCAGTATAAAAACCGGAATGTCCAACTGATAAGGCTGAAAATTTTTTCACTTGTTATTTACAGTAAGATGAATACATTCACCAACTTTTGTTAAAATAAAACCATTTAAACTGGGTGTTCGGATTTATATGTCACTTAGTATATTTTATAGTAGAGCTTCGACAGTAGCGACGATACATGCTTTTTGAAAATTAAAGTATTGTATATAGATCCCACCTAACTGCATTTTTTATTAAAATGAGTGTTCCTGGAGAAGAAAAAATACTTTTGTCGTTAAGGACTCTTATGTACTATATTTTAAAAAGGACATAATATGTCTGTGTATCTATATTATAGAAAGTGCAAATTCTCTGCACATCCTATAAATATCTAGATACAAGTTTGGAGTGTCTAATAATTTGTCGAGAACAAATCTGTTATGATGGTTTCTGTCTTTTTGGTCCCACAAAGCGGGCCTGATGAAGATTTCACTTATTAAACTGTCTATATCCATATTGCAACCATTTGTGATAAAGGCGAAGAAAATAGACGAAATAATTATCGACGCTGTTTATAATATTCGTATTCAGCGCCCCAAATTACTTCATTGTACAAAGCTCTGCTCTCATGTAGTCGTCGTTAGAAAAATTGGATTTTTAGGACCTTAAAGTCGCAAAAAAAACGCATATAATTTTGCAACTTTTCGCTAAAAAAGTAGACTTCGGAATTATCATCCCAAAATACGTGAATTAAAGGTCATTTGATCCGCATTCTAACTTATAATTACCATTGGTATTGTTACCAGAAAGGCACAAAATGGGTTATTCGGGAACGTGAACGCAACATGTCTTATAATACGCTTTATGGGTTTCTAAAACCGAATTCATGGCTCGTTTTCGGTATACTGGCAAGAATTCAACTTTGACAAAAAACGACTGATATGATCGAGATGGAAGCTTGTTTTCTAGGTAAATCGGTTGCGTAGATTTCGAACTTGATATACCATGTTAGCAACATTGACTGGAGTAGAATTATTGCCTATTGACATGTTGGTTTGTCCTATCGTGAAATTGGCCGCCGTGTTGATTGTACTGCTACGACGGTAATGTGTGTGGATGGGAAGGTAGAGGAATACGCAGAAGGCCAACCGGTCCACCGAGGCGTACCACAGAACTAGTCATAAGACACCGTTTTGCTTCTACACTCTACACGTCAGGTGGCTGACGAATGGTTGGAGAAGAAGGTAGACCTGTTACTGTTCTATCGCCGCATCCAGCTTTTAGACCTTTTTCATACCCTCCACGGTTAGTGCTTCCTCTGACTGCGGACCACTATCAACGTTTGAGCTTGAGCAGAGAACGGTAACAATGGGAGCCAGAATAATGTAATATCATCTCCAGCGACGAATCGCGATTCTGTCTAGGTACGTACGATGGTCGTTGAACGGTAAGACGCCGCCGCGGAGAACGCGTGATATTGGATTTGCTGTTAAGAGGCATGTACACAGGCTTGTTGAAGTAACGTTTTAGGGGGATATTGCCTATGGTAGCCGATCTTCTCTTCTCTTTGTTGAGGGCAATACGACTGCTGCGCGTTATGTTGATGAATATGGTTATAACATACTAAGTGACAAAAAAAGGCATGTCACTAGTCATCACTGTGATATCATACAGGGTGACTTTGAAGTTGAGTCTTAATTTTCATATAATGATTGTAGAAGGAAGATAAACCAAAATATGTGTGTAAAAATAAAAAAAAAATGTTACAAGTATCCTCCCGACAAGTATTTCAGTGCCGACCTGTATTTGATCGTGCGGTCTTGGAGCACCGGCATGCCCTCCCCTGTGAGGTCTTAAGTCACCTGATTCACGAGCCCTCTGTACTACATTAACAAAGGCACGAGGGGTTGGTTGCACTCGATTGGGAAACCGATCCGCATAAATCCGTGATGCCGCGTACATAAGAATCATGTCCACAAGTTCAGCATTTTCGTAAACATGTGCCATTTTTGATTTCGTTTGAGCCACGCAACAGACCCCACTATTCACTCACGCGTTACCGACTGACACTGACTGTATACAACTGAATAAAATAATTGTAAAAACATCGTTCCAAATTCTGTCGCTTTTTTGTTTCCGATGCGATGAACCGATAAGGCGGATTATATCCGTTGTTGCCAAACACGAGCACATAATATTATTATTGAGACAGGGCGGTACTCAAACTTCCAAAGGGCTATAACTTTGTTACTTTAATTTTACCAGAAAAATGGTAAAGGAAAAAAACATTTCTTTTGATCAGATCTACTCACTGTTAAAATAAATGACTCAACTTCGAAGTCACCCTGTATATCTCAATTTCAGCAGTTACCATTCTTTTCATTTGTATATTGTTTTTTTAATTGTATCTATTTTATTCATATAATTTGAACATAGCAATATTTTAATTTGTGTCTACCACGTTTTTCTCAATGTTTTCAGTTAAATGTTTGTCGATTTTTTATTTCAATGTGTTTAATTTTGACCGTCTTGCACTAATGTGTGTTATCTACTTATTTTCTGTTTAATTTTTTACTTTATTGTTTCCATTGACGTGTTCTATGTCGTCTTATTATGGTCCAACAGAACTAATAAAGAAATGAAATTACAAAAGGTTATTTTTTTTTTTTTTTTTTTTTTTTTATGGATCTTTATTTCCAACAGGTACAATCACCCAATTACAGGAAATAGTTCAAAAAGAAAACAAGAGCAACACATAATCCTAGTACATAAAAAAAACACAATCAAATTAATAATACACGTAGATCAAAAAGCCAAAATATTAAAAAAAAAAGAATAACTCTAACCGCAAGAAGGTCATTACATGCCATGGGAAATGGCAAGATAACGTTGTTTAAAGTCATTTCTAGATGAAGTATTCACATCACAAGATTCACCTAAAGAATTGAAGTTCTCACACATAACCGTGACCGGCGATTTTCTCGAGATATTTGTTCGAGCTAATTCGCAGTAAAATGTCATTTGGTGACGCAAATTGCGCACAGGTACATGAAAGTTAAGCTTACTTAATATATATTCACATATGACATCATTGTGCAAAACATCATAAAGAAAATTTAAACTACTTATAACTCTCCTACTATTTAGCGACATACAGTCAAATGTATTCATGAGTACAGAATAATCACATCCTCTCTCCGGATATTCGCCTGTCCACTTGAAATGCAGAAATTTCAAAAACTTCCTTTGTATTCGCTCAATACGGCTTATATGAACCGAATAGATGGGATACCAAATTAAAGAACAACCTTCCAATTTAGATCGAACGTACGAAGAATAAAGAAGTTTCAAAACATGTAAATTGGAAAATTGTCTACTGTTTCGGATGATGAAGCCCAACATTCGGTTGGCTGATGTTGTGATATTATTTATATGTTCACAAAATGACAAATTGCTATCAAAGAGAACACCGATATCTTTAATTTGATAGCACCTATTCAACTCATTCTCGCTTATTTTGTAGGACCATGTTATTGGTTCTTTCTTTCTGGTGTACGTTAATACGAAGCATTTATCTACATTAACTTCGAAATGATTAGCATTACACCAATCCAAGACAAGGTCAATGTTGCCTTGTAAAATTTGGCAGTCCGAATTTGAGCTTATGTTATGAAAAATTTTGAGGTCATCCGCATAGAGCAACTTTTGGCATGTAATCATCATAGCTAGGTCGTTTATATATAACAAGAACAATAGAGGTCCTAAATTCGATCCTTGGGGAATCCCAGATGTTGGCGAGAAAATATCAGAGCGGTGCCCTTCATATTCCACAAATTGCACTCGATTAAATAAATACGATTTAAGCAAGCTTAGAAGACGTGCCGAAAAGCCAAATCCTTGTAATTTTTTCATTAAAATGTATAAGTCTACTCGGTCAAATGCCTTCTGTAAATCCATGTAAACTACATCCGTCTGTCCTCTGCTATCAAGGTTTTCACTGATGGATTGAGTAATACATACCAGATTTGACGTACAAGATTTTTTCTCTTGGAAGCCATGCTGTTCTGCTACAATTAGGTTTTTAGTGTGAATATAAATCACTTCATAGACAATAATTTCAAATAGCTTTGAAAAGTTGGATACTGCAACGATTGGGCGGTAATTTTTAATTAAAGCTCTATCACCCTTCTTCAGCACCGGGGTAACTTTGGATATCTTCCAGTTGTCTGGAAAGATGCCCGTCTTCAAAATAATGTTGAACAGATGTACTAATGGTCTGAGTAGCGCATGTATGCAATCCTTCACTAAGAAGCTGGGTATTTGATCCGGGCCTATAATCAACTTATTTTTTAACTTTTTCGCCGCTTTAAGAACATCAGCTTCACATATTTGAGGTAAATCTATAAACAAGGAGTTACCATAATCCAGGATTACATTTTCACTAAGGTTTTGATCAGGAGGTGTATAAACTGTCGAAAAATACTGTTTAAACGAGTCAACAATATCTTGGGGTTTTGTTAAGGTAGTTTCATTATATTTCATCATACCAGGTAAACGGGATATTCCTTTTTTACTGTGGATAAAATTCCAAAACTGAGAAGGATCTGATAAAATACTGTTTTCTGCTGCCAAAATAAAATTACGATATTCGTTGTCAGCTTGAGTTTTTATCGTCCTTCGTAAAGAATCAAATCTTGTACGAGATGCTTCATCTCCATATCTTTTGTAGTTTTTATGTACTCGTTCTTTTTCTTTTATTTTATTTATTGTGTCTACGGAATACCATGGTGGGAACCTACGGGTCGGAATAATTTTTTTGGGTACAGTTCGGTCGAATATTCTATACAAAGTTTGTTGCAACATTTCAGTCGCTGCATTAGGATCCGTGCACTGATAAATATCACTCCAATCAATAGTCGACATTATTTCGTACATAAGGACAAAGTTTGCTTTGCGGAAATTGAAAACAGATTCAGCTTTGTTGGGACTAAAGTTAATGGTTCTGGTAATTCTAGTGCTAATAGTGAATTGTAATGTAGGATGATGTCTGTCTTCATATACAAGTGGTGTATCACTTCTTTCAATTCGACATTCACTATTACTGAAAACGAGGTCTAAGTATCTATTGTTATAATTTGGTATAATGTTATATTGTTGGAATTCAAACATTTCTGCGAAGCTCTTTACTATTATACATTTAGAGTCGTTATCATCATAGCCATACATAGGGATGTTGAAATCACCAGCAATTATGGTCGAGCTGTTATGACTGGAATTGAAAAGAGAAAAATTGTCAAAGAATATTTCAAAGTCCTCAAGCGAAATATCCGGGGGGATGTAAACAGCATATATATATATATAGTATGAAACCCTAAATGAAGTTTACCACCAACTAAATCAATCTTAGGACTACCTAACTTAATACCATCCAAATCAAGAGGCTCAAAAAAATAACAATTTTTGACAGCAATGAGTACCCCGCCTCCTTTGGATAAACGGGTATCTGCAAAATTTCTATCCTTCCTAAATACAGTGTATTCAGAAGGAAAAACTTCGGCATTAAAAACTCCTTCATTTAACCATGTCTCAGAAAGAAAAATTATATCAAAATTACAATTCAGGCTTAAATTATTATAAAAAATGGAAGTTTTAGAGTTAAGTCCGTTAACGTTTTGGTAATAGCAGTTTATTTCACTAACATAATTGGGTGTAGAATCTAAAAATTCACTATCTTCGGAACGCCGCCAACATATTTAATCTTCAAATTGGTTTCTCCTTTATTCTTCCTTTCCTCCAGTTCAGATTTGAGAGTCTTATAGAAATTCATTTGACGTGGCGTTTTGTCAGTAGAGATGGAAATATGTTTGAATTCCCTAGAGTTTCTCAACGACGGACATTTTTTTATGAGTTCACTTACCTGTTCGACATTAGCAAGCGTAACTTTTATGGGCCTTCCAATTGTCCTATTTTCATCAAATTTGCCAAGTCGTCTAATGTTTGTAACCGTAATTGAAGGTGTGATGTGGGTCAAGACTTTAACGACTTCAGACTTTTCTAAAACTGCCTTATCGTCTTTTGTCGCTCCATTCTGCTCCTTCAGCCCAAAAATGATTACATTGCATCTTCTATTTTGTCTTTCTGACACTTCTTGTACAATATCTTCAAACTGGCTATTAGACATCTTTGTATCGTTATTTTTTGTTGACAACGCTTTTACCTCATTTTGTAGAGCTACAATAGCTGCTTTCAAGGCATTTATGTCTCCCCCCATCTGCTCACATTTCCCACAGGTCCATGAGACTGATTTTTTTGAGTTTATGAGTCGCGTTTCTGAAGTTGACAGATTGACGCATACATGGTAAAAGCTTTTTCTGCAGACACAACAGGATAACAGTAGATGAGTATCAACTACCTTCGAGCAGCAGCTACACGTTTGCGACATGTTCAAACATTAATTGGTACGCCTCTGTATATGTAATCGAGGTTATGGCATATCACAGCCGAATTAATCAGGACATAATCAATTAGCTAACGATTATGCCGTAGTTTCCTTACCAACCTCTTCCAATATGATCCAATGGCACAATCCTCAGAAAGAACTAGCAATTTCAGCCACAAAAACTCTTGAAAAATACTACAAACACTGTAAGAAATATAGGCGTGTCGTCTCGTCGACAGACTCTCTACTTCCTAAATTTGCAACGTTTTGGCCGGTCTAGGCCCTCAACTGTTCAACCAGACGACTTTTGCACGATATAAACAAATATGTGCAGCTATGATGGAAAGAAACATCGAGGATGACGGCGACGTATCAATAGGATTTTGCTCATATAACTTCGTTATTGCTCTGGGAGTGTGCCAATTTTGGTTTATTAAATGCGGTTTGCTTATAAACTAGGTTAACCAGGTTATGCAGGTTTAATCGTTTAGGTACATGGTACAAAAAAATCCTTTATTATATTAAATGATAATATACAGTCATTACATATTTGTTTGCAATTTCATCAAAATATACCAATTTTGATTACATGTTTCCTACCTTTGAAAATGGTATTTTCTATAATAAAAATACATTTACTGTAACAAAATTTTAAAAAATCCCAGGAAAAAGCTAGAAAAATGCATGGTTAAACATGTTACATTCCTTACCCTGTAATTTTGGTATATAGTTTTACATATAAGTTATTACACCTTAATCAACTGAGGTTTAAACATTGTACAAACATTTTTATCATACAAGTTGAAGACATTTTAATATGTCGGTTAGTGAAACAACAGATCATTCATGTTTGTACTTTTATATAAACCTGTCGATAAATAGAAACGCACATCTATACTTAGTCATGAGGTTAATACCATAATTGTCAATTCCGCACAGGCCTGTGAACGAGTAATTGTCCTAAGCCTCTCCGGCTCAAGTTCACCCGATTGTCTCCCCCTTCATTATTTTCCCCCACTCCTCTCCTTTCGTTGTACGTTCTGTCTTCCATGCCATCGCTTTCAGTCACCAGTGCTCTCTCCAAGATCACTCTGCCCTCTTTGTATTTCTGGTTATCCTCGGTGGCAAACTCGTACATCCAACCGAGTTTGCAGTCGCAACTTTTGCAAGAAACGTCACGCACCTGTCAAGTGAAAATAACATATCCTCACAAGTTTTTGTCAAAATTCAATAAACAATTCTGGGTGTTGCATTTTATATGCCGGGTAATTCACAAGTCGTGACCAAAAATGAAACAAGACTACTTTTTAAGCATGTAACATTTCTTCCTCATTTTTTTTATATCCTCAAAACTTATAATTAAAGTGCACCAGTGACGATTATTTTATGTTATCTTGTTTTATTGGAATTAGTTTTAAATATTGCGAAAAAATTCAAGAGATGACTTTCGTCTGATGTTAAGTTTGGTCGTTTTAATTTGTTATTGTCCCTACACCCTGTATACGCATAAGACAGGAATGATATACATACCATATGACGTCCAGTGAGCATAACACGATCTTGAACCTCACTGTAGGTCAAATTAACGACTCTGTTGAATAAAAAGGCTCTGCCAGTAGCACCTGTGAACCTTGTGCTGATGAGTTCATTGCGATTTGTGAGGTTGGTGTCACATCTGGCACACGAAAACAGGCGTGAGCCACCCATGTGTTCTAGGAATATCCTGCCCATCTTTCAAACAGCGAATCTGTTGAAATTTGAAGCTCGATTTTAATGGTGGTAGGATTCAATTGGACAGAGGATGAAAATGATCAAAAGCACACAGTTTTCCCTTCTAACTTACAGATATGAATAATAAACGTAATATCCCTGCTGTAGCCAGTAAATTTAACACACTATCACGTATTTCTCGGCTATTGTCTAGTATTCATAACAGCAAATATACGCTCGTAATTTAAGGAAAATTTGCAACCAGCAAAGAAACCACAATCTGAAATAGGAGATATCACTGGAAATAGCACCTACCAGCTGTTCTATGAAAGATAATGTAGAGAAAACTGCGAAAATTCCAAGTCAACAATGAAAGGAAATTTTAAATCAGCTGTTGACCACAAGCAAAACTCTTTCGTGCTGTCAGCTGTCACTGTCAGCAGCTCTTTTGTTTCGTTGAGCGAGTGATGGGGAAATGTTTCGTTGCACAGTGAAAGATTCATTTGGTCCATCACTACAGTCTGTGTCAACATCCCGAGATTTTTGCTCGAGTTGTACAAGGACAGACACGTACTGAGAAAGAATGGCGTCAAGTAGATTGACTCCCTGAATCGTGATGATTCTTTGACCTCTGCATATCAAACTATACAGGGTGTTTTCAAAGTTAAGTCATTTATCTTAACTGCTTGTAGGACTCGTCAAAATGAATTTATACAGGGTGGCGCATCGAAAACGAAACAGACGCATTTATTGGCAGCTCCGTTTTTTTTTTGAAAAACGCTCAGACCCGTCGATTTTGTTTTCGAGGGGGACACAAGTTTGGCAAAAAATCACGTTAGCACGTGCAGCCCCCTGAGCGGGGGTGACACCACCCCCATCTAGTATTCATGACATCAAATATGCGTAACAGCAAATATACCCTCGTAATTTAAGGAAAATTTGCAACCAGCAAAGAAACCACAATCTGAAATAGGAGATATCACTGTAAAAAAACACCTACCAGCCGTTCTATGAAAGATAATGTAGAGAAAACTGCTGAAATTCCAAGTCAACAATGAAAGGAAATTTTAAATCAGCTGTAGGCCACAAGCAAAACTCTTTCGTGCTGTCAGCTGTCAATGTCAGCAGCTCTTTTGTTTCGTTGAGCGAGTGATGGGGAAATGTTTCGATGCACAGTGAAAGATTCATTTGGTCCATCACTACAGTCTGTGTCAACATCCCGAGATTTTTGCTCGAGTTGTACAAGGACAGACACGTACTGAGAAAGAATGGCGTCAAGTAGATTGACTCCCTGAATCGTGATGATTCTTTGACCTCTGCATATCAAACTATACAGGGTGTTTTCAAAGTTAAGTCATTTATCTTAATTGCTTGTAGGACTCGTCAAAAGGAATTTATACAGGGTGGCGCATCGAAAACGAAACAGACGGATTTATGGGCAGCTCCGTTTTTTTTTTTGAAAAACGCTCAGACCCGTCAATTTTGTTTTCGAGGGGGACACAAGTTTGGCAAAAAATCACGTTAGCACATGCAGCCCCCTGAGCGGGGGTGACACCACCCCCATCTAGTATTCATGACATCAAATATGCGTAACAGCAAATATACGCTCGTAATTTAAGGAAAATTTGCAACCAGCAAAGAAACCACAATCTGAAAAAGGAGATATCACTGCAAAAAACACCTACCAGCCGTTCTATGAAAGATAATGTAGAGAAAACTGCTAAAATTCCAAGTCAACAATGAAAGGAAATTTTAAATCGGCTGTTGGCCACAAGCAAAACTCTTTCGTGCTGTCAGCAGCTCTTTTGTTTCGTTGAGCGAGTGATGGGCGTGTTGAGGAAATGTTTCGTTGCACAGTGAAAGATTCATTTGGTCCATCACTACAGTCTGTAATACAAGTCAACATCCCGAGATATTTGCTCGAGTTGTACAAGGACAGACACGTACTGAGAAAGAATGGCGTCAAGAAGATTGACTCCCTGAATTGTGATGAGTCTTTGACCTCTGCATATCAAACTATACAGGGTGTTTTCAAAGTTAAGTCATTTTCTTAACTGCTTGTAGGACTCGTCAAAAGGAATTTATACAGGGTGGCGCATCGAAAACGAAACAGACGCATTTATTGGCAGCTCAGTTTTTTTTTTAAAACGCTCAGACCCGTCGATTTTGTTTTCGAGGGGGACACAAGTTTGGCAAAAAATCACGTTAGCACGTGCAGCCCCCTGAGCGGGGGTGACACCACCCCCATCTAGTATTCATGACATCAAATATGCGTAACAGCAAATATACCCTCGTAATTTAAGGAAAATTTGCAACCAGCAAAGAAACCACAATCTGAAATAGGAGATATCACTGTAAAAAAACACCTACCAGCCGTTCTATGAAAGATAATGTAGAGAAAACTGCTAAAATTCCAAGTCAACAATGAAAGGAAATTTTAAATCAGCTGTAGGCCACAAGCAAAACTCTTTCGTGCTGTCAGCTGTCACTGTCAGCAGCTCTTTTGTTTCGTTGAGCGAGTGATGGGCGTGTTGAGGAAATGTTTCGTTGCACAGTGAAAGATTCATTTCGTCCATCACTACAGTCTGTAATATAAGTCAACATCCCGAGATTTTTGCTCGAGTTGTACAAGGACAGACACGTACTGAGAAAGAATGGCGTCAAGTAGATTGACTCCCTGAATCGTGATGATTCTTTGACCTCTGCATATCAAACTATACAGGGTGTTTTCAAAGTTAAGTCATTTATCTTAACTGCTTGTAGGACTCGTCAAAAGGAATTTATACAGGGTGGCGCATCGAAAACGAAACAGACACATTTATTGGCAGCTCCGTTTTTATTTTTGAAAAACGCTCAGATCCGTCGATTTTGTTTTCGAGGGGGACACAAGTTTGGCAAAAAATCACGTTAGCACGTGCAGCCCCCTAAGCGGGGGTGACACCACCCCCAAAATCTTAAATGGAAAGGGGGGTCGAGTGATACCTTATTTTAATGGTCTTTCAATTCCCTTCATAATGATATAAAATCAATGTACTTCAGTTCAGTAGTTTTGAAGATTTATTGATTTAAAGCTTAAATAAAACTAATACGAGTACATCATCATCACAAGTCCGTGTTTCTTAGTTATATCGGTTTGACAATCCATGTTTGTTGTATATCAATGTGTCCTAAGTGCTGAATCAATCTACTTGACAAATTTTTCAGAGAATAACATAGACGGGGTAACACAAAGTAATATATTCTTTCTCGCCAGTTTTGGCATATGAAGTGAAAATACAATCTGTTTTTGTAACCATAACTGGTTAATTTTTCAATAGAAGGATCATTACTTTTGTACCCATCAGATTCGGTATTATTTTGTTCGGGAAGGTTAAAAGGTATAAAGAAATAAACATGTTTAACTTGGACTGTTTTAATAACAAATCAAAGAAATAAATTTAATGAGGCAGTCAACTTATACAGCCTATTTTTAATTATACAGCTAATTTGGCAATTAAACCATAACATTGATAAACACCCGCAAAAATAGTAGAGGTTTATCAAAGAAATCACTAACCATCGTGAATGCGGTTTTATATACAACACTAGATGTTTGATTGTCCCTGTGGCAAAACATATACATATTTTGACCATCAAAGAATATCACATTTTTGTCTGGAAAGGAACTCGGCAATCAATGATCTGGGACGGGATTTTCCTTGAAAATTTTGCCACTAGAACATTCAAACGCAATATTCTGACATTTCCATATTCGTCTTGTCAGCTGAAATTGGTCAAAAAATGCTTCTGATTCTGTATGTAGGCGTTTCATATTTTTAAAAAGAATCCACTTCAAATAGTAACTCGTATATTTTGAGATCCAAACATTCATATTCTAAGATGTTTTACAATATCAGGTCACATAGTGTCGTAATATAGCTCTTTAAATGTATTTATGTGGTTCTCGCAAGTCCATTCAAATTGAGAGGCCTGATGATGTAATAAGTATAGAAAACTTAGACAATAAATAAAGTAAGTTGTTAAAAGATGCGAATTTTAATATTGATGCTAATTATTAATGGTAAAGCTTTTCTGATATTGGCCGAATGTCATTGGTATTTAAGGGAAAAATGCCTCTTACGCTGTACATATAAATCTAACATCACAAATCCTTATACAAAAAAGTAACATGTATTTTCAATCTCGAACCCGCATAGTCCATATGCTCGATTTTCTAAGTCCAACTGTCGGCCTGGCGACCGAACTGAATTTGAATTTGTTAATTTCTACTTTGGCTCCTAATGAAGCCTGCACCCCCTCCATCTCGGCGGGGTCGTAGTATCCGCCGTGAATGTCCAAATACGCCAAAGTGTATATTCTCTTCAAATGCCTACAAACGCGGAAAATGACACACCTAACACAGAGAGAGTGAGTTCCCAGTGCTACCAGATGTTACTTATTTCGGCAAAATAAAGGGCATTCAACAGTCGTCGTCAAGCCGCACTTTTTAAATTACAGACTTAAACCCTGTGATGATCTCTTGATTCCCATTTGAAGAAACGCTCCAAAAGCTTGACGACAATGCCGTCATTGAACTTGATAATGTTGTATACCACACTAGAAAAAATTCCCAAAATGTCCACAAGAAAGGCAGAAATTCAACAATGAGATGTTAGTTTTTATGAAAATATGATCAAAGCAGATCTTATCCACCGAGTTAGGCAGCACAAATACAAATATAATCTTAATGTTATTGACGAAATGGTTAAAAAACAAAATAAGACTGTTTTAAGGCTACCCCCTTATCACTGCGAATAAAATCCCATTGAAATAATTTGGGCAGATATGAAAAACTATGTGCCTCAAACAATAGAACATTCAAATTTTCTGTTTTTCACGTTCAATAGACGATCGAAACAAAGATAAGGGATATGATCGATATTCAAATTGAACCTGTAATAATTAATATATCATGCGGACGCTGATTTAAGTACTGCCAGCGAATAAAGAATTGTGAAAAGTATGTGCACTTCTTTCTGTAAAAATAATCATTTACTTTGTTAGATTATTCCAAGACCATTGAAGAAAATACGGAACTGTACAATTTCGCTTTTGGCCATGTTGTGTTTTGTCTGGTCGTAAATGGGGTATATGTAGACTGACACTGTCCATCGCTCTGTCCAATAAAAAATTGAAATTTGTAGTAATGGTGACTGAAAGATCATCACAGGGTTGTAGATTTTCCCGATTTTGAAACGTACCAGACTTAGATTCTTTTTTTAATTTTTCTGATAACGATTACGACTTGTCTATCCCCGACGTCGACTTCTGGGACACCTTATTCAATGCACCAGATTTTATCTTTCAAAAAATAAGTAATGCCTGGCAGCACTGAAATCTTGGACTGTAACATTCTAGAGACGAAAAATAAGTTAAATGAAAAATAAGTCGACTATGAGGTCAAATATCGGGTTTTCCAACCGGTACTTGACAACTTTGAACTTTCACTGTGGAATCAATTACCGACCTGTCAATGTCAAAACATTCATAAAGAAATCATTTTCATCATGGCGAAGTACACGAACGAACAACGCTTTTGCAGTCTTTCAAAAATGGAATTATTTGCTAAATATAGAATAGTCGAACAGTACAAGAAATTTGGAAGAATGATGGTATTATAGATAATTTTTCTACTATATGAACTTAGACATCCAGAAACTCTCGATAAATATCCCACTTTACTACTAATCTTATTTATAACTTTTTCATAATGAATATCAAAAATTAATCGAGAGTCAACAAAAACCCCCAGGTATTTAAAATTTTCTACGAATTCAATATCTTCACCATCAATATTCAGTTGAACATTTGTACATTGTTTTTTATTTCGATTAACAAGGCTTCCGTTTTACTTGCATTTAATTTTAGTCTGTTAGATGCTAACCATTTTGAGACAAGCTTCAAGTCTTCATTTATATAAGAGATACCAGACTGAATATTTTTAGTACTTATATAAATCATAGTGTCATCGGCGAAAATCTGAATTTTGCATTTTTTGACCATGGCAGGTAAATCATTTATGTATAAAATAAAAAGAAGTGGTCCCAGGATACTGCCCTGTGGAACACCCAACGTATTTTCAATTTTTGATGAAATAGTGTCATCAACTTCTGTAACTTGCATCCTTTTAGAAAAATAATTTCTAAACCAATCTAAAACACTTCCTGTTATACCATATGCCTTCAATTTACCTAACAAAATATCTCTATCAATCGTTTCAAATGCCCTCTTCAAATCCAAAAATACTGCTGTGACAACTTCTTCTGAGTCTATGGCTCCTCTCCAATTCTCAGTTACCAACTGGAAAGCTGTTTCTGTGGAATATTTTTTTCGAAAGCCTGCTTTCGCCTCCACTAAAATTTTGTTTTCTTCTATAAACTGCATTAATTGGTCATGCACCATGGACTCTAATAATTTTTCAATGTCTGGTAACACATTTACTGGTCTCATATCGCTGCGTCTTTTAGAATTTTTTATTTTGGGAACTGGTGTTATTGTAGAGCATTTCAAATTTTCAGGAAAAGAACTGCTTCTCAGTGAACAATTGATCCAATTTAATACAGGATATCCCAAAATTTCGAAACAGTTTTTCAGCACGTTTTTAGTAGTGATTTCGGCACAGTTGTTATTTGATTTTAAACTGTTTACTTTTTTTCTTAGATAATTCAATGATACGCTGTGACATTTTGAAAGTGTATGCAACATTTCCCCCTGGAAACTGATTTTCATATAGTCAGGTGCAGCATTGGCAGTACCCACAATATCAACAATACTTTCCACAAAATATTCATTTAGTTTGTTTGCAATCACCAAAGAATTTGTTTCGGTACCGTTTTCGAATTGAACTTGATTTACACAATCATGCGGCTTCGATTTGATCAGTCTTTTTAAAGTCTTCCACATCTTTACACTGTCGCACTTGTTATTATCGATTTTGTTTATCGTAGAATTTCCTTTTTTCTTCTCTAATTACACATACACATTTATTCCTAAGAGTTTTATATACCTCCCAATCATCATTTGATTTTGTGAATATACATTTATTGTATTGTTTGTCTCTCAAATTTTGAGCTGCCTTAATATTCTTGTTATACCATGGTGTATTTTTTGTCGAGCAAATCAATTTTTTATCAGTTGCAAGATCTAAACAAGTTTTTATATTTCCTATTGTCGATAATATTGTTGCCGTTCAAGCTTCCATCGTCGTTCTCAAGAATTGGGCATCGCTCAGACCACACTATGGCGAATTTTACGAAGAGATCTTGGCCTGCACCCTTATAAGATCAAGAACTAAAACCGTTCGCTCATATGAACCGACGTACGTTCTCGAATTGAGCTCAAGAAATGTTTCGAGGAATCATCGCAAAATCATCTTCAGTGATCATCCACAAAAAAAAAACGGAATGGTATGGTTTTCATGCTGGTGGTGTCATTGGGCCGTTTTTTTTGTTGATGAAAATGACTGTCACGTTACAGTCAACGGAGACCGCTACAGAGACATGTTGCAACGTTATTTTTTTAGTCAATTGGATGGGCAGACATTAATGACATGTGGTTTCAACAAGACGGTGCCACAAGCCACACAGCGGGTGAAACAATCGACGTATTGAAATCAAAATTCGGTGAACGTAAAATGGTCGCCTAGATCGTGTGACTTAACACCTCTAGACTTTTTTTGTGGAGCTAAATTGAACCGAGGTCGAATTCCATACATAAAAGTTTAGAGTACTTCAATCAAATAATAAAATTTTCGAGATATCTCAAATGGTTTGCGTTTTATTTGAAAACAAAGTTGTCAAGTCGTTAACGGAAAACCCTTTAGAAGAAAAAAGTACGAAACAAGAATAGTGGGCGCGCTGATGGAAACACTCACCGGAACGACCTATGAGGTATTAAATAGCATCTAGAGAGAGCGAGAAAATTCAGGTCTTCCAAAGTGGTGATATGTTTGACCGATTCGCCGCTGATCGTCGTGCAATCGGACAAGTCTAATTCTCTCAATCTGGGACATCTGACGACCAAATCGCCGACATCTGCAAAGAAATTACGCAATATTGTACTCTTCCGATGCATATAACACTCTCGAGATAACTTACTTTCATCTGATAACAATTTTCGGCATCCCGACAAATTCAACCTATCCATCGTGGGCGGTAAATTTTGGCACAGATACTGGATTGAGCTTTTGTTCATATTCGTCCATGCTATATTCAGTTCTCTTATACTGAAACAGAGAACGGCATTGGAGTTAAACAGGGTGTTTTCATAGTTGAGTCATTTAGTTTAACTGCTTGTAGGATTCGTCAAAAGGAGTTTTTGTTGTTGTTATTGAATATTTATTTAGCATAATGCTACAATGTCAATTTTGTATAATGATTCGGTTACATATTTTTCTTCAAACCGTTTTCTGTAATTTTACATTCTTGTCTATTAAAATTACGTCACTATGTATTTTGATTATTCATGAAGTGATTTTTCAATTACACCTTAAACATTTTTAAATTCGAACTTTGTTTAATATCATTATTCAATTTATTAAATACACATACTCCCTTTTGAAATATAGATTTACTAGTTATGCTACTATTACAATTTTGCAGATGAAAATCTATACTGCCTCTAGCTATGATAATGACTATTTAATTTTGTGAGGTTCTCTAAATGTGGTGGTAATAAATGATTTTTTAATTTGAATATGAAAAAGAGAACTAAATGATATATGAAATTTTTCACAATCAACCACTGCAGTTCTTCTAACATAGACTTAATCCTAGTATATTGTTTTTATTTAAAATGATTCTCATAGCTTTATTTTGTAGAATTTGTAATTTTGAAAATCATTTGCTGTAAACAAATTGGTTGAACAATATAAAAAATGGGGAAGAATTATAGTGTTATACACATTTTTTTTTGAATACATACTAAGATTATGGGAAACTCTATAGAAGTAATTTATCTGTTTCAATATTCTTGAAATAATATATTCATCAATGTTCGTGAAACAGAAGTTTACTATCCACATATATACCAAGCTGTTTAAAAAAAAAAAATTAGCTCTAATTCAATTCCTTAAAAAATATATAAAATAAACCTTGTCTGGAATTCGTAACTATTCAGTTTTATCCACCCCTTTTCTTTCTTTCTTACCGTCTCTCACAATGATCAGATAATATAAATCCATTGACAACATTTTGTGGCAAATGGACTCCAGTTTCCAATGCCAATATTTTGACACACACACACAAGCTATATAGTTCCCTGGTGAACTACTAACAGAAAATATCCTCGTATCGACAACCTCTCACTTACTTCCTACAATTGGTCAGCAAATACTTGAGCCCGTCCTCCATGACGCCCTGACACATGGCCATGTTGATCACCTCAAGATCTTTATTCGCAGACAGCGCGATCAGCGCCGCATCATTGACAGCCACGTTCTCGAGACTGAGCTTCTTCAGGCGATTGCATTTGGAAAGCAACACGGTGAGGCTTTCTGTGCAGATCGACGCCATGCTCAGGTCCAGATAGAGCAAACGGGAGTGGAAATCGTGCTGGGCGGCCTTGCACCCCGGCATTATCGGAGGATATGATATCTGCAATGTAAAACACACGGCGTCATGCATACGAGTATACTGTTCAAAAATGTCACAATAGTTTTCATTTAAATGTACGTAATCTACCAGAAATCAAAGTCGAAAAGATTATACAATATATATATGATAAAGAAAAACACCTTTCCAAACGTTTATTCCTGGAAATGTCCCACATTTTCATGAATAACAACTGTATCAACAAAAAGACAGATGTTAAACAACTGAGTGTCATTTACTCATATTTGCTAAACTGCGAAAAATTGGAGAACTTACATATCTCCCCAAATTTCAACTCTTCACAACCATAATTAGAATCTGTGTTTTGGCCGATTCCACCAGTAAATTTCATTCCACTCAAAATATAATAATTCTCTCCTCACGATTTATTAATAATTGTTAATTCAAATTCCCATTAATAATAATATAGTTTATTCAACTGACTCTGGTCGGTTTAACAAATTCTAACATAAAATTCTGAAAATCTCATCATCTGAAGTGATTTGGCAACGTTTTGGCACACGCCCACAATTCGTTCCATCTTTCAATACTGACATTGACATCCTTCGGCCTTCTGTCAAAGGGTTTCATGTCACTCATCATTCCATGACCACTAATTTGTGCAATCATCAAGTGGCTTCACGATGTAATGCTCTAATTAATTTTTTAAATAATTTTTAATCTGTTTTTAACTTGTTCTTGTCATATTTTATATAAGTTTGACTATTGTACAATCTATCCAGCTCTCACCATGTTACTGGACGTTTCCCTCATCCTATACGTAAACAACAATTAGCAACATCCTCACATACTACTGTAAGTTGAGTCAATTTAAATTCATTTTACACCTTTGTTGCTACTGTTATCATTGTAATTGCAGCTCCTGATGATGATGGCAAAGTCCATTGAAAGCTAGAGAGAATTAAAAAAAGTATAAAGAGTCCTCTTTGCTTAAATTTTGTCGAAGTACCCACCAAAAGGCGGAAGCTTTAATTTTTCACCTAACTGGTCTAGACGACAATGACCACGTCTCAAGTTATATATATGTATATATATATATATATATATATATATATATATATATATATACAGTGAAAGCTCTCCTTGGGGACAGCTCCTATAAGCGGACATCTCTTTTAACCGGACAAAGTTCCTGGAACCGAATTTCAGCCATCAATTTTCAATGTTAAATGCATTCCGATAAACGGACGCTCTTATAAACGGACGCGGACACTAGATTTTCCTGTATGTGATCAAAAAATCTCCCATAAGCGGGCGCGAAACTCTAATACCCGGACGATTTTTTAGTTCCGCTTATTGCAATGCACATATCTACATACATAAAATTCGGTAATTCCCCGATTTATATTAGGTGATTCCCCATTTACGCATTTCGTTGGGTAGCCTGTATGTAATCTTGTCGCTTGTCTTCAGTTCAGGCAAATTCGTAGTTGATTGAGTTACGTATTTTATTATTGTAACTGTAAAATGGCACCAAAAAAAAAGGATGCTCTCGTTAAAGGAAAAGATGGAAGTAACGTATTAGACAGAGAAAGTGTTTCAGTTCGTCATTTGGCAAAGAGGTTTAATATTGGGAAAACGCAAGCAGCTGAAATTGCCAAAAATAAGGAAGATATCAGGAGTAAATGGCAATCAGGAACTAATATAAATCAAAAGAAGGATTTTTTAAAAAAGGAAGGTTTTGCTATAGACAAAACATGTTTTGAGTGGTTTGTGAAAGCTAGAAGTCAGAACATTCCAATCTCAGGGCCGTTAGTGAAAATGAAAGCTAAAGAAATCGCCACTACTTTGGGCTATAATAATTTCAGTGCGTCCGACGGGTGGCTGCAAAAGTGGCGCAAGAGACATAGTGTGAGTTTCAAATGCATATCTGGCGAAGCTGCTGCAGTAGATCAAGTTGATGTGTCACAATTTTTGGAGAAACTTCCGTCCATGTTGCTTGGCTGCAAACCAGAAGATGTGTACAACGCAGATGAGAGTGGACTTTTTTTTCGCGCATTGCCCGACAAAACTCTGTCCTTTAAAGGAGAAACATGTGTGGGTGGAAAGTTGTCTAAAGATAGACTAACCATTTTATTTTGTGCAAATATGGCCGGTGAAAAATGCGATTTGATTGTGATCGGGAAAGCGGCTCGTCCCCGTGCTTTAAAAAACGTTGCTATTAAGGATCTACCAGCGACTTGGAAATCCAACAAAAAGGCATGGATGACCCGAGAAATCATGTCTGAGTGGTTAGTCGAATTCGACCGGAAAATCAGAATCCAAAAAAGGCAAGTTCTTTTATTTTTAGACAATGCATGCTCTCATCCTCGCGATTTGAAAATGAAAAATGTGAAAATTATATTTTTACCGCCAAACACAACTTCTGTTTGTCAGCCCATGGATCAAGGTGTCATACAGAACTTTAAATTTTATTATCGGCACTTGATTTTAAAACATATTTTAACAAAAATTGACGATGGTCAAAGCTTATCTGAGCTTACAAAGTCTATCAATGTGTTAGAAAGCTTTGTATTTTATAAAAACAGCATGGAATAAAGTAAATTCCTCTACAATTAAAAACTGTTTTGGCAAAGCTGGATTCAGAAAAAGTGAATGTAGCTCAGAATTTGCTGAGCAAAATTATTGCGATGCTGAAGACGATCTGCCCTTAGTGACACTTGCTCAGTTACTGCGACATGCCAAACATTTAGGAGTAGCAGATCCCCAGAAAGTAGATGATTTCCTGGCCATAGACAATAACATAACAACAGAAGAAAATGCCATTGGCAACTTTTCGAATTTGGATGTAGAAAGCCCAGGCCAACTTGAATATGGTAGTCCAAACGACTCAGAAGAAGTGGAACTGGTGGACTCACTAAGCGGTTCAAAAACGATAAATTCATATGGGGAAGCTCTAAATAATATTTCTATATTGAAAAAATTTGCTAAAGATGATTTCACTGCATTTCAACACTTGAAAAATTTAGAAAGTTATTACGAAAATTGTCTCCTTCCGCAAAAGATGGTGAAATTTCGTCAGACAAACATTTTAAACTTTTTTCAACAAGCTAAAGAATAATGTTTTTTTTAAATTCTCGTACCATGTATTGAAGCATTTATGTTTTTGTATGCGTATATGTACATATATTATATAGATATATAGCATAAATACATACTTTAAAAATGTGGCGAGTTTCTGTTTCATTTTTCTCATGATTATAATACCTCATTTCCTCATGATTATATACCCCGTTATTTATACTCTATACTTACATACTCTCTTTTAAACGGACACCTCCCATAAGCGGACAAAAGTTACGGAACCGTGAGTGTCCGCTTATGGGAGCTTTCACTGTATATATATATATATAACTTGAGACGTGGTCATTTTCGTCTAGACCAGTTAGGTGAAAAACTAAATCTACCGCCTTTTGTTGGGTACTTCGACAAAATTTAAGCAAGGAGGGCTCTTTATACATTTTTAATCTCTCTAGCTTTCAATGGTCTTTGCCATCATCATCAGGAGCTGCAATAACATTAAGAAGAAGTAGCAACTATTGTGCAAAACGACTTTAAATTTCTTACAATAGTATGTGAGATTGTTGCTAAATGCTATTAAAGGTTAAGTTGAGGGAAACATTTAGTAAGCTGGTGAAAGCTGGATACCAGGTTACTGTTTCCCTCTACTTAACCTTTAATAACATTTAACAACAATCTCACATACTATTCTAAGTAATTTAAAGTGATTTTGTACAATAGTTGCTACTTCTTCTTAATGTTATTGCAGCTCCTGATTAAGATGGCAAAGTCCATTGAAAGCTAGAGACTAATAAAGTATAAAGAGTTCTCATTGCTTGAATTTTGTCGAAGTACCCAACTAAAGGCGGAAGCTTAATTTTTTACCTAACTGGTCTAGACGACATTGACCACGTCTCAAGTTTTATATATATATATATATCAGATTGATCTCTAAGGCATGTTATTCATGGAATGATTCTTTTGGGGATAAGGATAGTCTTACTCTAGAGTTAATTTTGTACTGCAGGGGATTAGATCATTGTAGTTTCTTTTATAATTAATTTTAGCTAGCTAGTATACTTCTCTAAATAAAAAATTATCTATTTAGTTGCCATTCTAGATCATCACCAAGTACACGACTTGGATTTTTTTATATTTTTTCCCATTCCCCGAATGAGGTTTGACGTCGACTTCTAGGACTTCCTGAATAAATAATCTACATGGAAATTACCTCTGACCTGGCTAGCCTCAAAACAATAACTTGTTTACTGATTATCTGTCCTAAGTCGCCAGGATACAGGTGTTTATTTGACGCGTCCAACCTTCTCCATAGACTCTCATCTTTGCTCAGCCTGTTGAATCTCCTACATACGAATGACATGTCCCTGAGGTACCATTTGGGAAGGCACTTGAATATTTGCAGGACGATTTCATCCGACAGAAGGTCGAAATAATCTGAAAAGGGTTTCAATGAGAATACTATTATTGAAAAGTTTTTTGTGACTTCTGTATTTTGACTAGAAGTTAGTTGTCTTAGGCAGATGCGACTAACGGGAAAATCAATTTAATCTAATATAAAAACGTTATAAACAAAGAACAGATTCACATACTTATTTTACTATTTGGGCGAATGACCGGTTTCTTTACTAGAAGTGCATCATATTCTCCTAAGGTAAGTTTATCCAGAGAATCCTTGGTCAAAGATGATTCCAACAAAGATAACTGAAAATTAAAATAATATCTAAATATTTGGAATATCCGTAAAATACATAGGAATCTTTCATATACTCAGTGACACTAGAAGTGTTACACCTAGAAAAAATAATTCATTTGTATATGCTAAAGCAACTACCCAGAAGTATTTTATAGAAAAAATAAACAAAGTATAACCTTATTTGTAGATGCAGCTAAAGACCACAGATGAAAAGGTTTGTTTTTCAAATTTAAGAAAAAATTCAATATCTCACTTTTATATAGGTAAGTTTTTATTTGATAGGTCAGTCCAAAGAATACCTTCCCCTTAAGTTTGTCGTGGTACTTATTGGACACTGTATTAATGCATAAAGTCTATATAAACATGGGTCGAAAAATGCGTGGCTTCCGAAATACAGGGTGTTTAAATTTACTTTCTAAAATAGTTTTTTTTAAATATTTCGAACAATATTTGATGTATAACAGTGAAAATTGGTATACAAGGGTTTTTTTGGTACGACAAAACGAACCATGGGCATAGTTTTACTGTAGCCACTAGAGGGCGCTCTCTACTGTACCTGCAGTGTATTAAAATGACCGAAAATTTTATCTTAATGCAATTTTTTGCTATTTGAATAAAAAAGCTGATTCTTCGCACTTTTTAACATAAAAAAGCTCTCTTGTGAATTTTCGTTATAGTTAGCCGTTTTTGACATATTTCGATGTTTAAGGTTCGATGCATTTTTAATTATTTATGATAAAATAACGTTAAAGTCAGTATCTCGATAATTTTTAGAAGTAGGCTGTGCCTGCAAATATTTTTGAAATTGAAAGCAGAATAAGGTTAAACGTCAATTAGTTGACACTTAGTTTTGTTGTATGTTGAAACCTGAAACGTTTTTTTGCAATTGTGAATGCACGAAATTTAGTTTCTTTTACCTGTTTTTTTTCGTAAGTTTTATAAAAATGCCATTTTTATTCTCCAATCAAGAGTTAGCGGATATTCATTTTGTGTATGGCTTTGTAAATGGAAACGCAGCAGAAGCAGCCAGAGAATACTCACGAAGATTTCCAAACAGACGACATCCAACTCGCTCAGTATTTGCAAGAGTGCATCGCCAAATAATTGAAAATGGTTTTGGAAATCTACAAATGGATCAAAACATAAATGTTCGTCAGCGCAGATTTACCCGTATGATTCTGTGTGAGTTTGATAGAGATCCGATCACAAGTGTTAGGAGAGTTTCTGGTGCCTTAGGAATTTCAGCAAGCCATGTTCACCGCGTTCTTAGAAATAACCATAGACGTCCTTATTTGCAACCTGTGCAAGGACTACAGCCAGGGACGGAGAACGAAGAATCACATTTTGTCAGTGGATTCTTGATAGAACTGATAATAATAGGGAGTTTTTAAGTAACGTTTTATGGACCGATGAGTCATGCTTCACTAGACGTGGAGTGGTAAATTTTCATAATCAACATACGAGGCACGTCCAGAAAGTAAGTGTACTGGTATTCTCACAGCTGTAGAGAATACTTTTTCGACATGTTGACAACACTGCCGCGTAGCCTGACCCCTCCCCTTCAAAAAGAGACCAATCTGAGGTTAGTGTGTTGAAAACTCTTGACGCAGTAACATCTCTCGCGAAAAATGTCGATCGTATCTCCCGCCAAGTGCGAAATTCGCGCCGTCATTCGCTACCTCGTTGTGAAGGGAAAAGCTCCGGTGAGACGCTAAAAAAATTGAAAAGGGTGATTCAGAATAAAAGTAGGGGCATGCTGACGAAGGGAGTCTGCCTGTTGCACGACAATGCCAGACCCCACACGGCCAACGCCACGAAGCAACTCCTGGACTCTTTTGGATGGGACGTTCTGAATCACCCCCCATATTCCCCTGACCTGGCTCCTTCAGATTTCCATCTCTTCACTCCCCTAAAGGGGCACATGGGTGGAAACAAGTTTTCAACGGACGAGGAGGTGAAGGGGGAGGTGGAGAAGTGGGCGAAAGATCTGGCGGGAGACTTCTTCGAGGCCGGCATCAAAAAATTGATCCCGCGGCTCACCACTTGCATCGAGAGGGATGGTGACTATGTCGAAAAATAACTTACATATGTACAAGTGTAACCAAGTATATTATGGTTTTAATACATTTTTTTTGAACCCTACATAAATTGAGTACACTTACTTTCTGGACGTGCCTCGTATTTGGTCGCATGAAAATCCGCATGCAGTTCGGGAAAGAAATTTTCAGCATGAATTTAGTGTGAACGTGTGGATTGGTATCTACCACAATCGACTATTAGGACCCTACCTTTTGCCTGCAAGGTTAAATGCTGCGACCGTCTTGGAATTTTTAAAAGCTGGACATGCAAATATGTGGGATGATGTTATGTTAGATTTAAGAAGATTGGCCTGGTTACAGCTTGATGGTTGTCCAGCTCATTATTCGAGAATAGTTATAAACTGGCTGGACGAAAATTATCCAGAAAGATGGATCGGCCGTGGAGGACCAGTCGCCTGGCATCCACGATCCCCTGACCTAAATCCATTAGATTTCTTTGTGTGGGGATTTCTAAAAGAAAAAGTGTACCAGACTCCCGTAACCACAAGAGATATGCTAATAGACAGAATCAGGAATGCATGTGATGAAATAAGGCCTTATTTGAATAATGCTATACCACGTTCGATCATTCGTAGATGTGAATTGTGTATTGAACAAGTGGGTTTACATTTCGAGCAACTACTTTAGATTTTGTATGTTTGTCCTAACTATCCAATAGCATCCAATATTCATTTAATTTGTTAAAAATAATATTGGAAAATTAAACATATTAATATTCTGTTTTTTGTGTTTATTTGGAGTTAGGAATTATTGCTGTGTTTAAAAACACAATCTAAACGATCATCTTAATTACTTGTAGTGCCCAAATCGAAAATGTAAAAAAAATATTATTTTCCCATAAATAATTAAAAATGCATCGAACCTTAAAAATCGAAATATCTCAAAAACGGCTAACTATAACGAAAATTCACAGGAGAGCTTTTTTATGCAGAAAAGTGCAAAGAATCAGGTTTTTTATTCAAAAAGCAAAAAATTGCGCTAAGTAAAAATTTTCGGTCATTTTAATACACTACAGGTACAGTAGAGAGCGCCCTCTAGCTACTACAGTAAAACTATGCCCATGGTTCGTTTTGTCGTACCAAAAAACCCTTGTATACCAATTTTCACTGTTATACATCAAATATTGTTAGAAATATTTAAAAAAAAACTATTTTAGAAAGTAAATTTATTTTGGAAGCCACGCATTTTTCGACCCATGTTTATATAGACTTTATGCATTAATTTTAAAAGTTCTATCGAATCTTAAAGTTATGCAACAATAAACTGAAACACCCTGTATAGGCTTCAGTTTACTACTTAGAGAATTATAAAGCCCAGAATTTAATAAAAAAACATTGCCACATCAGGGTTAGTCTGCATCATAGAAGCTAGCAGCGAAAGTGTTAAAAAAGAACCTCACGCAATATTTGCAATTTCAGAAGGTAATCCCAGTGGAAGACTCGCTATGATTGAAACGAGGGAAAAATATCAAGCATAGTTATAATGATTTGTGGGACTTCCACCAAACATTTTTTCGAAGACGCCCCCTTCCGTTTTGAGCTGGGTACGCCCTTGTACCTGTTGGCTCCTTGTGTTCGGTGACATCGAAACACAAGAGACATCGATAGCCGTTGGTTCTTGTTTGCAGAATATCGTGTCATCGTCAGTGAGCAAATCTTCAACATCACAGTCCAGTCTTCCAACTCCGTTGTCGCACTCTTCATTCGCATTGCCCCTGTGCAAGCTCCAACGGCCGCTTTCGTTCGAAGAATCGTTGCTGAGCTCTTCATAACGGGCACGTTTCCTGGATATTTAAAATTATACCTGTATTTATGAATAAAACTCATTTTTTCTGTCTATTCACCTTGCCGGCGACCTGTCAACGTTCATGTCTACTGGCTGCAATACTCCGGACATGGCGAACTTCGGTCTTTTTGGCACTTTTACATCCTACTTGGTTCCCTCCAAAACACCTGGCTTATCCATCAAATCCAGATGCCATAAAAAATAATGACAGGACACGGTGCATTAACATGACATGACAGCTGCATAGAATTTGACAAATGCCAGAAGCTAGAATTGCGAAATGTAGTGATGAGTTACTATTTGAATTGCTTGATTGATTCATGCAGATAGAGCAAATAAACTGATCATGATCAAGCATTAATAAAACTAGAAATAGAGAGCAGCACATAAAGTCACAAAATTACAGTATTTGGGAATTTGAGAGCTTACAAAGCTGACAGCTATGACCATGTTCATATTTTCTTAATGATTCAGTTATCAAACTAAATCTAAAATTAGGGTCTGTTAACTTTTTAACTAAATCTAAAGTTAGATTCAGTTTTATCGAACCAATTCATTATTTTTTTTATCGTTCCATCACTAAGACGCTTAGTTAAGTTCGATAGACAGCGCCACCAGTATTCTTTACTATCTTTTTCAGTAAGAGATGGCAGCACATCACATACAAACATACATCAATTCCTTGTTTTTAACATTCCTGGATTATTCGTCTAATCATAGTAGCAAATTTCCCCGAAATAATTATAAAGTTTCCAAGTTATCCAAGCGGTATTTAAAACATTTACGCATAGAATAGGTACATCAATTTTTGTGGGAAAACATTTTATTCGACAACAAAGAATGAGAAAACGTGTTTTTTGGGATTCAATCGAAAGTGTTGGCGGGAACGAAAAAACCCTTCGTATAAGATTTTCACGTATTTATGAGACCTACAGAATGAGACGACACGTAAATAGATCCGACTAATAGTAAATAAGTTATGGCCGAAAATCGAGGCAAAATGCAGGTTATGGCTCTTGTTGCTAATGCGAGGAAAATTTCACGCAGCTACTTGAAATTCCCGTAGGCTTCATACTTTTAAATAACCACAACAAAATTGGAGTAGATTGGTCAAGTAGTTTTTGAGAATTCTCAATTGTTTTTATCCCAAAACGTCTGTCTTCCGTCCATTACTACTAGTTTATTGATACTGAGCAATATACAGGGTTTGTCCGGAAAGTGATAGGACTGAGTCGATTTAAAAACATTTATTGAGCCAATCGTTACAATTGTTTAAAAACTTTCAAAATAGGCTCCTTCTTTCCTTTTCACGATTATTCTTCTTAATGCTCTTCGGTGGGCATTTGTGATAACACTTTTTTTGCACATATCGTGGCTTAATATTAACTGAACCAGTTACGTTATATCTTCTAACAATATTTCTCACACTGTACCGCGATAAGTCTAACAAAGTTGCAATTCCTAGAATTAAAAAATTTAATTATCAGCAACCGAATTTTCTCACTAATAACCTTTCCTCTACCCATTTTGAAAACCTTGACTACCCAAAACTATTTTAAATGTAATCTGACAGCTGTGATTAATAAAAACAATTGTCATGGCTATTATTTTTCACAGCCACCTATGCGTTATAGACTTATTTTGCATTGAAATGAAAATAGGTTGATATGCTGTAATTGCAACATGTGTTATTTTTATGCTGCAAATTTGATTAGGGATTTTATGAAGTTGGTGTTTTCTACTATATATTATCAAAATATTCATTGTTAATATTTTAAACCTATAACACCCTGCTACATTTTTATTATTTGTGTTTGATAAGAAAAAAACTAAGATTTCAATAGTTGGGCCAACTGAAATGGGAAGGGGCTCGTATATAGTCCGCAACGCAGGTACTCGTTGATTCAAGAAGGTTCCGGTGACCCGCATAGCGGCAGTCCAGAATCTTCAAGGTCACTTCACGTCGATGTCGAAGGAAAGTCCCTGCATGGTCCTCAACAGATGTCGCCAGCACCGAAGGAGGGTCTGGCGCGGTCCCCAACAGATGGCAGCAACAATACTATTCATTCTTGTTACACTATTATGACTATCCCGTTTCTGGCTTGACGTCGATTTCTGGGACTCTCTCTTCAATTTGTATATTGTCTATAGTGTAATATCTAAATGTAATATTTTTTTCGGCCCTTAAGCCTTAAACTTGTTTTTATTAGGTAGACATTTTAGACAAAAAGTTGATATTTGTGTGTCATTTAATGATATGCATTCAGGCCGTTTAGGTTGGTAAGAAAATTGATATCGTACATACCTATAGGGTGAAAATAATAAAAAATTTAATATTCGGTTCTTCAGAGGTGGAAACATTGGAATTGTAGTGCTGTAGAAGTGGTAGCGCTTTGAAGTTAGACTATGAGGATCGCTCGTTGCAACCCTTTCTAAGGCCCGTATCGTCAGTCGTCCCTACAATTATTGTAGGGCGCCTTAATGGCCTCCTTGATTGTCATAGTTTTCTATTTTTCCATGTCAGTGCTCTATTTTGAGGTTATGTCACAAACATCTATTTGCATCAAATTGTGCTTGCTTTTGAGTTATATCATGTTTTATCAGCCTGAAATTTCCTACAATTTAAAAGGAAAACACATCTTCACAATAGGAGAGCGCTGACGCTGACACGGGACAAGTGTAATCTAGAAATTTTTGAAGGGGAGAAAGAAGTATGACAATCAAGGAGGCCATAAACGCGCCCTACAATTGTAGGGACGACTGACGATACGGGCCTTAGTCCCTGCTATCTTTTTAACGAAGCTAGAGTCCACTCTTGCTATTCAGTTTCAGTACCATTCTCTAGATATTTGCAGTTACCAGTTACGAGTTAGCTTTGTATTTGTACTGTCTGTACCCCCTGTAGCACGCTAGTCGGCGCATTCCTCAGTGGAGGCTAAACGCATCGGATTGGTCGATCGGGGCGGCAGCGGCGGCGGCGACAGCGGTGACGTGTGACGTCACTCTCGCTCGCGACCGCTTTTGATAATAATGTGGATGTGGTATGCAAGATGGCCGCGTAGTTAGTGTTGTGTGTGGCAGTTGCTGTGAATCGAATGGATTTTCGTGTGGAATAATGCCGAGAAAGCGGAACGGTGAGATACCCCTGCCCGAAGGTTGGGATTACGGACGGGACTATGACGGGAAAGTATACTTTATCGATCATATCTCAAAGAAAACCACTTGGATCGACCCCAGAGATAGGTAAGTCGAATACCGCATTCCTCAGTGCTCTACGATAATGCGCTTATTCGTTTCTATCTAGCAAGCTTTGCAAGCTTGACGCTCTAGGAATGTATCTCGCTTTTGACTGGTTTTTGCGCTTTGCGCGTATGATGGGCCGAACAACCTTAGAAATTCCTGACCTAAAATTTGATACACGACCTGCAAAAGTTTATATAAACATTCCAAGACGACTTCTGCGGCATGTGCATCTGCAGTGCGTTCAAAATTAAACGTGTAAAAGCCGATGTGCGAGATGGATTCGGGACATAAGGTCGAATTTCTCTCTCGGAGTTTAATAAAAATCCCGCATTCCTTACATTCCATCGCTTTCAGAAATTTTACATTTAAAAAACATATCTCGCGGAGCATGTGCTGCCATCGTTAGGGAAATATGCGCAAACGAAAAAATAAATAGTAGATTGTTGTGTCTAAAAATATTTACAGTCTTTCCGTGAATACAATTTACGTCAGTGGAATTAAATGCAAATCAAGATATCTTGTGAAACCGAAGAGATATAAAACTGACATACGCGATTATGCGACGAATTCGCTCAACTGTTGACGTTCACTTGTTTTTAAAATGCATGCGGCCATTCCACGGTACATTAATTGATAATGAGCCTGTTATTTTGTTTATTTAGATAGGATGAGGGGCACTTGCAAGCATTTTCGTAATTTATTCATTAGATTTGAACCACGCGAACAAGCTGTTTATTTTTATTTAAAGTTCCCAAATTTCGTTTCCTACCGTTGTTTTGTGTCCTTTGAACTGTCAGCTCTTGTACTGTTTGCGATTAGGTACTTAAGGTTCCCCATTTCTATATGCGTATTTTCAGCAATCGCGTTATTTATTTTTTAAAAATGAGACCTAGTATTTTTGTTTTTACTTTATATGAGACGGTTCGCGAAGATTTTGAAGTTAGAATAGTTCGATTTTTTACTGTTGTGTACTGCTGATTTCTATATGGTGAATTTTTTGCCATGGTCATTGTTCATTCACGGAATCGGTTCTTTTAGGAAGTCTGCCGATATAATTAGAATAGGTAGTAAGTAGTATTTAATGCTCCTCTTCTCCGCTTATAGAATGCGCGCGCGCGCGCGGTTTTTCTGCAGGGGGCATGACCTTGAGGCTGACCTTCAACTCTTTAGGTATAATTCGGTGGTGCTGAATATTTATCTTTTTCATGGTTCGTAATTCAAAGAATTCCAAATAGTTTCGTATGTTTACAAGGAGTATTATTCCGAATTTTGCGTATTTTTGAGAATTGAACTTGGCTATTTGAAAAATATTTTTGTCAACTTCATCAAACAGCCTTGTAGAAATTAATGATCAGTTTCTTTGATATATGAGCAAACCTTTGTAAGAAAGAAGTGTCAGGATTTCGATTTTCGAGGTCAGCAGCCAACATACCATCTGAAATCGCATTCGCTGTGACCAAACAGAAAGCATATAAATACGACACGCCGACCAGAGACAATAAAATCCGCGAATTTTTCGAATTTTTTCGTGGGAGTAGTCGGAGTATTGCTTGTACGTTGTCGCAGTGGTAGTGTGGGTTTTCGACACATACTCGCATGATGGATTTGATTGCATTTTTGTTGATAAATTGCATCCAGCATACAATAATTATCATTTCGATACACCTTTTACTTTGTTTTCGTCATAATTCAGTAACGATATTCTGATTATCTCCTTTAGTATGTAGGATGAGATTTCCTTTTTGTGTTTTTATATATTCAGGCAAAAACGCGAAAGATATGACTCGTTTTCTGCGAACGTTATTCTTTTTAAACGATACTCATTGGAAGGTAACCAGCCACACAGAGATTGCTTCAATTTGATTGGCCGACACGCAGCCAATATAGTCAACGCTCACTTGAATCGTATGGATAGTTTTTGTGGTCAGACGATTTACTGGTTTTTGTTTTGTGTGTTCAGTAGTATAAAAATGGATATTGCTTGTGAAAGCAAGAATGTCCAGTTTCAAAATTATCTAAGGGATCTTTATCTAATTTATGGTGATCTGCGACTAGTCCGGGGTACGAGAAAGACATTTGACATTTGTTCGACAGTGTTCACTTTTCAAAATACGTAATACCCGCATGGGTATCCTGTAAGAAACCGATAAAAGGTCAAAAAAAAAACCTATAAGATGTCATCTTGCAAACTAGTTAGTTTTTAGGGCGGATACAGTTATTCCACGTTTGCTCACCAGGATCGTTGTGAACAGCATTATGTCAAAAAAAATCGGCAAAAGTGGCGTTTTGCCAAACAATGTTACAGAAGCACTGGGCAGTTCCGCAACTTTTTGAGAAAATTTTATGGATTAATGAGTCGACATTTAAAAAAGATGTTTTCATCAATCTACAGAGCTTATACGAGTGGTATAAGTAGAAAATCCATATTTGATGAGACTATACAGGGTGTCCCGAAAAAAGTGTGCATTATTCTACCAGCGGTTTCTAGAGCTTAAAATAGGAAGACAAGTTTATGTAAACATAGGTCGACAAACGTCCCCTAAGGGCGCTACGGTCTTTCAAAGGGGCTCCCCTGAAGATGGTTTTTCCTTAATATTTCCGAAACGTGTTGAGATAAAGACATAAAATTTGGTATTCTAGCCTAGTTTTTTATGCTGGATTTAAAAATATTAACAATTTTAGACAGTTTTGTTTGGAAGCGTATGTAGCAGGAACGGACTCGGCTTATTTGAGCCCCAAAATTTTTGTGTGATTCTATTTTCGAAATTCAATTTTAGAATTTGAAAATTTAGGGTTTTCTACATAAAAAAGGTACTCTTATTGAATATCGATAAATTGTGCCATTTTTGAATAAAATCAGACTAAAAAATTTGTCACATGATAGGAAATGTACTGCGAATTTAAATGAATTGTTGAATAATTAGCCATGACAACGAAAAAACTAATTTAATAATTGGTAAATATTACATAAATACATATTTCTATTGCAACATTTAGGCAAAAACAAAAGAAATAATTTTTTTCTAAGAACAAAATTGGAATTTGTTTAAAGAAGAAGACATACAGTTGGATATACTTAAAACTAGCTTTACAATAAGTGTTCAAATAAATAATATTCTAGGAATAGTTAAAAGATTATCACCGTTGTGTAGATTTTTCCGATTTTTTTTTCAAATATGATTTGAAGAGTACACGACTTACTTTTCATATTTTCCTGATAACGATTACGACTTGGCCTATCCCGGTTTCCGGTCCGACACCCTGTATATGGTTGAACGAACGCCTGTGGAATGGTTTCTTCGAATTCATCGAATATAAATAGAAATCGCATAAGTTTTTTTATGCGACCAGCAGAGCAACAGATGTACATTCTTGTCTATTTCGGTGCCTGTCTCGGCGATTTTTGCGAATCATCTGTGAACGGCTGAGACCGCGCGTCGCCGCCTCCCCCCCCCCCACCAGCACGATGGCATGGCCCCCCACGATCCAGACGCTATTTTCGGCGTCGCGGCGGCTAACATCCCGCAAAGCAAGATTTTCGACCGATGGTGCGGAAAGCGCATAGCGAGTCGGAACTATTAGGGATCGCAGCTCGCGTGACCGCTGGATGGCTGACGATTCCGGGTGTAAAGTAGATGTGGTCTACTTGCCATTGAACAAACTAAACCAAATTCTTGGTCGAAATGCGATGGATTGAATCTTTAGAGATATTCAATTCCATTTCGATGTATCTCAATGAAGATTTTGGATAATTTTTAATTAATCTACTACTCGTGGACTCGTTTACGAGATAAACAATCATCACCTGATATGTTTCGATAAATGTTTAACATTGGCTCTTTGTTCGATGCTCATTTTTCCCCAAATCACTGTATTTTTAGCAGTTTTTCCACCATTAACTCCACCGCCATCCGCCGTATGACGTTGACGTCTGTGAATATGTCATAGTATATGAGAGACGCTTGCCTGCACTGTTGCCAGATTGGGCTCCGCATTAAGGGGAACGTATGAAAAGTGGACAATTTATATACGTATATTTAAATAATGAAACACAAAAGCGAAAAACTGAAACAAACAACAGTGGCAAAATAAAAAGCGATTCTTAATAATTATATAACAAAATAGAACAGTAGTAAACTAAAAAACAATTGTAAATAATTATAAAAACAGTAAAACAAGAAACAATTCCATGTAATTATAGAAAACAAAAAAGAACACAGGGAACTGTGGGTCCTGGGCCTCTTCCATGTCTCCACGAAACGTGGGCGCATTATTTATGTGTGACTACGCTTGAGAGCGAAATACTAAAATTTGTCAATCCGGGAACAGAAATCTGGAAGGACGGTTGGGCCGGCTACAATCGCTTGGGGAACCTAAGAGGTGTTTCCCCCTAGATCGATGAAACATTGAACCGCACACTAAATTTTGTGGATCCAGTGACAGGAGTGTGCACTAATGAAATTGAAGGGCACTGGTCTAGATTAAAGCAATTTTTGAGGCGGCTGGGTGTCATGCAATCGCCTCATTTACCCGAATATATTGACCAGTTGATTTGGTGGGGGCTCTATGGTCCTAGACCCGGAGACCGATTCAAAAATATATTGCGACAAATTGCCGCAAAGTATCCCTTTTAATATTGAATACTTTCTGTTCATTTTAGTTTTTGGATTTGTTTTTTAATTTACTGTTTTTACTTTTTGTTTTTGTTATCACTTAGAATCGCTTTTTATTTTACTGTTTGTTGTTTTTTATAATTACATGAAATTGTTTTTTTTTTGTTTTACTACTGTTCTTTTTTTGTTTTTTATAATTACATTAAATAGTTTTTTTTTGTTTTACTACTGTTCTTTTTTTGTTACAACTTAGAATTGCTTTTTATTTTACTGTGTTGTTTTTTTTTTCTATAATTATATGGAATTGTTTCTTGTTTTACTGTTTTCATAATTATTTACAATTGTTTTTTAGTTTACTACTGTTATGTTTTGTTTTATAATTATTAA